TGACAGTCAGTACCTAGGCAGGAAGCGGAGGGCGGGCGGATCTTCTAGGAGAGAGAGGGACTCTGGGAGGAAGAAAGCAAAGGCAGGAGATTCAACAGCAGGACAGAGGTGACTGGACAAACATGAATAGGAGCAGAAAGGAAGGTAGCCATGTGGGTGGGGCACAATGACAGGATTAATAGAGTTAAGATAGACAGGTAGCTTGGAATCTGCCCAGCTAAAAGGCCTAAGCTTTAAACTATTACAAAGCTTCTGTGTCATTATTTATACTGATGGTAGGCCCGGAAGTCCCACTACACCCAAGGATTTCCACTCCTAATAGTTCTCAAGTGATGCTGATGTTGACGTGAGAGCTTCTAACATGTTAACTGGCCAGGATGCAAGTCTTCACAGTTGCTTCAGGTTTGTTCTTTCCTGGGTATCTACTAGGACCCTGTCTAAAGTTGCTTGTACAACACACAACTGAAGGTTTTCAAATATTAGGACGTTACACTAGTTTGTGTAAGAGGCAGCCAACCAGACAGATTTCTCTGAAATAGAACTGTAAACATGATGCTGCACCTGGGATAGGTTTCCAAGGCTTCGTGGAGGAAGCACAGAACTTCACTTCCTTGTTGTCATAGTCTGTTCTTAGCTGTTTTACCTGATTAATTTGCACTTGAATCATTGTGGAATTATCTTCAATAATCTTCAATCTAAAAAAACAAAACAAAAAACCAAATGCTTTCATATGCTTGTCACACCAATTTAATTCTTTAATCATAATATTAAAACAGGCTAGATTGTTATTTGGCTAATTATAATTTGAACCACTATGAACTAGTAGAAATAAATAAAATAAATAAATAAATAAATAAAATAGAAGATGCTGATGCACCACAAATGGGGAACAATTTCCCTTCAGATCACCAATAAAAACTACTCTTGCTAACCCCATTTCAAATCAATAGGCATTAGCTATAATCTAGCCACAAAACACCATCCATTCCCTTTAGTGAGATTACTGTTACAACTGAATAGGTATTTTTAGTTTTCCTTTTTCTTTTCTTTTGAAAGGGTCTCATTACGTAGCTAAATTTGGCTTTGAATTTGATCCTCTTTCAGCCTCCCAAGTGCTGATTACAGATGTGAGCCACCACAAAATAACAAACTGTTATTTGCTGGGGACTACTGTAACAATTATTACAATTTTGGTGATTTAAAGTAACATTGATCTTCTCACCATTCTGGAGGCCAGAAGTCCAAATCATTAGACTGCACTGAAATGTGAGAAACTAGTATTTGGGAGGCTGAGACAGGAGGATTGCTGTAAGTTTTGAGGTCACCCAGAGCTACAGAATAAAACTTTTTTTTTTTTAACTGTTTTGTAAAGGAGCATTTTATTGTCTCTGGCGGGTCACTTACTGTTGGGATCACAAGGTTAAGCGCTGTCACTCTGGTGAGAATTGTGAACCTGTACTGTCAAATCTTCCATGCATGAAATAACCTCCCTCCTTTTATGACACCAACATGTGCCTTCACTCTACTAAGAGGGATCGTAAAATCCTTAAAAATTTAATAATTTTTACCCAAAATATATAGTAGTTGGTAGGAGAAGGGACTATAAAAATAGCTTAAAATAACATTTTAATTAAAGGCAGGCATGGAGTGATCCTGCAATCTTAGCATCTGAAGGCTGAGTCTTGAACAAGACCAGGCTGGTGAATTAACAGCTAGCTTAGGTTAAATAGTGACACCCTGTCTCAAAATAAAATAAACAAAGCAGGGAAAACTAAAGACCAATTGATTATTATCACCCAGTAGCGTGGTACCTTTCTGGCTAGTTACTGACATACTCACTTTTCCTCAAGTTGTATCGCTCTTCTCTGGTAATATACCAATGCTGTGGGCTCTGCTGCCAAAACTTTAAGTTTTCCGTGAAGATAAAAAGCAGTTCTCCGGCCTTTTTTTATGGTCTCAATAAAGGCATCATATTCTCTTTTGATTGACGTAAGTATGGACTTGTATGCATTGACATGGTCTATTACCTGAAATATGATTTTTCTGTCTGTGGCACTAAATATTTTTTAACAGAAGATACGGTGATCAAAAGCCTGTTCAGCAGGTTATTTTTAGGTGAAACATGATTATTAACTAGAAACAGAAACATCTTAAAACAAACTCAAATGACCAGGCACTAAAAACAAGAACCACCAAGTACACGTTCTTTGTGGGTCACAGATCCTGTGATCCTAGGTATGAGGAAGGCTTCTTATGCTTGGTATGAACCCATGTCTGAGACATGGGCTAATAAGGTGCTAGGTCTATGTGTCTCAACTGTGTATCTTTTAATTACGCATCTCTTACCCCTTTGAAATCTAGCCTCTTAACTGCATTTGTACATTATGTTTGTAAAACCTTTAATTATTTGTATATGTGTCTGTGTACAGGTGTGTGCATGTGAGTATAGGTACCTGAAAAACCAGAGGCTTCGGATCCCCCGGAGCTGGAGTTACTCGTGATTGTTAAGTGCTGGGAATCAAAATCGGGTCTTCTGGAAGAGCAGTGGTACTCTTAACCACCGAGCCAACTCTCCAGCCCCACAGAGATAATGTAATCTGAACTCATTCACCAACACTACGAAAATCAGGTCCCAGTTCCCAATTGCATCCCTAATCTCAACATGCCAAAAACAACTGTGAAAACAATTCTATACATTCATGGTTTCCAATAATATTTAAGCAAAACATCTATCAGGAAGGATAACGGGGGAAAAAGAAACACTAGAAAGGTTAACCAGGAAACATCACTTTCTATGAGGCTGACTCTACAGCAAATATCTTTACTACAGTTTCTTTCTTAATCTTGAATATTAATCACTCATATAAAATAAATTATCACAAAATTTAAATAGGTTAAGAAACAAAACAGAAAAACTTTTGCTCTGAAAACTGAAATTATGCTTGTTCATCTCTGCTGTACTTCTGGGGTGTTTTAGAGGAAGTTACCCAGGAAAATACCCATCTCACCCCAGGTGATCTACAGAGGTCAATAACCGACAAGGACCAGATCTTTTATCTCACATGCTCCAATAACCAGTTCAGGTACATTAGTGAGTTCAACTAATGTGCAGTGAGTCAACTGCAGTGACTCCTGGTCAATGATCATGTCAGTGTGCTAGAAGAAACAGATCTCGAGAGCTCACCCATGGGTACACAGAAAGCAGTGAAGTGGAGGAGGCAAACTGGCACACCACCAGTAGAATAACGCTGGCAATATCACCTTATCCACAAAATACTTGAAATTTGGGGCTGGTAGCTCCTGGAAATTTCTGAGAAGTCTAACACTAGAAGCCCCGTGCCTTGATGACATTTTCAGCAGGTTGCTTCTTCATTCTATAGTCTCAACTACTCATTACTCTCTCACAGCCATGTGCTTCTTTTATAGTATTTTTCTAGCCTTTGCAATTTTCTTCATTCCATTGGCCATTAGTGAGTATATATCACTACTTTCTACTTTCCCCCCCTTTCCTTTCTTTTCCTTTGGATTTGTATGTCCCAAAATGGCCATCAAGTCACTATGAACCTTTGATATTCTTGCATCCACCACCCTAGTGTTGGGATTACAGGCATGTGCCACCACGTGGGAGTTAACCCATGTGGTACTGAGGATGACTAGGGCCTTACACATGCAGGCTACATTTCCTGTATCTTTGTGCTTGCTTTTCCTCAGTACACAACAAGGCTTTTAAAAGTCTTTCTTAGCATATACTTGTCATAGATAAGTTTCATAATTACATTTCCATGCATGTGTTTTGATTTTTAATGACTTTATTTTTTTAATATGCTTTAGTGTTTGGTTGCATGTATGTCTTATGGGGGGGTGTTGGATCCACTGGAACTGAAATTATAGGTAGTTGTGAGCTGCCATGGGGGTGCTGGGAACTGAACCAGGAACCTCTGGAAAAGAAGTCAGTGTTTTGACTTCTTTTCCAGAAGAAGTCATAACCACTGAGCCATCTCTCCAACCCTCATGTGTTTTAATTTTAACCCCCTTCTTTTTCCCAAATACTTTCTACCTCTTTCTTCTACTTCTTTTTCTTCTTTTATTTTTTGGTGTCTGATGAGTTTAATTAAGATTGCTGACAGCATGTGTGGAGAGATTATTTGATAAGAATATAAAGTGGCTACAATACTGAAAATCTCTCTCCCTCCTCCCCAGCAACCATTAAATGCCTAAAGATCCTCTGGAAGAGCTAGGCTTTTATTTAGATAAGAAATATAACTCATTCGAATGCTTAAAAATCAGCAAAAAGACTGCATTCTCCTGGGAGGCTGGAGCAGGCACATCTCTGTGAGCTGGACACCAGTCTAGTCTACATAGTGAGACCCTGTAAGACCACGTTCCTCTTCTGCCTGTGCCTGTTCTGAGACTAGGGGTATATGGAAGTCTTAAGGTGCTTCCTCCAGGCGAGGAGAAGAGGCAGATTTCACTGTTGTTGTCAGGCATCTACACGGGATTGTAAAGAAAATGCTAGGCAGCTGGGCGGTAGTGCTCACACCTTTAATCCCAGCACTCAGGAGGCAGAGGCAGGTGGATCTCTTGAGTTGGAGGCCAGCCTGGTCTACAGAGTGAGTTCCAAGCCAGCCAGGGCTACACAGAAAAACCCTGCCTCAAAAAAACCAAAAAACGAACAGAATCTGACATACTATGTAAAACTATAACATTTTCTAATCCAATCCCATTATTTCCAGCATTAAAAGTAGTCAAATCCTTTATCCACTATATCTAGACTTCTAAGAGGTCTCAAATTGCTTAGCTGGAACTTATGGTTGATTGTATGTCACTATGTTGCCCAACTCCTGGCTTCGAGAAATTCTCCAGCCTCTCCGGTAGCCTCCTACCAGCTGGGGTGACCGGAATGTGGCTCAGCACCTGGCTCAAGAGGTCTCAATGTAACATGCCTTATCATATCTAAACCAAGACTTTATTGCTACCACAAACAAACCCAGAACCTAAACTACTAGTTCTTGTTCACAATGTTCTAGCAAATTAGATAGCACCTTCACTTAAAATGATAAAAACAATTACCAGAGGACACAGCCAAACTTGACAAAACATTTCTTGCTGCACTAAATTAACTGACTCTAACTAGCAGTCAGGAAATGCAAACTCTGCACTGTGCTTTCCCTATTCACCCTGGATAACAAACTGGATGAACTTCTCTAAACTTAGCAGACAGAAAGCAGTCAGTCAGACAGCGGTATTACTAAGGTAGTAGTTAAGCTGGGTGGTGTATAGCTTCTTGGAAACATCCCCATCTTCAAGAGCATCATGGTACCTTATCAAAAACATTTTGGTATATTGTGTAATACTCATCAGCAGGTCCTTCCTCGTTGCAGCCCACTCTTTCGGTTTCTGTGGTTATATATCTTTGCATGCTTTCCAAAAACTCCTTGTCACTTCTACTAATGATAGGAGGCAGAACTGCATGTTTGTTTATTTCTTGGACTGACATAAATCTTAATCTGCAAGCTTGTTCACTGGAGAGAAATTAAACCTTGACCTTCTTTTGCAATAATGCCAAAAACCTTTAGTGTGCCTGAAAAAAAACATGACAGTCAATTAATCTGTAAGCCTAAAACTCTTAAAAATATGTATGTTTCAGAAAAAAAATTCTTAGAGATGTTATTAAGATAGATATTTCAGTCAGAAAGTTAAAATGCTTGTGCTAGTCTACTTACATTTGCTATAGTCCAGAACACAAATCAAATGCCAGTTAATTAAGAACTCTTCCCTTAGGACCAGTGAGATGGCTTAGCAGGTAAAGTACTTGCTACGAAAGCCTGAAGAGCTGAGTGTGATACCCAGAACCCCCCAAAAGGTGAGAAAACCAACTCCACAGAGCTGTCCTCTGACCTCCACACAAGCTCCCTTGCCCAGTTATGCACACAAAATGATGATCAAATATAGAAAACAACTTTTCCTTTAGAAACCACTCAGACTCATCTTATGTGCATTGTTTAAATGATAGGAGAGATGACTTACCAGTTAAGAGCACTGGTTACTTTTCATAGAACCTGGTTTTGATTCCTGGCACCTACATGGTGACTCTAACTCCAGTCCCAGGGGCTTGGATGCCTCTGGCCTCCACTGGCAACAGACATACCAGTGATGCAACAGATATACATGCAGGCAAAGCACAAGCGTGCAGGTGCACCTTGTGGGAAGAAGGGTTTCAGTGGGTGGAGTGGGTGTCACACAGGGTGACAGTGAAAAGAACTAAACTCACTAAATATATGAAGCTATCAAAGAATAAAAAATAAAAAATTCAAAATTACCCTTTGGCTGTGGTGGAACACACCTTTAATCCTAGCACTTGGGAAACAGGAACAGTCAGGTCTCTGTAAGTTCAAGGCCAATTTGGTCTACATAGTAATATCCAGGCCAGCCAGAGACTGTCTCAAAAACAATAAAATGTTTAAATTTTCTCTAAAGAGCCCTAAAGTATTTATTGCACATTTCATAGCATGAAATTGCATTATCTAACTATCCCCATAGCCACTGAACTCTTTTGCTACTGTATGGATGCTTGCAATGTTTAAACAAACTTTGTAATGTTTTGGCAATATAATAACCAGTTATCTAAATTACCATGTCGAACTTAAAATATCGCCCATGTGCATGCCTTTAGTCCCAACACTTGGGAAGCAGAAGCAGCCAATTCTCTGTGAATTCATTGCCAAGTTGATCTACATAGAGAGGTTCAGGCCAGACAGAGCTACACGGTGAGACCCTGTCTCAAATAAATAATAAAATACAAATAAAAAATAAAGGAGACACAATAATTTTGAAGTGTCAAAGACTAAAATTATCTGTATGCTGATGAATTGGATAACAAAAAGTCAATTTACAAGAAGACACACAGTAGATCCAGCAAAGTCAAAAGCAATGTATGCTTGAAGTCTTTTTTAATTAAAAAAAGTTATTGTCTGTGTATGTGTATGTGTGTGGGTGCATGCTTGTCTTGGCACACACATAGAGGTCAGAGGACAATTTATGGGAGTCAGTGCCTCTTCTTTCCCTTTGGAGGTCTCAGTGTCTGAACTCAATCATTAGGCTTGGCAGCAAGTGCATCAACTCGCAGATCCGTATCACTGGCCTCAAGTTTTTTCAAATCAATTTGTTACTCATTAGTTCAACCACTATTTGTTGAATGTCTATTTAATAGTTAATGCCTGGGGATTCAGCAATAAGTCAAATAAAGTCCTGGCTCTTGGAGTTTACAATCTAGTAAGATGGTATACAGATAATGTAATTGAAATAGTAACATAACATCAGAGGAGAGAAAATGGGCACAGTCACTGTGGCACCAGCATGTGTGGTCACAGCCGAAGAGCGGGAGCTTCTGAGAACCGTTAGGAGAAATCCAAGTTCCTTTGGTGCCCTAGTATACCCTTTAAGGGGCCAACAATTTTTTCCCCTTCTGACAAAACTTTTTTTTTTTTAATGTCTTTGAAGGTAAAACATTTTCTTTTCAGTGTTGGATATCAATTCTATCGCCCCATACATGCTTGCTCACCTTTAGCCCTGAGGTGAAATATTTGAATAATGTAGAATGTCACCATCACTTTTTGCTTTTCTGCGTATGTCCACATTTTTGTGGGTACATGCACGTGTGGAGACAGGAAGATTACATTGAGTGGGGTCATCTTCAATCACTTTTTTAAAAAAAAAATTGTTCTTGCATTTAGTTAGTTTGAGGGCAGGGGGCGATGTTAAAGTCTGAGAGCAGCTTGCTGGAGTCGGTTCTCCACCATTTGGATCCCTTGGAAGGAACTCCAGATGTTAACCCTCCTTAGTGATCCAAACAGAAGGCCCTACCTTATTTTTAAAAGGAGATTTGCGTCATGTGGGTGTAGTGGCACACCCCTGACCCTTCCAATCTCTGAGCCCAGAGAACTTTCTGGCATACTTGCTTAGACAGGCACACCAGACTTTATTTTTAATTAATTCAATTTACAGCTCGGTCATAGAGCCCTCTTTCTTCTCCTCCCAGTCCCACTCTCCGCCAGTATCCCATCTCCCCTACTCAGAATAGGGGAGACACCCCAGTTCATCTATTCATGTGAGAACTGAGTTGTCTTCCTCCTCTGTGGCCTGGTAGGGTAGTCCCATCGCGGGGAAGTAGTCAAAAAGCCTTTAAAGTGTGTGTTGGGGTTCCAACACAGGTTTTTGCATACCAGTTCCACGGATCCTGACACCTTCAGACCAACGTACAGAGAATAAAATTAAATAAATAATTTAAAAAAGGTGGGGGGCGCTGGGTTTGTGTGGTGGAGAAGGGACTGGGAGACAACCAGCTTCTAACTGGGCTGGTCTCGCCTCTTTCTCCTGGAGAACATATGCTCCCATAATTTTTTTCACCAGGTCCACGTCCAAACTTGTAGTCGAGGGCTAAACAATGGTGGGTTTCCTTACTGTTAAAACAACAACAACAAAACCAGAGACAGGTGAATCTGTGAGTTCCAGGACAGCGTTGTTCTACAAAGTAGAGTCCAAGACAGACAAGGCTACACAGAGAAAAACCTGTCTCCAAAAAAAAAAAAAAAAAAAAAAAAAAAAAACCACCAAAATAAACGATGAAAATTAAACTACATTTAACCGTTTCATACTAGGGAGGTGCGTGCGGCTGGAGAAATGGTTGTGGGGGGAGGGATACACCGTAAGGGGCCGAACTCCGCGCTGCGGGGCCTTCGACTGGGCTACAGCTGTCCTGGAGTTGGCTGCCGATGCCCTTCTTGAGGGCCAGCACAGCTGACTCTCGACCACCACCACGAAGGCGTGACCAACGCCTTGAGCCCCAAATGCCTTTCCGGCCGTTAAGGCTTCCCTTGTAGGCATTTCCCCGCGACCCCACCCTCGAGCAAAACACTACGCCTCACCCCCAAGTGCTCACCTGGCTGAACCTCTCCTACCCCTGCCTGCACAGTTTAGAGACTGTAACCAGGAAGCCCGGAAGTGTGGAACTGCATCTTGGGACGGGTAGTCCTAGCAAGAAGAAAGCGGTGAAGACTACAATTCCCAGGTAGACTTGTGTTACCGCGCTCGCTCTTTTTTTTTTTTTTTTTTTTTTTTTTTTTTTTTTTTGTGCTCAACAAGCCCCTGTTGAAAGGAAGCCCCTCTTAGTCGCATCGGATGTATAAGAAAGTCCTTTGAGACATGTTTTAAGTTGCGCACACCGTTCCGGGCATTCTGAGCGATGCCTGGGGAACTGGCGCGACCGAGCTAGTCTGGCACTGCGTTAGACAGCCGCGGCTCGGCGACGGCGCGCAGGCACGAGCGTGGCCGCCTAAGGGGCGGGCCCTTCGGCCGGGAAACCCCGTCGGCCCGCGCGGCTCTCCCTTTCCGATCCGCCATCTGCGGTGAGTGTGTGCTCCGTGGCCCGGCTCTGGCTGGTGGCGTTCCGGGTCGCTCTCACCGCCCCGGTCGGGTCTCATCCGTCTCTTTGCGAATGCAGGTGGAGCCTCCGCCAAGATGCAGATTTTTGTGAAGACCCTGACGGGGAAGACCATCACGCTCGAGGTATGGGCCAGGTGGCGTGCGGAAGCCGAGGCCTTCGGCGCCGCCTTCAAGCTTGAGAGCGCGTTTCCGAGTCTGAATTCGGAAGCCTGGCCTTGAGCTGAGAATAGGTTGATTAGCACTCGCCAGAGTTTGGGTGCTGAACGTTTGCCTCTGCCCCGTCCCGAGTGGCCACATTGGAGGGTAGGCGGGGGGGGGGGGGGGGGGGTAAACGCTTCTCTTCGGCGGGTATCGTGCTCCACCCGCCCCCACCCCAGTCGTTCGGTGCTCGCCTTGGTCTGAGAACGGATTTGACTCGTAGGGATACCGCCGTTGAGTAGGTACCAACCCATTACCACTTAGTTCGTTTTGTGTAAACTTACTGATTAGTGTTCTAGTTTCTGTGTAACCATATAGTAACTTATGTATTAAAATTCACAGGTTGAACCCTCGGACACTATAGAAAATGTAAAGGCCAAGATCCAGGATAAGGAAGGCAAGTAATGTTACTAGAAAAATAATCTGCTTTGTATGATCTAGGCACATTTGCTCTTTTGTAGGATAGAAAACAGGCTAAAGTGCTTTTGAAAGGTAAAATATCAAGAGTCGTATCAGGCTACCTCGTCGCCTGGAAACTCTGAATGACAGGTTTTTGGTTTTTTTTCCAAATAGGAACTTTAAATAGTCTTCATTCATAAAGCCGAGTAACATGTAGTAAATGTTCAAGCATGTCCAAACATTAAAACAGCTTAGGCGGGGTGGTGGCGACCACACATCTGCTGCCAGCACTGAAGCGGGCAGATGAGTGGTCTACAGTGACTTCCAGGACAGCCGAAGCTACTGAGTGAGCACTGTCAGCATTGGTGTGACACAGGATTAGCTATAGATAGTGGGTGTGTACATTGTTCTAAGCCCAGTATTTTTTCCCTTTAATTAGGAATTCCTCCTGATCAGCAGAGACTGATCTTTGCTGGAAAGCAGCTGGAAGATGGCCGTACTTTGTCTGACTACAACATTCAAAAGGTTTGTTTGGGGGAAAACATGATATGCAGAAAGAGGGAAGTTAGCATGTGAATCCACTAATATTTGATAAGTACTGCAGCTGTCCGCTAATTTTAAAATGTGTGATGCTGGTTGGTTCTTTTTGGTTTGTAGAGAAAGGTCTCCTGTAGCTCAGGGCAGCCTTGAATTGGATTCCAAGTGCTGGGTGGTCGGGCAGGCTGGGCCACTCCCAGCCTTTTGACAGACTAAATTGTTGATGCTATAGTACTGTCTGTTTTCACCCTTCCATTTACAGGAGTCTACCCTTCATCTTGTGCTGAGACTCCGTGGTGGTGCTAAGAAAAGGAAGAAGAAGTCTTACACCACTCCCAAGAAGAATAAGCATAAGAGGAAGAAGGTTAAGCTGGCTGTTCTGAAATACTATAAGGTAAGCTACTTTGAGCAAAGCAGTGATTTGGAGCATGTGAGCATTGCTTATGGAAGTGCAAGTTGAAAGTGAAAATTCTTTGACATTTGACATTTCATTGAGTTATTTAACTAGAAACTCCAATTTGCTGCTTTTTCTAACCTAAGATGCTGATAAAAGTCTGAGAACAGGATTTTAATGGAATTTAATCTGAGATCAAGAGGTTCATATCTTGAGCCACTAAAATCAGACTTAAGGGTATGGTTTGTGAAATTAATTTTTGTTTTTCAGGTGGATGAAAATGGCAAAATCAGTCGGCTTCGTCGAGAGTGTCCTTCTGATGAATGTGGTGCTGGAGTTTTCATGGCTAGCCACTTTGACAGACATTACTGTGGCAAGTGTTGTCTGACTTACTGCTTCAACAAACCAGAAGATAAGTAGTTGTGTATGAGTTAATAAAAGGAAGGAACTGATGTTTAGTGTTGAGTTTTATTTTACAGTTAAAGAGTCTTTGAGACTGTGGCTGGTCTTTTGGTTCCTGCCTAAGCTGCCAGCTGCATGACAGAGGCCTTGATTGCATTGGCTGGAGAGTTACTTTGCTGACACTAAAGCACTTGGGTCAGAATTCTTTAAGGGGTTGTGGGATGTCCCATGCAGTACCGGATAATGCAATGCCTTGTAGATTCTGTTCTTAGAACTAGAGGTAGCTACCTTTTACCAAAAGGCGAATTCAAGGCGTTAATTCAAAGCATCCCAAGATATGTGCTACTTGAGGAACACTACTGGCAATACCCTGTCTTTAAATAAAGGAAAAGGAAACAGTAATACATTCATCATTTTTAATGTACTTTCAAAATCCTGGATCCCAAGAAGTCTTGGCTGGAACTTCATTTTCTTCATAGCAAATAACTTGATCTCCCACTTTAAAGTCTACTTTTTCTTCATCTAAACTAAGACCACAGTCCATACCAGTTTTGATAACTGAAACGTCATCTTTATGGTGTTTCAGCGAGGTTAATGAGCCTTAAAAGAGAAAAGCCACAGTGAGAATATTCAAATAACAGTTCTCTCCTGATTAGTGTATGGTTTGTAAGATCCAGGTGCCGTGGCACTGGTGGAGGTCAGAACACCTTCTCTCTGTGTGGGCTTTGTATGTGAAAAGTTGTCTGACAGTGTGGCAAGGGCCTTTACCTGCTCTGCCCTACCTCCCACCCAGCGTACACTAAGGTTACAGGAAATAACGGAGTCTAATAAAAGTATTTAAAGATTGGCATGATCTGAAATCTTACATTTTAAAAGTAATCTAAATCTGCAAAGTAAACCTTTTGAGGTACCAAGAAAAAACAAAACATGGCAGGCAAATCTTGAGATCATTCAGGTTCCCTAGTGTGCATTGTATGGGACTTTGGATTCAAACTCCAGTCACTGGGACAAAAGTATAGACTACAGGGGTTGAATGTTAGTATAGACACATTGAATTAGGTGGTAGGACTAAATTCTGTCATCAGAACTAATTGGGAAGATGCATAAGCTAAGGCAATTCAAATTGAAAATGGCTTAAGTTTTGGATTGAGGACTGGGTAAGATCTAGAATTGAATTTTGAGCCGATGAAGGCTTGTAGTCCCAGTGCTTAGAGGCAGGCAGATACCTGAGTTTGAGGTCAGCCTGATCTACAAAGTGAGTCCAGGAAAGCCAAGGCTACACAGAGAAACCTTGTCTTGAGGGAGGGAGAATGGATTTTTTATTATGCTTACCCTTCCAAAGAATTTGTCCATTTCGGATTAATTTAAACTTCTTCTGTTTTTCTAACTGTCCCTTTTGAACTCTGCAGCCAGCTACAGGAATTTTTTTCTTCCCTTCTGTTATGGAGAAGGTAGCTAGTATAGAAGCCTCGCCTTTAGGAAGAAAATATAATGGGTGAGGCAGAAACAAACATACCAGGGTCATCATAACAACAGGTGAAAAATTTCAGGGGCTGAAGATGGATGGCTCAGCAATTAACTGACTTGAGGAGCCTCTCCCCCCCCCCCCCCCCAGCTTGATTCTTCAACATGCTGGGTGGCTCACAAGCATCTATAACTCCAATTCCCAGGAGATCCAGCATCCACTTTTGGCCAGCATCCAGGGGCACTGGCCACGTGCACAGAATGACAGAAAAACCCGTGTCTGTTTCTCTGCCCTATGAAAACACACTGAGCAAGCTGGTGCAGACCTTTAGTCCCAGCACTTGGGAAGCAAAGGCAGGTAAATCTCTTGAATTCTAAGGGTCTACAGGATTGAGTTCCAGGATGGCCAGGGATACACAGAGAAACCCTGTCTTGAGCACACTCCCCCACCCCCAACAAAAAAAACCTGTTGAGGAATTTTAATTCTGAACATGGCTGCTCTGGCAAGAGATGACATCAAAAGAACTAGGTCTGTGTGATCCAGCTGGAATGCTACATTGGGCAGTGGTAGCACACACCTTTAATCCCAGGAGACAGAGGCTAGCAGATCTCTGAATTCAAGGCCAGCTTGGTATAGAGCAAGTTTTCAGTTAAAGAAAAGCTTAGGTCCAGGTGAGGTGGGACACACCTTTAATCCTAACAATGAAGTGGAAAGCTAGTTTGTAGGAGGAAGCACCCACTTTTGAAAAGAGTGTTTGATTGGCAGATAAAGTGATAAATGAGAGAATTATTTCACAGAATAGGACCTGCCCAACTCATGAGAGAGGAAAGGGAACAACACAGAGAATGAGGGAGAGGAGGCAGTTTTACAGAGAGGTTGAGAGATAAGTGAAGACAGACTGAGCCAGAGAATGATGAGAAAGAGCCAGAATAGAACAGTTGGCTGGAGTTAAGAGGCCAAGCAGAGCAATTTAGACAGAGGCTGAGAGAAAAGTCAGATTGAATAAGTCAGCTGGAAGAATTTGAGCCAAAACAGCTAAGTTGAGCCAACCAGCCAGAGAAAGAAGTAGGAAATGTGAGCTTATTCAACAGTTTCAGAAGCTGAAAGCATTTTAGGCCTAGATAGGAGGCTAAGCTTCCAGAACTAGGCCGAGATTAGCAGACAGAGGCAGTAAGCTTCAGAGATGACAAATCAGGTGAATAAAGGTTATTATTATTATTATTTTTTTTTTTTTACAAAAACCTATTGTTTGGCTTCCTTCAATAAATTGTAAAGCAGACTGCGTGCTTTAGTTGTTATCTTTAAATTACCTCAGCTTTTTATTTTTTGTTTTGGTTTAATAGGCTGAAACAGCACTAATGTGTAACTCAAGTTCTAACAACAATGCAAACAGTTTTGAATGTGTTATCTGACTGGTGTTGTTATGAAGAGTTTTTAAAGTTAGCTCGGGTGACTCCATTTTGAAATGAGAAGCCATCTTGACCGAGGGCTGAACTCAGGTACCAGGAAATATCACAGAATGTGCACTTGGCAGAAAATAAAGCTAACTCTCCTAGCAACAGCCTCTAGGAAATATCACAGAATAAATACTTGGTAGAAAACAGAGACAATCTCCCTGGCAACAATCAATGAGACACAGTTTGGAAAACTGTCCCCAACATTACAGATGTAGTTTAGAAGAATGGCAATTGTGATTATGTGCCTCAGCTAGAGGGTCACCTCACCCCTATGACTTTTATTCAATCCTGTAACGCCAAGGCACGAACCCTCCTCTTTGTGGTTTTTCTCTTTAAAAACTCTGCTCACCCAGGTCTTAGGGTCCCACTTCTCTACTGCTTCTTTAGTGTGACTTGGGTCCCGAGTTTGATGGCTCTCGCAATAAAGCTCTTTTGCTCTTGCATCGAGTCATCTCCTGGTGGTTTCTGAGTGTCTTGTGATCCTGGTACCAGTTACTGGTATCTGGTGTGCCTGCTTATTTCTGGAAACCCTCAACTGACTTTCCCAAATGGCTCTTGGTACATGAAATATTCTTATATACTGTGATCATGTTTAGCAGGTCAGAAAAGCCGGAAGTAAATCTATGTACACCCAAACTGCAAAACCAGATCTTAAAAAGGAATAATGTTAGGGTCAAAAGGATAGATTCAAGAAATATTTCAGATTAACTAGGTTATAAGAGTAATGATATCCTGAGTGAGGTATCCCTGAAGCAGAAAGACACACATTGGTATATACTCATTTCTAAGTGGGTATTCGTCATATAATATAGGATAAACACACTAAAATCTATACTCCTAAAGAAGCTAAACAACAAGGAGGACCGTAGGGTAGTTGCTCAGTCCTCACTCAGAAAGCAAATAGGATAGACATCGGAAGCAGGAGAAAACGGAACAGGACAGGAGCCTACTGCAGAGGACCTCTGAAAGACTACTGATTGAGGTATCAGCAGATCTGAGGCTCCTAACCAAACTTTGGGCAGAGCACAGGGAATCTTATGAAAGAAGGGGAGATAGACCCAGAGGGGACTGGAGCTTCACAAGGAGAACAACAGAACCAAAAAAATCTGGGCACAGGGGTCTTTTCTGAGACTGATACTCCAACCAAGGACCATGCTTGGAGATAACCTAGAACCCCTGCACAGATGTAGCCCATGGCAGCTCAGTCTCCAAGTGGGTTCCCTAGTAATGGGAACAGGGACTGTCTCTGAGATGAACTCAGTGGCTGGCTCTTTGATCACCTCCCTCTGTCGGGGGAACAGCCTTACCGGGCCACAGAGGAAGATAATGCAGCTAGTCCTGATGAGACCTGATAGGCTAGGGTCAGATGGAAGGGGAGGAGGACCTCCTCTATCAGTAAACTGGGGGAGAGGCATGGGAAGAGAAGCGGGGAAGAAGGGTGGGGTTGGGAGGGGACAAGGAAGGGGGGCTATAGCTGGGATACAAAGTGAATAAATTGTAATAATAAAAAAATAAAGTGATAAGTAAATGTAATTTATGATCCTGATCTGGCTGAAAAATCTACTTAAAAGTACATTGTGGTGGCTGAAGATGGTGGCATGTACCTTAATCCCAAAACTTAGGAGTGGAAAACAAAGGATCAGAAACTCAAGGCCATACTTGGGTACAAACTTGACACAATCTGATCATAGATTGGGTTATACTATTGTAACCTATTTGTTACCGTATTTGTACCGTATTTGTAACAAATCCTATTTGTTACCGTCTTATTTTGGTCACTGGTTTTAAGTGGGAATATCTTTATGTATATATTTGAGGCAAATGAACATAATAATTCACAATTTTAAATTAATTTGGCCAAGAATATGCTAGAATACTTTTAACATATTTGGTACTTCTTATGCTTTCAATGCGTATGCATTAACGAAGGCTCCTCTATGACACCTCAGCCTGTGTCACTACCATTGTTCATGTGTAGACTTGAGGCAAGTTCTTAGTCATTTTGTTTGCTTTTGTATCCTCTCGGCTTCAGTGAACTGTTGTACAGGATTTATAAGTCACCATAAATTCTCACCTCATGGCAGTCATTTTTTTTTTCTAGAATATAAACCATGTATTGGAACGGCGAATCTCTTTCCTTGAGTGTTGCTTTTAGTCCTATTTACAGTGCCTGATTAAATGTTGGAAAGCTGAAGTCAGCACTTACCTACTGGGTATTCCTCCAGTCTGTGGGGCAATCTGCTGCTTAGTTCCTCTTGCAAATCTTCAATAAGATGGTAGATGATTTTGTGAAGTTTAATCCTAACTCCCTTTTGTGCAGCTGACTGCTGGATAGCACTGCCTGCATTCACATTAAAGCCATAAATAACACCTGGAAAGCAGAAACAAGAGGAATATTCCAGGACAACCATTAAAGTACAATCATTTATCTTTGAGGAATAAGGGCAAATCTAATTTTTTTTTATTTCCTTCTTTGTAAATTACATAGCAATTGAGAAGTGCTGTGACTAATCTCATGAAAACTAGTAAAATTTCAAATTATTATTGCATTTTAAAACTGTATCTTGTTTACTAAGGAAGTTTTCTTCATAAATTACAACAATATTTTTAGATTTATTTATTTTTAATGTTTTGCTCCCATGTATAATGCATATGCATGCATGGTACTGGGGGTGGTTGGAAGGGGGCGTCAGCTTTCTTGGAACTGGAATTACCAGGTCTCAAGAGGAAGTAAAGTACTAAGCAGACTGCTAGCAGATAAGAGTACTCAAAAGGTAGTGAAAGATACCTGGAGTGGGTGTGGAACTGGCGGCTAGGGCAGTAATGATGCTTTTTAGAAAGGGAACACTGCGTGGGCTTTCAGTAGTTTCCACGGTTGCAGTGGCCATGACCGACAGATTGTCTGTGATTGTTCCTGCACTAGGGAAGGATGCTGGCCAATGACCAGCCAATCACAAAACATATGATAGAGGACACAGTTTAACATACAACCATCTTTACCATCAAATGTCTCAGCAAAGGTGACATCATTTTCACTAATATCACCCAATCCGAAATGTACTAATTCTATTTCACACTCGTGGGAAGCATCGTAGGTATCCAGAAGGTTCAGGATGGCCTCCAGTGACCCATCAACGTCACCTACAGATACAGCAAGAGTTTAAAATGTGTTGGTTATAGTGGGCATGGTGTTGTACGGCTTTAGTCCCAGTGCTCAGGAGATGGGCAGGCAGATGTCTGTGAGTTCAATACAAGTTATGCTTGCTCAGAAAAAAATGTTTTTAACCCCAAACCACTAAAATAGTTTCTGCTTCAATTTAGAGGTTTTCTGAGGCAGTGCACATCCTTAACCTGGACGTTCATAGGCTGGGCAGGAGGAAAGGTCAGCCTGCCTTCTAGAGCACGCCCAGGCTAGTTCAGGCTATGAAGCAAGATGCCCCCCCCCAACAAATAATTAAAAAAAATAAAGGAGATGGGTCCCAAATTAATTACAAAAATGAAAAAAATAAGGCTTAAATAGTTGTAAAGTAAAACTTTCAAAAAGTTACCTTTAATAATTATAGGAAGTACATTTGAGGCCTTTTCTACCTTTTCTTTGGGCTTTAAGGTTCTCTGTTCTTTTCTTTCAAGGTATTTTATGTATGACCTCTTCCTCCAGTGCAGATCACTATACTTCTCACGGACTTTCTGATATGCTTCTTGGTGCTCCTTTCGTTTTTCTTCCAGTATTTTCAGATCATCTTTGCCTTTTTCCTCTTTTTCCTCGAACTTCCTCCAGTCAACAACTTCACGGGCCCTTGGCTTTACAGGGAAAACTGGCATGATTTAATGAAACAGACACCAGTGTCTGCTAGGTTAAAAGCTCTCTGTTTTCTTACAATTAAATCAGCTTAATTTATGAAACCACAATGTTTTAAGTTTCAAAAATAAAACTTTAGGAATTTTGTATATCATTGAAACAATTTTAAAACTTTATCTAAAAAATATAACACTACAGTCAGATTCTAAAATAGTGCCCAGATCTCTTTATAGCCACTTATAAACTATAATTATACCAATATTATCACTCTTATTTAATAACAAGTATTATAAACTGGTACATAAAGCTATCATATAATATCTAACATTAGGGAAGTAGGCTTGAATACCTCAGATTTTACTTCAAGAATTTCATCTCCTGCAGAAGGGAGGTCTCTCCAGCCTATGATTCCCACTGGCATGCTGGGATAGGCCTCATTAAGTGTTTTTCCATTTTCATCAAACATTAGTCGAACTTTTGCCCAGCTCTTCCCAGCAACAAGAATTGAGCCTTTTCTCAGAGTTCCTCTTTGAATTATAGCTGTTGTAACAGGACTAAGATGAATAGAAAAAGGAAAAGATTCTTAAAGCTTAACCAGGACACAATTTTATTTTCTTAAATAGAACACGTGCGCGCGCACACGCGCGCACACACACACACACATACACACACACACATACACACACACACAGACGAATATATAGGATTAATTCCCTTCTCAACTTTTAAACAGCTTTGGATACTACCAAAACATTTACTTGGTACACTTGCCTAATGTGCCACATCCCAGGTTTTTGTTTTTCAGTGTGGTTTGTTTAATTTATTTAATGTCTGAGTGTTTCACTTTCTGTATGTGTGTGTACAATAGCTTATCTGATGTTCTCAGAAGAAGGCATCAGCTCCCCTGGAACTGGAGTTACAGAGGGCTGTGGGGACCATAAAGATCCATGGAACTAAATCCGGTCCTCTGCAAGAGCAGCAAGTGCTCTTAACTGCTGAGTCATCTCTCTAGCCCCTCACTGTGGTTTCTTGAGACAGTCTCTCAATCTGGCCTTGACTCTTCCAGCCTCAATCTTCAAAATGCTGGACTTACAGAAGTATGCAACCACACTGGGCCAGGCCTCAGGCTTGTCCTTGTCTTGACAAAAAACAAAAAATAAAAACAAAGTGTTCTTCACAACAGACAAAGAGTAGAAGAAAAACTAAGTCATAGCCCAGGTTTGGCGAACACATGAGGGAAGTGTGTCTCCTGCCAATTGAAAACAGGCAATCATGATGGACAAGTCCTCTGGGACTGCGCTAACAGAGAGTGTGTCAACAGGGGAGGTAGCCACGGGCAGATTGTTCTGACTCAATCCTCTCCCAACTTTCTACCCCATTCTACATATAGGTTAAAAGATTGCTCAGAGCTGTTAACAATGTACAAAGCAATGGGAAAATCTCTTGTGTTTACAGGCAAAACATTCAAGAAGAGCACACCATTACAAAGACCTTTCAAAAAAAAATAAATAAATAAATAAACAAAGACCTTTCCACATATTAGATTCCTGGGTGAAACCAAAGAATCAGACAGTAAAATGCAACAACTGGTATTTCACTCCAATTCATTGCTACTTAACCTCTAAATGCAAGTATCTGTGCCAGTGGGTGGTGGTGGTGGGGGGTATGGAAAAGAAAACAAACTGATTTAAGTACTTTAGTCATCAAAGTGTGACTTGGTATATATAGGTGGTTGATATGGTCTACCGACAACTTCATTTTGTGTTCTATATACTCGTGCAATAAAATACTTTGAAAACACGTTCTTTGAAAAAATGCCCCAGAGCTGGAGCAGTGGCACACACCTATAATTGCAACTGGATCTCTCTGAGTTTGAGCCTAGCTTGGTCTACAAAGTGAGTCCAGACAACCAGGGCTACACAGAGAAACCCTGTCTCAAAAAATACAAAAGATAAAAAAGTGCCCCAGAAACTAACCATACATGCAGTAAAACTATATTGTCTTAGAACCAAGCCTCAAAAATCATCAAACAGAATTATTAGAATCATTTTACTACAATCCTACCCTCTTCCTTTGTCTGTGAAAGACTCTATTACTGTTCCTTCCACTGGACCTGTGGGATCTGCTTTCAGCTCCAACATTTCCGCGAGTGCGAGTGTTGCTTCTGCCAAAGCCATCAGGTTGTCTCCCTTCGACAAAGAGGGTGACACACATCAGCGAACAATACTGGTAAACGGCAGGGTAAGACGACCTAAAAGACCTTTGACAACCACAGTTTCGTTGTTAAGGACTAAAATCATGAAATAACCAGTTCTATAAAAAGAAAAGGAGATAGCGAACCATCAGCAAGAAAACCTGACCTGAGGATGGAAACGTAAAAGTCCACTGGTGGTGCTCACTGATGAACATATGCCTCATTCAGCTAATTCATCGTCTCCTCTGCCTGCTTCTACAATCGTGGTTTTCTTCTTTCTTTTTCTATTAAAATTTTATGTATATCAGGATTTGCATGCAGGTAAGTATATGCACCAAGTGCATGCTGGTGCTGACAGAGGCCAAAGAAGGAATGGGATCCCATGGGACTAGAGCTGCTGCCAGCTGTGAGCCATCCTCTGCCGCCCAGATACTCTGAAACAACAGCCAGTGCTTTTAACCACCGAAGTGTCTCCAGCGTCTGTGCTCTTATTTGTTGTTGTTTGAGACAGGGTTTCTCTGTGTAGCCCTGGCTATCCTGGAACTTGCTCTGCAGATTTCAGAACTCCACTTCCTCTGTGCTTCCTCTGTGCTGGGATTACAGGTGTGTGCCCCCACTGCCCGACACGTGTTCTGTGTTTTTAAAACAGGCCCTCACACTGTAGCCCAGGTTTGCCTGGAAATCACTACGAACTAAGGATCCCAGCCTGGCCTAAAATTAAGAGCAGTCCTTGTGAGTCAACCTCCCAGTGCTGGGATCACAGACGTGAGCCACTGCATACAGATACAACTGTCTTTTCTTTTCTTTTTTCACGAACTTTCCTAATGATGCAACTTTTTATTTCAAAATTATCCAGTGGAACAAGCCTTTCCATCTATTATCTTATTAATCTACTCAGATATCCTACAACATAAGTAAATCACTCTTACTAAATAAATAAGAAAGAACTGCCTAGACGTGAGTTTTAAACTATACTCTGCAACCACCCACCCATGTGAACTTAAAAAGTTACTTCACCCTTCTGGACTGCTGTCAACTGTAACATAAGGCTAGGACCGTTGGATTACTCTCAGTGGTATATGTTCACTATGCTCCCTACTCCAAGGTCACACGGCTCAGCTAGGTGGTGGTGCAAACCCTTAATCTCAGCACTGGGAGAAAGAGGTAGAGGCAAGCAGATCTTTGAGTTTAAGTCCAACTTGTCTACACAGGGTTCCAGGCCAGGAAGAACTATTAACTGGTGACAGATTCTTTTTTTCCCCAAGACAACATGGTTTCTCTGTGTAGCCTTGGCTGACCTGGAACTCACTCTGTAGACCAGGCTGGCCTCGAATGCAAAGATCTGCCTGTCTGTTTCCTGAGTGCTGGGATTAGAGGCGTGAGCCACCACTGCAGGCAAGACAGCCTCATCTTCAAACCTCTGCCTTCTTTCTGGTACTACAAACCGAACCCAGAACTATGTTAGCAGACACAGTCTACTAATGAGCTATATCTACTGTCCTTTTAATTTAATTTAGAGATAGTCTCTTGAAATTGCCCAAGCTGGCCTCAAACTTGCTATCCTCCTGCCTCAGCCTGCTGTGTAGCTAGGATTATACATATGCTATAATGCTTACCCAACTCTTTAAATGTCTTAAGCTACTACAGGGAGCTTAGCATCTTCCTTTCTGAGAATAAAATGAGGTTATAGTTTACAAACATGAGAGGAAAGAAATACAATTTTACTATTAAAAGAAGCATAATTCCATGGCCAGGTACAGTGGCACAAGCCTGAAATCCCAGCATTGGGGAGGCAGAGGCAGGAGGATCTCTGTGAGTTTGAGGCCACCCTGGTTTGCAAAACGAGTCCAGGATAGTCAAGGATACACAGAGAAATCCTGTCTCAAAAATAAACAAACAAACAAACAAACAAACAAACAAACAAACAAACAAACAGAGATGGCTGAGAGGTTAACAACACTGCCTGCTCTTCCAGAGGTCCTGAGTTCAATTCCCAGCAGCCACATGGTGGCTCACAACCATCCGTAATGAGATCTGGTGCCCTCTTCTGGCATGTAGGTATACATGCAGACAGAATACTGTATACATAGTAAATATGAATCTTAAAATAAAATAAAATACAAGTGTGACATCGCATTCCGGCATGAACAATAATTTAAATATTCTTACTTTTTTGGAAACAAAGTCTCGCCCTATAGACCTGATTGGCTTGGAACATGTTGTTTAGACCAGGCTGGCTTCAAACTCGCAGATCTGCCTGCCTCTGCCTGGAGTTAAAGGTGCGTGCTACTATGCCCACCTCAGCAATAAATTTATTAAAGAGAAAAAAAAAATAAAAAAGAAGAGAAGAAAAGAGAATAGAGGAAAAGAAGAGAAAAGGAAAGAAGACAATCCTTCACAGATACTTTCAGGATCTTATTTCTTCAGTAATGCCAGATCCTGTCACATTCACAAACAAAATCAAACAAAACGAAAATAGTTAATCTTTGTATTAGTAATTTTTATTTATTTAAATCCCTCTAAATATCCAGAGGCCTATTCTATACTTTTCTACTTAAACAAGGCATGAAACAAAAGCACTCTTTGTTACCAGCTGTACATCATTTTTGCATAAACAATCTTCACGCAGGTATGGTGGTGCATGCCGATAATCCACACACTCCAGAGGCTGAGGCGGAAAACTCTCCAACTCAAGCCCAGGACAGGCTACAAAATGAATTTAAGGCCACTGTGGGCCAAATAGTGCATCTTATCTCAAAACAAGCACAAGAACAAATGAACAAAGAAACAAATAACCGTCTTAGGCTACTGTTACCCCAGTTCCATGTCACTTGTCATTTATTCCTCGTTTTAAATATTTCATAATTTAATAAGCATTAGGTTGAGAACCATTTCCCCCAACTAGATCTACCACCATGAATTGGTATAAGTGACTTCTTTGAGTCTGATTCCTAACCTGCCAAATCAAGATAATGCTGTCATCTTGCCTAGTGCTCAGAGAGAGACAGAGACAGAGAGACACAAAAGGGGGGTGGGAAAGAGAGGGGGGCCACACACTGATGTCATCACTTTCTACCTTATTTTTTGTTTAGATTCCTTTTCTTTTTTGCTTTTGGAGACAGGGTGTGTGTGTGTGTGTGTGTGTGTGTGTGTGTGTGTGTGTGTGTCCCTGGCTGTCCTGGAACTCTCTCTGTAGACCAGGCTGCCCTCGAACTCACAGAGATACACCTGCCTCTGCCTCCCAATTGCAGGAATTAAAAATTGTACACCACCACAAAGGCGTGGTGGCACATGCCTATAATGCCAGCATTTTTGGAGGCAGAGGCAGAGGCAGAGGCAGAGGCCAGCCTGGTCTACAAAGTTAGTTCAGGACAGCCAAGGCTACACAGAGAAACCCCATCTCAAAAAAATAAAAACCAAAATAAAATAAATAAAATAAAATAAGAAAAAGCAACAAAAATAAGAAAGTATACTCCACCACTGCCTGGCTAGATTTTTTTTCTTTTCTATATACGACTGTTTTTCTTAGATGCATGTATTTGTATCATGTGTGTGTCTGGTACCCAGACAGGCCAAAGGAGGGCATGGCATCCACTGGAACTGGAGTTACAGTATGGTGTGAGACACCATGTGCACGCTGAAAAATGAACCCAGGTTCTCAGCAAGAGCAACAAGTGCTCATAACAGCTAAAGCATCTTTCTAACCCCTCCACCTTTGTTTTTCTTCTTTGTAAAGATAGGCTCTTTTCCTGAACTCAGAGTACACTGATTGGCTAGGCTGGTTTGGCAGAAAGCTCCAGGGATGCACCTGTCTCCCTGGTACTAGTTATGGCCAGTCACGTGCCGCTATATACAGCTACCACATGGGTGCTGGGTCAGAACTCAGATCCTCATGTTTCTGTGGTAGGCACTTTACCAACAGAGCTATCTTCCTAGCACTCAAAACAATTTTTTAAAAACACAAATTATGTATCTCAAATGTTTTTCAAAGGGATAGAGATGTAGCTGAGTTCATGGAGAGCTTACCTAGCATGCATGATATCTAGATGTGATCCCCAGCACTGCGTAAACCAGGACACTCCCGTAATTCTAGCACCTGGGAGGCAGAGGCAGGGGGATTGCTGTGTGTTTTAGGACAGCCAGGGCTACATAACGAGACCTGGGTTAAAAACAAAGGTGTTCTTTTGGATAAAGCAGTGAGGATGTCCCATGCTCACAACGGAGTGCCTCTGTCCTGAGATGTCTAGACCTACCGTGAGTGCAGAGACGTGCACTGCTTGAACCTCGCCACCATAATCCTCACACACCACATCATAAGCCAGAAGCTCCTTCTTCACTTTTTCAGGGTCAGCATCTGCTTTGTCACATTTATTTATTGCAAGGACAATAGGGACTGGAAAAGAAAAAGTGCAAATAAAAACACTTCCAATTCCAAACATCCATTGTAAGAAATGCCAACCTGCTCTAGCTTTCTCTGCATTCAGTGAATACACATATCTAACCAAGGTCAAAAAGACCCACTTTAGACTCACATTACCCCACTGTGTTGTCTATACATCAAGAAAAGGAAAGGCTGGAGAGATGATTTGGTGGTTAAGAACACTGGCTGCAGGCCAGGTGTGGTGACATACACCTTTAATCCTAGCACTTGGGAGGCAGAGGCAGGCAGATCTCTGTGAGTATGAGATCCACCTAATGAGTTCCAGGATGTCCAGGAATATGTGGAGAAACTCTGTCTCCCAAAGCAAATAAAAAAAAGGGGGGAGGGGAGCTGGCTGCTCTCCCAGAGGATCAAGCTTCAATTTTCAGCACCCACATGGCAGCTCACAACTGCAACTCTAGTCTAGGGGATCTACTGGCCTCTGAGGGCATCAGTTACTCATGTGGTATACAGACATACAGGTAGTCAAACATAACTAAATACATAACTAAATAAACTTTTTTGTTTTGTTCTGATTTTTCAAGACAGGGTTTCTCATGTAGCGCTGGCTGTCCTGGAACTCACTCTGTAGCCAGGCCGGCCTCAAACTCCGAGAGCCACCTGCCTCTGCCTCCTATGTGCTGGAATTAAAAATGAGCATCACCACAGCCCTGCCAGTAAATAAATTTTTAAAAGAGGTACCACATATTTGAAACAAAACTCAGATATAAGATATTGAAACTATAACTATAAGCAGATTACAAACTAGGAACAGACAACGAAGATGACAAAAAAGCCAGGTGTGGTGCCACAGTCCTAATTCCAGCATTTGGCAGGCAGAGGCAGGTGGATTTCTGTGAACTCAAGGCCACACTGGTCTACACACACAAAAAAAAAAAAAAAAAAAAGGAAGAAAAGGGGGTGGAGGTAGGCTGAAGAGATGGCTCAGAGCACTGGTTGTTCTTCCAAAGGTCCTGAGTTCAATTCCCAGCAACCACATGGTGGCTCACAACCAACTATAATGAGATCTGGTGCCCTCTTCTGGCCTGCAGGCATACAAGAAGGCAGAACACTGTATAAAAAAAATAAATCTTTAAAAAAAGAAAAGAAAAAGGCAAAACAAACAAAATCACAACAATATTTTGAGAGAAACATCTGTCCTTAAGTCCAAAACTAAGATCAGCAACTCTGGTTGTAGTAAAGGAAGAGTCTGCAAATAATTTGCCTCTTCTTTCTGGGCTGTATTTATTTATTTTTTAAAGACAGATTGTGATATCATGTACAAAACCAAGTCCAAGCTAAACTAAATCTCAGCAAAGAGAGAAGAGTTGACCATACAATCCCACTCCTGGCTATGGATGTTCTGGCAACTGTGAGCTGCTGGGAGACAGGCAGACAGTTTTCTCTTAAGAGCATAGGCTCTGGTAAACTGGGTATGTTCCAGCAGAAAAGCACAAGTTCAAGCATGTGTGGGCAGTACAAACTGGTCTTGACTGGCTTTTGCTTTTTTGAAAGGACACAAACTTGGGTGAATGGTGAAGAGGGACATGGAAAGAGTTAGGGTAAGAAGGATGAATGTGATCAAAACACATATAAAACTATCAAGAAACAAATAAGATTTTTTAAAAGGGGTTATTTATTTTTGTCTTATGTGTATGAGTATTTGCATACATGTTAGATGTGTACCACATGTATGCTTCTATCCTCAGAGGCCAGAAGAGGGTGTTGATTCTCCTGGAACTGGAGTTACAGACAGTTGTGAGCTGCTACGTATATTCTGAGAACCAAAACTAGGTCCTCTGGAAGAGCAGCTTATGCTCTTAATCGATGAGACACCTCCCTCACCCCCAGAATTACAATTTCATTTTGTTTTTTTTCATTTTAAGATAGGATTTCCCTGTGTGGCCCTGGCTGTCCTGGAACTCATTCTGTAGACCAGGCTGGCCTTGAACTCACAATTCCACCTGCCTCTGCCTGGTCTACAGAATGCTGGGAATAAAGGTGTGTGCCCCCCTGCCCAGCTATCGTCTCTGTAGTGAACTCTTGAAGAGAAAAGATCTGCTTCTTCTCCCTGAGCTGGGCACAGCGCCTCCCATACCTCCTGCATCTTTGGCGTGCTGGATGGATTCCACAGTTTGCTTCATCACCCCATCATCTGCAGCTACGACCAACACAACAATGTCAGTGACCTGAGCTCCTCTGGCTCTCATGGCTGAGAAGGCAGCATGTCCAGGAGTATCAAGAAAGGTTATCTTTTCTCCAGAGGGCAGAGACACTGTGGAAACAGAGATGCAAGAACACCAATACTCAATTTCCTTCTGAACACGAAGGAATTTATGACATCATTAAACATAATATGTGTGTGTGTGGTTTTTGCTTTGGTTTTTTGAGACAGGGTCTTTCCATGTAGCCTTGGCTGGCCTGGAGCTTACTATGTAAACCAGGCTGATCTTGAACTCATAGAAATCTGCCTACCAAGTACTGTGAATGAAGGTGTGTGCTACCATGCACAGCTAAATAATTCTTTAATTGTATTTCTTGCACTAATTTTAACAAGAACACAGACTGAAATTTCATAAAGAAAAACATAAAATACCAATGAGACCATGAGGCCTTTCTTTTCATGCAATAATTTTAAGCTAAAATTCTTTGTATTTTTAGAATACAGCTACTTTGATAAATATACCAATTAATTACCATTCTGGAGAGAGAACCCACCAATAGCTGTGTGGGTAACCACTTCTGCGTCAGCAAACTACAACTATACAACTATCTCAAGTAGCAAAAAGGCAATTTGGTAGAGTTGATAGCTTCAAATTTAAGCCCCAAAATAACAGCTTTAAACCCTAGCTTTACTATTCACCAGCTTTGGCTAAGTTACTGAAGCCTGAGGAAGTGTCAGATTTTCACAGATCTTCAGAAAAATCTTTTTTTAAATTTTATTTTGTATTTCTTTCTTTCTTTTTCTTTTTTTGAGACAGGGTTTCTCTGTGTAGCCTTGGCCGTCCTACTCTTGCTTAGTAGACCAGGCTGGCCTCGAACTCACAGCCATCCTCTGCCTCTGCCTCCGAGAGTGCTGAAATTACAGGCGTGTGCCACTGCACCTGGCTCTTAGGAGAAATGTAATACCTACCTCATGATTTTGTGAAGATAAAAAGAGAAGCATATAAAATGCTCAGCACCACGCTAGGCACAGGTGAATGCTCAGAAAACCGCAGCCCCTGCTCCGTTGTTAACAACACTACCCAGCTTACCACTGAGACTATACACACATAAGTAAAGACGCTAGGCTCGTTAAAGCAAAAATAGCAAAACAGCTGCATCTTTATGGAAAGCCGAAGATAATTTCAGCTGTCTGCTCCAAGCCTGATCATTCCACTGGCTTTAAGCAGCCTCCTTACTTTGAGTCTGCATACTTCACAGCATGGCATTAATCAAAGAAAACAAGTGGGCTCCCAGGCACACTAATGTTATTTGTGTTCATACCAAGAAAAGCACCAATATGTTGGGTGATGCCTCCAACCTCCATTGCTGCCACTTGAGTTTTCCGAAGTTTGTCAAGTAATGTCGTTTTCCCATGATCAACATGGCCCATTATAGTAACAACTGGGGACCTTGGTTTTAATAAAGCTGGCTCTGCCGGAGGCCTACAATTAACAGCAAAGGAGTGTCATTTCTTAAATAGCAGAAATAACTGTGAATTGGCTCACAGCTGTCACTACAGGCCACCGTTAACAAAATATAACATCCAGATTTGATTAGACATAACTATTTCCCTTTTTTTTTTTTTTTTACAGAGAACAATCTAGCAGAATAGCCAATGACTCCCTATTTGTTATGAAGTTGGCATTTTAGTCTTAATGGGTGAAGCCGAAGCAAAATTTAAAATTCAGACTAATATATACACTCAGCAAACTATGAAATATCACACTCATAGTTTTATAGAAAGCTGAATATACTCTCTGGTGCTTTGAATAAATATTTACTCTATACTCACACTCCATTTTAACTACAGAGGAAATTTCAAAGCAAATCTTCCCACAAAATATTGAGTAAAACACAGGGTTAAGTGTTAACACACAGTTAAGTTTACCTTCTTACAGCATCTTTGTTTTCCCTTACTTTCTCCAGTTTTAATTTGCTCCATTTCAACTTCATTCCTGCCTTCTTTATAACTTCTTTGATCCAGACTTCATCTAAACGTGAGTTTGCTTCTAGTGAATCTACGTCAATGGCAGTGTTCAATAAAGCTTCATAGACACAATCTGGTTGAGATAAAACATATTCATGAAAAAAAATTTTTTTCAGGAAATAATAATGAATTAAAAGGTTTAAAAAGTGAATTCTTGGGACTGGAGAGATGGCTCAGTAGTTAAGAGCTCTTGCCAAGGACCCAAGTTCAATTTCTAGCACCCCATGGTGGCTCACAACTGTAGCTCCAGTTCCAGGGGGTTCCATGCCCTCTTCTGGCCTCTGTAGGCAGGAGGCACATACATGATATATAGATAAACACGTAGGCAAAACACCCATGCACATGAAAAAGGAAAGTAAAATAACAAAAATAAATCATTTAAAAATGTGCTTTGTTTTAATCTGTAAAAATAAACTCATCTATGGTGATGATGAAATAAGTAGTTTTGTGTTTCAAGACACCCAGCATACTGTACAAGCAAAATGGAAAGAATAAACAGAGAGGAAAGCATCCCCAAGTAAGCCGAACATGACGCTCAAAAGACCATCCATGCTAAGTGTGGTGCACGTGTCTGTAATTCTAGCACTTGGGAGACTGAGTCAGGAACTAAAGGCAGCCTGGGCTACACGGTAAGACTTTTCTGAAAAGCAAAGCAAAAGAAGAGCAAAGAATATTGATTTCAGTGGTGTGTTAGTAAATAGGGAAGCTGTCAATTAAAAGTCAATACAAGAAATATATAGAATTTTCCAGTTCCTATCCCAGAAGTTGATTTTGAGCCAGTGACACGGATCCAGTGGATGAGAGGGAAGAAATGCATACTCTGACACCACTGGGTTGTCTCTCCACTAGACAAACATGGCAAGTGGTAAGGAAATGAAAACAGTAAACAGTAACAGGAAATTACTAGGTATTGGACCCAGGGCACGTGTACATTAGGACATGTACTCACAACAAACAAATGCAATAAAATAAAAATGTTAAAGTGTTCATGAATTTTAACTATGTGTTTGTGATTTAATTTTACTTTATTTATTTACTTTATGAACAGATCTCATATAGGTAGGTACTGAATCCCCGATCCTCCTCGCTTAACTTCCTGAGTGCTAGAATAACAGCCATATGCCAGTAAGTCTAGTTTGTGAATTTTTTAAATGGTGTCCTAGCATGCGTAGGACCCTGAGTTCAATCTTTACCACAGAAAAAAGGAAAAAAAGGAAAGAAGAGGGAAGAAAGGAAGGAAGGAGGTGAAGGAGTGAAGTATAGCAGAATATTTTAAAATGTATTATTTTTTAAAAAGAAAGGCTGTAGTTATTCTCACAGATATATCTCTGCTGGTCATAGAGAATTTCTCAAATTAGTGAGAGAAAGAAATCAAAAGTTATAGTAAAAGAAAGGGAAATTTGGAGCTGGAGAGATGGCTCAGTGGTTCAGAGCACTGACGGCTCTTGCAGCAGACCCAGGCGTGATTGCCAGCACCCACAGGCAGCTTAGAACCATGTGTAACTCCAGCCCTAGGAGACCCTATGGCCTTTTCTGGCTTCACTGGGCACCAGGCATGTGTGTGGTGCAAAGATACGCAGGTGGGCAAAGTACATATAAAGTAAAGTAGATGTTTATTTGTTTTTCCAGACAGGGCTTCTCTGTGTAGTCATGGCGGTCCTGGACTCAGTCCGTAAACCAGGCTGGCCTCAAACTCACAGTGATCCACCTACCTCTGCCTCCCAGAGCGCTGGGATTACAGGCATGCGCCACCACGCCTGGCTAATAAAATAGAACCTCTCAGTCCAAAAAGGGGTGGGGGGAGGTCTGGATTTACACTAAAAGGCCAGAAATTTTATGAATTTAGTTTTCTTTTTCAGACAGGGCCTCTCTAAATTGCCCTGGCTGTCCTAGAATTCACTATGTATTCAGGCCTCAAACTCACAGAGATGCACTTGCCTCTGCCTCCCTAATGCTAGGATTAAAGGCGTGAGCCACCACAGCCAGCTATTAATTTAGACCTTTACTTGTTTGATTTAGAGTTCATGTGTGTGTAGGTGTTCTGTCTGTGTACCCCCTGCATGCTTGATGCCCACATTGACCAGAAAAGGGCATCAGATTTCTCGGAATCGGAGTCTCAGTGGTTGGAGCTGCCAAGGGAGTGCTGGGACCCAAACCTGGGCTCCCTGCAAGAGCAGCTGATGCTTTTATTTATATGCTTGCTTGCTTGCTGAAGGACCTCAGTGTGTGAGCGCTCTATGTAGATCAGGCTGACCCTGAATTCAAAATATCCCAACTGCTTCGATTAAAAGTGTGTGCCCCCATAAATGGTCTCTCAAGACATCTCACCAGTCACACAGAAAGCAATTTTCACAAAAGCTCAGAGAGCTACACTTGGCAGTGAGTCACGATGTGATTAGAACTTGTATTTAAGATGAAAAGAATCAGTATAACTTAACATTCAGAACACTAGTTCAGCTTGCCTGCAGTGCCTTACGCTTTCACGGCACGTCAAACCCCAAGCTTCGGGCTCCCAGGGCTCTCACTGTGAACTTATCAGGCTCACCTATGTCTCTTGCCATTGCTCTGGCTAGTTCTTCAACAGTTATTCCAACCCATACTTCTGCCTCCTTTCTGTTTTTCATTGGAGACAACTGAGATCTCGATGGTCTTTTTTCCTATTAAAAAGACAGAACATATAAGTGAGACGGAAGAAAAAAAATGTTTTCCCCTTATAACACAGGGTTTCTCTGTATAGCCCTGGCTGACCTCGCCTTGAACTCATAGATTTGCCTGCTTCTGCCTCCCCAGCGCTGGGACTAAAGGCATGTGCCACTACACCCAGCTGAAGAAGAAAAATTTAAGAAACAATTCAGATTTTGTAATGTGTACCACAATTATGGCTATTCCTATCGGCAAACACTCTTGTAAGTACTTAAATGAGATAACAATAACAACAGAACCCCCTGTTCACACAAACATCTGTGCAGAATACAGCCTTAAACAATATTCTGTAAATGTCAAAATATTCAAAAAAGCTTTCTATACATAGTTACACAAACTCTGACTTCAATTTAGATGATATAAATCTGCAACAACCTTCTTTGTTACAAGAAGCCTGTGCTGAGGCAGAGTCGAAGCGACGAGCATGCCTGTCCGCCAGTGCCAGTACTGCTCTGCCAGCACTGGGTGAGCCAGTGGAAACCCGTGCCTCCACCATGCTAACAGTCTCCTCTGACTCAGGCTGTGCAACTGCCTACAAACAGTGTGAAATCGTAGCAAGTTTTCCAACTTCAGCAGCTTCTGGCTCATGCTTCTCCTAGAAAAAACAATTTTAAAATAAAAATCTGGTTAATATTTAAATCAAACTAGCGAATATGGATTGAAAATTTACTGCATGCAGATCACACAAATAAAACCAGGCTTGTGCCCTGAAAGAACTCATGGTGTATGTAGAAACCAAGTACTCTCTGACAATAGCTACTACTGCTGCTTGTTGTTATTATTATTATTTATTATTATTATTACAGTAAGACTGACAGGCCACAAGAAACACTTTATAGGGCTGGTGATGAGGGCACATGGCAGAGAGCTTGCCTCATACCCCTAACACTGCTTAACTGAGCATGGCACATACAAGCCACTCAGGTGGCAGAGGATGAGAAGTTCAAGGTCATTCTTTGCTACATAGAGTTCGCGGCCTTCTTTGGCTACACAAGGCACTGTCTAAAAACAAACAATAACTATAAATGGCTGTTGTTGCTTTTTCCAGGGGCTTGGAGAATCATAGAATAGTTACCTAGTATGCACACGAACCTCGGCTTGACGCCTAGAGTGCATGAACACACACACAGATATTCTCAGCTAAATATTTTAATGTTCATTGAAAAATATTTATTTATATGAATGCTCTGTCTGCACGTACATATGAAAGCTAACAGAGGGTATCGGACCCCATTACAGATAGTTGTGAGCGACTATGTGGGTGCGGGGAATTGAACTCAGGACCTCTGGAAGAGCAGACAGTGCTCTTAACCGATGAGCCATCTCTCCAACTTAACGTTCATTTTTTAATCTTAAAGTGTCGCCGGGAGGCACACCTGTAATCCCAGCACTCAGGGAGGCAGAGGCAGGCAGGTCACCGTGATTTGGAGGCCAGCCTGGTTTAGAAAGCGAGTCCAGGACAGCCAAGGCTACACAGAGAAACCCTGTCTCACTGAGGCGCCCTTTGCTAAATAGCAAGACATTAAGCTAAAGCTTCAGTGGTACATTTCGGCCCTGATAATGCTGCAAACGTACAGCTGCAGTTACGGAAGGGTCTAAAAGGGCCAGCTAGAAGTTCTAGAAAGGAAACAAGCAGTCGTGAAAACCAAGCAGGGCCGCCGTCACACGAGCGGCTGGGGAGCGCGCGGGGCGCTCGCGGGCTTGCCCGAGGCCGCGCCAAATGACAATGGAACTCGAAACCACCCTAGCTCGGGGACCCCACTCACTCAGCTCCCAGGCGAGGTCGCCTTCCGGACCCCGGAACCGTGGGCCAGTCAGTCCGACCTTTCCGCGAGGTCCCCGTCGTGCTTCCGGTGCCGCCGGAAGCGGCTTCCCCGCGGTTTTCGAGGTCGTCTGTGGCAGGCGGGGTTCGGCCGCGGCCGGTGACCTGCAGTGCGGAGGCCCGCTCTGTATTTCCCACCCTTCTCCTGGGAGGACGGGTCCTTCAGCTCGTCTACCCAGCAGGAAGGAACCGGGGCCGGTGGCTCTCGAGAGCGCAGGGGACGGGCTCGGGAGGTGGCAGAGCTCGCGGACTTGACTGCTGGTCCAGCTCGTTCTCAGTGTGGACTTGAGGTGTTCTGTCAGTTCTGGGCCTCGACTGCTTCACCTGCTGTATGGAATGACAGTCCCTAGTTCACAGCATCGTGGGAAGGTTTCAGTTACCTGAGAGCCCCTGGTTCATGTAAACGTTTTTGGGTTTGATTTTTGTTGTCTTTCTCCACTCTGGAGGTTTTTGGTCCATCCTCTTGACCACAGCCTGATGGTAACTCGCTTTCGTTCAGCACTACTACAAATTAATGGAGTGGTACAGAAAGTTTCTTACCTGCAAAGCACGCTTTGCCCTTGTCTCCCATTGTCCACCCTAATTCAGGCCTCTCCACCACTTCTCCCCCGCCCCCTTTTTTTTTTTTTGAGACAGGGTTTCTCTGTGTAGCCTTGGCTGGCCTGGACTTGCTTTGTAGACCAGGCTGGCCTGGAACTCAAAGCGATCCACCTGCCTCTGCCTCCTAGAGTGCTGAGATTACAGGTGTTCGCCAATCCATGCCCGGCTTTCTTTCTTTCTTTTTTAAAATTGTTTTATTTATTTGTGTATGTATATGGGATGGGGGACAACTTGTGGGAGTCAGTTCTCCTTCCACAAGGTCGCAGGGATCAAACTCAAGAACTCAGGCTTGGTGGGCAGTAAGTTCCTTTCCCAGTTAGCCATCTCACCACCCCCTTGTTTTCTAGAAGTACTTGGACCTGAAAGAATCATTGTAGAAGACAATGACCATTTTCTCTATAGAGTTGTTTTCCTGAAGGAACTTTGCAGCCTTTGCGTGACTTTGGTCACTAGATGTTCCTGGCACACCTGGAAGGTCTTGCTTTGTTGGGTACTGCAGACAGTGCACAATAAGGACTAAGGTTGTGGGGTCTGATGTGTTCCTTCACAAAACATACAGATTAGATTAGGGGCTTTGGGATGACGAACTTGTTTTACCCCCAACACAGCTTTGTGTAACAATCAATCAATGTGATTTTGCATGTGGGTTGAGAGTCAGTCCATAGCACAGAGGCTGGATCTCCCTTCTGCCAGCAGGCCTAAATCCATCCTTGACAGTCACCTACACGCATACATATTCCTGGACAACGTGTAGCATGTGATCTGAGGATTAATGTTAGGACTTAAGAGTATAACAGAAGGGAGGTGCTGAGATGGTTTAGTGTTAAGAGCACTGATTGCTCTGTCAGAGGACCTGCATTCTCTTCCCATTGCTCACATAGCAGTTCACAGCCTTCTGAAGCTCCAGTTCCACAGGGATCTGACCTCTGCATGTGTGTGGTATCCATACATTCAGGCTATACATACATACAAAAACGAAACAATTTTAAAAATGAATGAAAATTAAAAGGGTGAGTTGCTGACTTAAATTTAATCCAAGCGAGATTGGAAGAGAAGACAAGAGAAGACCGTGGGCCAGTGAGATGGCGCCTGAGGCCAAGCCTGGTAATCTGAGTTTGCTACTTGGGACCGACACCCTGGGAAGGAGAGAACAGATGCCTGCAAGTTGTCCGCTGATCTTCACATATGCACAAGAGCGTGCCTGAGCGCACACACACACTTGGAACTTGTGTTTATCAAGGAAAACAGAACTGTTTGATAGATTGCTGCCAACGGAAAACCACTGAATCTTGTAAAACGAAAAAAAATTTTTAATTATTAGACAGCTGTGGGTGCTGTGAGCCGAACTTTTACAGTTTTGGTTGTGAGCCTAGTCTTTAAGGACTGAGTCATTTCTCAAGCCCTTGTGAATTTAATATCTTACAATAAATTCTGACATTATGGAAAGACATTTGTCTTTTTCTGACAGTGTACTCAGGAGGAAGCTCAGATTTCCTAGTGGATCCAGCTGATTTCTCCTCCCTTACTATAGGAACCAATTTATCTTTTGAGATGAACCTTCTTAATCTTTAGAAAAGTTTTCCTAGAATGGGGCTAGGGAAAGATGATGATACTACTTAGTGGTTTTGGATTTTTGTTTGTTTTTAATCTAAGAGACAATCTAAGCTACCTGCTTAAGCTTACAAGAATTTGAAACAACCAACTGTCTTTTAAAAAAAGTATTTTCAGGTGGTGGCAGTGCATACTTTTAATCCCAGCACTTGGGAGGCAGAGGCAGGCAGATCTCGTTTTGAGACCAGACTTGTTTGTAGAACGAGTTCCAAGACAGCTAGGACTACACAGTCTTGAAAAACAAAAAATTTAACTTATGTGTGATTGGATGTACGCACATTTGCTTGGGTGTGGCTGGTGAGGCCAGAAGAGCATGTTGGTTCCCCTGGAGGTGGAGTTACAGTAGTAGTGAGCCACCAGACATGGATACTAGGAACCAAACTCCAAAAGAGTAGCCAGTGTTCTTAACTGCTGAGCCACCTTTTCAGTCTCCTAGTTTTTCCTAGGTCAGTATGCCATACAGATTTATTCTGAAGTAAAATCACACTGCTCATACTCTTCTAAACATTTACCATATCCTTAAATAATATGATTGACAGCATAGATTCATTAGGAAAATGTCAGCTTATTTAACAGGTTCTTTTGCCAGTAATCATTCCTGCTTTTCTAAGCATATAGGATCTTTTGTGCCTAGCTTTAGCCCTGCCACTCACCAGCCCTTCTGCTGTGACATCTGATGATAATGCCACAGGAAACATAGCCTCCCCTGTGTCCTCATACACTTCTGGGGTTTCCTCAGCTTGACCACTGGCAAACTCATGACATTAATGCCTCCTCTGATCCATCTTTCCAGTTAGGGTTCCCAAAGGATTCTCATCATGGTATTGTTTGGCATGGTATGCACCCAACCCTCTATCCAGAACTTTTCAGCCTAGGGGCAGGGACTTCCCTTCACTATATAATCTAGACATTTTGGTTCCCTGCTCTCTCTCTCCATACTCTTTTTATAATTTATTTAATTTTATTCTATGTGAATTCATGTGAAGGTGTCAGATCCCTTGGAATTGGTGGTACAGACAGTTGTGAGCTGGGAATTGAACCTGGGTCCTTTGGAAGAGCACAGTGTTCTTAACCACTGAGCCATCTCTCCAGCCCCTCTCCTCTCTGAAACTCCTTTTTTCCTTCTCCTTTTCTTTCTGTTTCTCTGTACCCCTGCATGGGGGTCGAGAGCTGCTTCCAATAAACCTGCATTTATAGTATTATAAATTCATCTTGCAATTAGCTCATTCCAGTGTTTTGTTTTTTTTTTTAAATATTTATACAGTGGTCTGCCTCCATGTGTCCCTGCACACCAGAAGAGAGCACCAGATATCACTATAAATAGTTATGAGCCACCATGTGGATGCTGGGACTTGAACTCAGGACCAATGGAAGAACAGCCTGTGCCCTTAACCTCTGAGTCATCTTTCAGCCCTATTCCAATGTTTTAATCAGGAGTAATTAAGCACATTTTCTTTAATCCATACTTATGAATTGTGTGTGCATGCACACATGTACATATCAGCCAGCCAGATTTTAAGGTTTTTTGAGAGCAGAAACCATATTATGTACATGCAACATATTTACCATAGTACACTGGAAGATAAGTTGAAAGGTTCAGATAGCAGCAAGCATTAAAAACTAGTACTGTCTGACTTGCTGTCTAGTTAGGACAGCCTTCAACCTACCTATCTCAGAACTGCCCTTCATTGCATTCCGTACTGAGGATCCTAAGATGAATCCAATGGAGCCTACCCTCAGAGTGTTTGTAAACATCCCACCTTTTTGGGCTTTTGCAGAGGCTTTTGAAGTGTAATAAAGACACAGAGACTGTTGGCTGCTGGCCTTTTTGCTGGGGCAGTACCTCAGCTGGCTTTCTAAACTTAATCTAACTTCTCTCCATTATGTCCCCCGTCATTGTGATTCTCTCTTCACCTCCCTGCTCCATTCCTGTCTATTCTGTCTCCTGCCTCATTCTTTCTGCCTGTCATGTTGTCCCAGCTCCAGCCACCGGCTCCTTATTTTGCAAAAAGATAAATTCTTTGCTCACCCAGTCTGAACCAATCTGTAGCAGGATAACATTGGATCCATTTTTCTTTGTTGCCTTTCAGCATTGAGGGCTGTGTGACCTTCCTCACAGAAACTTGCTTTTTAACAGGATAATCTCAGAGAATCATCTTTTGGGCAGGTGAGGAAGGACAAGCATTTACATATAGAAAGCAGGAATGGGCCATAGAAATGACAATACCAAATATCCTCCAGCACTTGGCTCTGCCAGCACATCAAGTAACAATTGAAACTACAATACAGGGCCACCAAAAAAGAAATAATAAAAAACTGGGCACGGTGGCCCACACCAATAATCTTAGCACTTGGTAAGGCAGAGACGAAGCAGATCTCTGGAAGTTCAAGGGTAACCTGGTCTACTGAATGAGTCCAAGAAAGCCAAGGCTACACAAAGAAACCCTGTCTCAAAAAAACAAAGAAAAAAAAAAGGAAAAGAAAAATACAGGTGCACTGTTATATAATTAAAAAAATCCACCGAAACATGTATCTGTAGCACATCTGACCTGTACCTAGCCACAGCAGGTAATGATGTCAGAGGTTGCTAGGCAACCTAGAAGCAGGCTATTGGGATTAGCTTGTGAACCAACATTACAGGCATACCCACAGAGCCATTTGCTACAAAATGTGTGGGTGTAGGTTATCCCAACACTGGGCCTTTTGATTTTCTTTGGCAGGCAGGCTACAGCTGTAGTTTTTCTTTCACCAAAAACAGACAACAGGGTCCTTTGATTCTTGGGCCCCATCAGTGTTTCTCTCCACAAGTCATCCTTACTGCCAAATGCTTACAGTTGTCTTACCAACAGCATGTTTGTAAATGTCTTTGTGTGGAAATGCCACACACTTTTTTTTTTTTTCCTTTAAAAACAATTTCTTGGCTTTCGCTTTTCAGACACAGTAACTTTCCTCAAGTTCGTGCTAGGTACTTTTCAGCTTAACTACATATACTCATTATCATTCCTATTGTATTTGACTTGAGGACAAAGGGCCATGACAGGTACAGCTGTCAGGTAGGACATGGTTGCTGAAGCATCTGCCTGACACAGTTCTGGCTGTAGTACTGTCACTCTGGAGAAAACATGTCTGTATTATCAGTCTACAAATGGTGTTGCTTTTTCCTATATGTCTGCCTGCTTTGTTTCTTATTGTGACTACTGTTAGTATTATGGCAGCCTGCTCCTGGGTTGCATAGCGACCCATGATGTCATCATGTATCGCCAGTCAGGTAGCCACACTGGCAGGTGTGGTTATACTTCTTAAAAGGATCAAGCCATTATTTTGTCTCTCTTGCCCTCTCCCCTTTCTCTGTCGGGGCGCACCCCTTTTCTCTTCCCCCATCATGTCTCACTCTCTCCTCCCTCTCTCATCTCCATTTCATATAAAATCTGCTGTGTGCATCATCATTATTATTTAATTTGGTCCTAACAACTCCATCTTTTTCCTCTAATTCAACCCTAGTCAATGCAACTGGTAAGATTTCTAGGGGGACTAGGAGATAAGGAAGTGGCTCAGAAACAACCACTATAGAGGAAGCATTCCTCTTGGCTGTGAACACTGAATTATCTGAACAAGAAGTTGAATCCATAGAGGCCTTTTGTTCCCTGAAAAACTTTAGTCAGCTCAGATATCAAGCGAGATCAGGAATTGTTTGAGTTTCCACACTCAGCCCCCAGATGCTGCAGTCAAAAGGAACTAGACCTTAGAAAAACTACTGGACTCATACTTTTTCTAGAAAACTTGGTTACATGGACATGACTCCTTGGGATAGGATAAGGAGCTTACAGGAGCTTTGTACAGTTTATGAGGAAGGGGCTAGAGACCCTCTGAATGATCACTCCTGTTACAAAAGATGTTTAGGAAGAGCTCAGAAAGAACTTGCTCGGCTACAAACAGCAGCTGAGAATTAAGAATAGTTTGTTTAGCACCTTTGTTCTTATGACACTCAGTACAACTGCAAGATTCTGCCCAGATGACCTGTGATGTGAAGGTTTGTCTGAGAAAAGCACTGAGTTAATGATTAAATATGCTTGCTTGCAATGGAATCACTGTACCATGCATGTAGAGTAGAGCTGCTATATTCTGTTTATTCTCATCTGTAGGTTTTTGGGAAAGAAAAAAAAAACACAATATTCTGGGAAAAACAGTGTGTTTTTTTGTTTTGTTTTTTGTTTTTACCATGTAGAGAAAATGTGTAAGGAAATGATTTAACAATAAAAGTCTGGGATTGACTCTGCTTCAGAGCAGAAAAACAAGAGCATGAGCAGACACCAAAGAGACAGCCTCCTGAGAACAGTCTCTTGAAATGAGTCATCTGTCAGCTTGTACCTACTCCTGTGTGTGGTGATTTCCTCTTGCACCAATCCATTCCTCCCAGTCTCGAGACCCACAGTTGGCTGAGGCTGGTCCCCAGCATACAGCGTTTCTTTGTACTTTTACATCACACAGATGTGTGATGGATAACGGCTGTATTAAACCTGAGGTCTGATGATAGTTTTTGAATGGTGATATAAGATTATTCCATCATACATAGATTAAGTTAGTTTTGTTTTCATAAGATAAACCTTTGGTGGCAAAACTTTTGATTCAGAACACTTGCCATCCGATTACAGGTAGACTAAGACTAAGAAGTCATTATTATAGACTAAGGACTAAAAGGAGTAACTTGGTCAGGGTGAAGGAAGTGATAATAGAAAGATTTCAGAAACTAAACTGTTGGATAATTATGTTCTTGGAGGTACTCTGAGCTTACATAGCTGATGGATGACAAAAGAAACCGGGTTTAAGCACTTTTTGTGACCCTTTTCACCCAGAAGATTGCTACATGACCCAACTACATAAAATAGGTCTACAAATCAGCATTTACTGATGATCATAAATTTTAATCAAGTTCCTTGGTATGCACATATTTTGTCATTTATTAATGAAAAATGAAAATCTACATACCAATAGGATAGATGTACTTTATTTTTACATATGGAATTGAATTTGATTCTGCAGGAGTTAAGCGTCTTCAACGTTTTTCAGTTGATCAGTATTTTGTGGCCATCAATACTGAGACCATTACTTTGCTGCCACATGGGGGCTGGGAACTTAGGTCTTCTGCAAGAGCAGCAAGTACTCTCTTGACCACTGAGTCATCGTTCCAGGCCTGAATTTAAAACATCCTTAATTTTTTTTTTTTTTTTAAACTTTTGAGACAGGTCTCACTCCGTTGTTGTGGCTGGACTGTGTAGAGGAATTTTAATTCAGAACATGTATGCTCTGGCAAGAGATCACATCCAAAGACCTTCTAGGTCTGTGGCTGGCAGAGTTCGGCCAAGGCCGGTCCTGTAGCTGACTGGTAGAGTGCTTGAGACCATAGGTTCCATTCCCTGCACCCAGTGTGCAAATAATTATGCCCCAGCTACATGAAATATTTGCTAAAATAGGAAATAGGCTAGCAACAAAAAAATGCCTACCAGTTAAACAAAAGCAGGACACAAAACTGTATATGTATGAGGGCTTCAACTGTCTAATGGACACTTAAATATACAAAACAATGAAAGAATAAAAGCAGGAGCTGGGGATAGCTTCCTTGGAATTATCGTGTTGGTGTTCAAGATGAGTTTTGATACCAGTCTGCGCACCATGAGGCCATGACTCAATAAGAAAGGAAAGTAGAAAGAACATCAAAATGCTGTCTTAAGATATAGGTTTAAAGGGCTGGAGGGATGGCTCTAATTAAGACCAGTGCTGCTCTTCCAGGGAACCTGGCCTTGACAGTTCATGCCCGCCTTTAGCTCCTGTGGAGTTCCAGGGGGTCCTGTGCCCTCTTCTGACTTCGAAAGGTGATACAAACATACACACCGGCAAAATACACATTTAAAAAATAATCTGTAACTGGGCACGGTGACGCACACCTGTGATCCCAGCACTATGCTTTACAGACCAAGCTGGCCTCAAACTCAAGAGATCCGCCGAGATCTGCCTACCTCCGCCTTCCTGTGCTGGGGTTACAGGCGTGAGGCACCCCCCCCCCCCGCCCGGCTCCTTACCTGCGTCTTTAAGAGGGAGGGTGGCAGAGGCAGGAGGATCTCTGTGAGTTTGAGGTCAGCCCGGTCTACAAGGCGAGTTAAAGACAGCCAAGGCTACACAGAGAAACCCTGTCTCAGGAAAAAAAAAAAAAAAGTTTCTTTTTCAGATCTTCACAGTTCAACCACGAAAAAATTTATTTATGTTAAGGTTAAACATCTCTGAGTATATCAATGTTTCATGTCGGATGTGGGCCTTAATCTAAATTTTTAAAGTGAAAACACCAAAGAGGAATTTGAACCTTACTCAAAGTGAATGGTCCCAACATGGCTGCAAATCCCCGGCTAGACGGTAGCACCAGGACCACGCAAATGGCGAATTGTCGCACTACTGTTTTCTAGTATCAAAACCTGCTGGAGCACAGGCTGTTCTTGCAGAGGACCCAGGTTCGGTTCCTAGCACCCACCTAGCCTCCCTATTTGGCCTCCTCAGGCACTGCACTGACGTGGTGCACAGGCATGCACGCGGGTTAAACGGCTCGGGAGGCCGGGCTGCGGTGTGCGCCCTGGGCAGTTCCGTCACGAGCCAAGGCTGGCGCCGCGCGCCCGCCGGCACCGCCACGCCCCGGAAGCGGCGGCACTTCCGGCCAGCGCTGCCGTCGGCCTGCCAACGTAGCGTGGACATGGCGGGCTCGGAGCTGCGGGCGGCGCTAGAGCAGAGGCTTGGCGCCCTCGCCATCCGCACGGAGGTCGTAGAGCATCCCGAGGTGAGGCTACAGCGCTGGGGTTACAGCGCGTGGGTCTTCTGCCGCAGCTGAGACCCGCGGCCGCGGCCGTAGGGCCAGTGTTTCTTGGGTCCAACCGGGGACTTGCAGGTCTTTCGGTTTGAAACTGCGGTCACCGTGAGGAAACTGGTCTTGGGATAATTGATGTGACTTACAGCGGGCCGGGTGGTTGGCAAGTTTTGTGGAGGTATTAAGCAGCAAGCCACCGCTTACGTGGCTGCCCTATAGAGAAGTGCCTATGCTGTGTCAGGTACCGGAGGCAAAGCTTGTCATTGAGGTGGTTTGGACAGTCGATACCACTGCAGCATGGCAAGAATCACCTCCCAAATAATTACGAGAAAGTATATATCGTTGGGTCTGGAGAATAGTTTTCCCGGTTAAGAACATGGACGCCTCTTGCAGATGACACGAATTTAGTTTCCAGCACCCACATCGAGCTCATAACTGCCAGTTTAAAACTGCGGCTCCAGAGTACCCTAAGCCCTCTTTTGGCCCTGCCTGCCAGTATATGCCGTAAACAAAGTACGTACCGTAATAATTCTAACATGACTTACTATACTGGAGACTTACAATGTTCATGAAAACTACCATGAGAGTTGGTAGGGCTGGAGGAACGCATTGCATAATGACAAAAACACAGGTCTTGAGAACCAATATTCTTCATATTTACAAACGTCATAAAAATTTTTTCTTTGACCTTCTTTATGTGGGGTCTTACGTCCCCCATCGATGTCCTTGTAGAGTGTAGACTGTCTGGTACTCTGGAGGTAAATATTACGGACTGTCATAAACTTTTACTGCCAAAGTTCAAGTAAGGACAGTAAGCTTCTCAGGCATCTGATGGCTTCGTTAGCATATTGGCCTAAGAAGAACTGAGGTCTTGAGGTTAGCAACTGTGATGATCTGAGGGTTTCTTCTTCTTTCCCCCTGTGTAATACAGGCTTACCTGAACTCTTGATCCTAACCTCAGCCCTGAGGGTTCCAGAGATACCACACTTACCCAGCATGCATAGGGTTCCAGCCTCAGCACCAAAAAGCCCAAGCACAAGCAATAAAACATTCATAATGAATAGATGATCTCTACCAGTTAATTCGGCGCAGAGCACACCCTGTCTTTTATCCGTCACACAAAGTATGTACGAGTGTTGATAGGTGTGCAAGTTTACTCATGTGATATTTTGCAGGTGTTTACCATCGAAGAAATGATGCCTCATATTCAGCATCTGAAAGGAGCACATAGTAAGAACTTATTTCTTAAAGACAAAAAGAAGAAAAAGTATTGGCTGGTGACAGTTCTTCATGATAGACAGATTAATTTAAACGATCTTGGCAAGCAGTTAGGAGTTGGAAGTGGAAATCTTCGGTTTGCTGATGAGAAAGCCATGCTAGAAAAACTGAAAGTTGGTCAAGGCTGTGCCACACCTTTGGCACTCTTCTGTGATGATGGAGATGTTAAGTTTGTTTTGGATTCAGCTTTTCTGGAAGGTGGCCATGAAAAAGTGTACTTTCATCCAATGACTAATGCTGCAACCATGGGTTTGAGTCCTGAAGATTTTCTTGCATTTGTGAAGGCTACAGGACATGACCCCATAATTCTAAACTTTGACTGAAGACTGATTGGGAGCTGGGCATGGTGGCATATGCCTTTAGTCTAGCACTCTAGGCAGAACAGGCTGTTCTGAGCTTTAGGCCGGCCAAGGACCACATAGTCACATCCTGTGTCAAACAAAAGCCAGTTGGACTAATGCTCATAATAAACATTTTTGACAGCTGTTTTTATTACTTGTGTCTTTGACTTGGAGACGATCATTCATCTTAAAGATTTTTCTTTTATGTGTATGGGCACTTTGCCTGCGTGTGTGTGTGTGTACCACATATGTGCCTGTGGAAGTCGGAGGACAGTAGATCTCCTGGAATTGGAGCAGCAGATGGCTGAGTGCCACCATGTGGGCACTGGGAACTGAACCTTGGTCCTCTGCAAGAACAAGGAGTTCTAACTGCCGAGCTGTCTTTCCAGACCCGGCCTTAGTCAGCTGAGAGATTCTGTCCTGTCTCCCATCCTCTATGACAGCTGTTCACTACGGTGAAGGCCTTCAGCAGTTGGGATGCCCTTTGGGATTAATGAACTTAAGCCACCACTTTTTACTGCACTTGGAATATACTCAATAGTGGCTATTTTGGGGAAATTAGGATGGTCCCCAGTGAGTTTTTTTTTTTTCTCTCTCTCTCAAGACAGGGTTTCCCTGTGTAATCCTGGTTGTCCTGAAACTTGCTCTGTAGACAGAGATCCTCCTGCCTTTGCCTCCCCCAGTGAGATGATTAAAAACACTTCCCAATGTTAGATACTTGTTTTTAAACCAGTGGGTTTTTATTAAACATTGTTTTGTTGGAACAAGGTCTCACAAAGGCCAGGTTGTCCTCAAACTAGCTGTGTATCCAAGGGTAATAACCATGACATTTTTATCTTGCCTCTACTTGCAAAATGTTGGGATTACAGGCAGTTACCGTCTCACCTGGCTTATTAAACTTAATGTAGAAAAACTAGAAGTAGAAAATGTGCCATTAAGCTATTAAATTTACATCTTAAAACTCGGCAGCAAAATACACCTTATGGCATCAGAATTTATTCAGATGAAAGAAAGGCAGCTTCTTTTTAACTTCTACCCTAATTTGCTATCCTGTTTTAGGATAACTTTTCTAATCTCTATGATGGTGAATCTTGGTTGCGAACTTGATCTGATCCAGAAACAAATACTCCTCTGGGCAGGTCTATGAGGACATTTCTAGGGAGGACTAGATGAGGAAGGAAGATGCCCACAGTGGGCACAACTTTCTGACAGCACCCTAGACAGAAAGAAGTTCCCGGGAAGAACAGTGCTGCTTCTGTGCCTTCACTGCACCTTGCTGATGAGTCCCATTGCTGCCGTTGTCATCTTCCATTGACACCTTTACACATGAACTGAAGAGCAAAGGCTCTCTAAAACTCCCAGGCCTGTTGCACCTGCCGGGTTCTCAGACTCTCCAGGTAAAACAGTCATTGTTCCACACGCAGTCGAAAGTGTTTGAGATAAAGTGTTTGTAATGTATATTTTCTTGGTTATGTCCCTACGGAAAACGCAAATACAATCTTCTTTCAGCTATGGTATCTGAAACACTAAACCTAGGAAAAATTTAGTCAGTTCTTTATTCACCGAGGATCTGACATAGGCTAGAATATAAAAATTGCTCATCATTATCTCCATACCGATCAAATGGGATGTTTCTAAAATAACTATATTTTCGTGCTGAATCTTTGAAAAATACTTTACATCTAGAAAAGAAACTGTAATCTGTACCAGCTTGTGTTGCTCAAAGGCAAAGTGAAAGTAATGACTGCCTTGTTCCAGAGGTTCCATGCTTGTTTGTTTTATCTGACCTGCACTCTATCTCTAAGAAAAACAGGCAGCATTAGGTTGCTATGCATATAAAATGAAGGAACAGAACCAGAATTTGTAGACTTTGGGAATCTTGTTGATAGCGAAAACAGGTTCCGGAACGATGTGGCAAGAGCAGCTGCCCTGAGTTTATAAGTAAAAGGTTAAATATACAACTTTGAGGTTTATTTGTTTTGCATATACATCAGTGCATCACCTGTGTCCACCACCCAGGGGACGGCACTGGATCTCTTGGACCTGGAGGAATACAAAACTGTGAGTGGGACGGTGCTGAAAATAGAACCCGGCTCCTCTGCAAGAGTAGCCAACGCTCTTCACCACTGAGCCATTACTCAGCCCCACAAATTAACTTTTGCAAAACCTATCACATTCTCAGCAGTTTTACCTCCTGAAGTTTAAGTAACCTGTGGTTAAGTGATCCAAAATTGTTAAATGGAAAATTCCAAAATGAAATAGTCCATAGGTTTTAAATTACATGCCATTTGAGAAGCAGATGTCGTCACCGAGCCCTTCTCTGCCTAGCATATCCATGTCGTATACACTACCCACCTATTAGTCACTTAGCCCTGTGGCTGCCAGCCCTGTGGCAGTATTTGCGGCACCACAGTGCTGGTGTGCATACAAGCTTTATCTCAATGTATTTCCTATATCCCTCCATTCAGCTCATCAGACTGTACTTATTTTAGCTCACAGGAAGAGTGCATATAGCATAGTAAGAAGGGCTGGGGCAACATCTAAGTGGTAGATTCCAGCCTACCATGCTTAAGGCTCTGAGTGTTGAGCCCCTTTTTAACCCTACAAAATAAGTAAGTAAGTAAGTAAGTAAATAAATAAATAAATAAATCCCCAGGGCTGGAGGTTATAGGTTAACCTCATAGGTTAAGAGCACTGTCTGCTCTTCCAGAGGTCCTGACTTCAATTCCCAGCAACCACATGATGGCTCACAACTATCTACAGTGAGATCTGGTGCCCTCTTCTGGCATGCAGGTGTACATGCAGATAGAGCATGCATACATTAAATAAATATTATATAAATCTTAAAAAAAAAATTCCCCAAGGGGTGGGGGAACCCCACACAGTATTGTAACAGTTCTGTTTTATTATTAGTTCCTATTGCTACTGTACCTAATTTATAATTTAAGCTTTCTTGTAGTAAACGTACTTAAACATATTTTAGGATTTACAGAACTGACTGCCCAAATGTCTTAATAACTAAAGTGATTTAAGATAAAGTACATAAAGTCTAAAAATAGTTCTCTAGGGCAAAGAGTGACACTTGGCTAATACACAATTTTAAAATTACTATTAACAATTTGTTAAAAAAATTACCTTTTGTTTTTATTTCTTTTTATATTAGTTAATCCAACATCTATATTTTTTAAGGGGAATAAAAAAAAAGTAACTGTAAAAGACAATTCAAACAATGGTATCTTGCCATGCATGGAATTCTGTTGATTGACATATTAGGTACCACTAAGTAAAATCGTTTTGCCATTCAAGCCTACCTAACTTAGCATTAATTTTAAAGGAAATGTTACAACATTTTATATGATTTGATTTGGTATTTAATAACAGTTGTGAGTACAATGGCAAACACTAAAAAAAAAAAAAAAAACCTAGTAGAAATGAAAAAGACAATTTAAAATCAGGTTTTGTCAAAGGATGTTAGAAGTGCAACATTATCCATTAAGCATTCCTTTTAAGGCATTTTCACTGTCCAAATAGCTTAACGTGTACATCAAATTTTATATTATAAAATGGGCTCTTTTTGTATTATTCATATTCAAGACTTAAAGAAAAAAATACATCTCAGGACAAACAGCTAAAAAGAAAGACAATTCACTTTTCTCATAAAAAGTAACTTAAAGTACAAAAGTAATTCAGAATACACAATTCCCCATTATAGTTCCAGATTTGGTACAATATGGATTTTACTTCCTGACATAAACTGTTAAGACAGTACAGGCTGTGGTACTCCATTTGTGAGGTGGCTACAGCTCTACAGTACACACAGTGATTTTTAACACGCCTTGCATGGAAGGTGCTACACATGAACTTGTCTCATTCTTTGGTAACCACCAACTCAGAAAAACTTGGACCAAAACATTTCCATAGCCAGCTAGGAGGCGTATTATTAGAGCTCTGAGCTGATGCTGTTATTCTGATTTTTTAAGTGTTTTTAGACGTTTAGGAGCTGCTTTAGGAATAGAATCTAAAGGTGGGTTTGGGTTCATTTCCATTTGGCTTAGCTTCCTACAAAGACTGCTTCTGAAGTAAAAATGAGGTGGTTATCTAGTCCTTTCTTGAAATGGTATGAGGAAGCAATGAATTTGACTGAGCATATTTTAATAGTCTTATTGTACTCCCTTGGTTTTTTTCTTTTTTCTCTTCAGGGCCAGCCTACTCCAGTTTAATAAATCACAGGCACTCAGTTGAAGTGCTGGGTGCCGGCTAACTCAGCAGGCTCTGTTTTAGGATACTGATGTCACAGAGAGGTCAGACTGTATTATCACTCACCCTCATTATGCCACCTCACACTCATTAATTGTCCTGGGATGTGTGCTAATTGTGCAAATTGGATGCTGTTAATATATTCTAACTTACCCACTTACTATATTAAGTTAAAACATAATTCTACACTTCTCAACTCAATCAAAAGTGAATTTATATAAGTCTTTACATGCAAGTGTCTCTAGACTGCCATTTTGATACTTGAACCCAAGGAGTCATGATGAAGAGATACTTCAAAGTCTAGAGAATGGATTCCTAGTATTTCTGTTGTGCAACATTGTGTTTCAGTAAAAATCCTTTGTATTTACATCTAAATAGCACCTTTCATTCAAGAGTTTCAAAGTAATTTAATTTCAGAGCATTATTTTCTGGTAGCACTGAGTTAAATAAATCCAAGTTTTCTAACTTTCAATTTCTGATCAACTGAACATTTTCTGTCTTTTTTTTTAATTGATAGTCTTTCCAAAGGTCACTATAAACACAACCTGCTAGTGGCTTATTACAGACAGAGTTGGGGAGAGAAACAAAAAGAGGAGAAGGAGGAGGAGGGAAAAGAAAAGATACTTTGTCACAGCTACTGGGTTAGTGATGATACAGTTTGTAAAACACACATTATGGAATGTGTAATTATTCAAAAAGTTCTTTAGAGCTGGTAATAAGAGCTTAAGAAGTATACTGTTAAAATAAAAATAGTATTTTTCATTTCAAAAGATATTCTGGTTTTTATGTTAAATAATGAACTTGCCTTAATGAGTAGCAATGCATTTTAGACTTTATAAGAAAATAAAACTGATATAAAATTGTTACGACTAAAAAACTGGTGTTTCTCTGGGTTAACTAAATCTATTTTTGTGCTTTTTTCAAATGTTTAAGGTAACAAACAGATACAAATATTTCAAAATTACCTATAATAGTTACCAAGTTTAATATATTATAAAGGACAAAAACAAAAATTCTTAGTAATAAATGACAACCTTAATAGTCAATGAGTTCCTGAAAAAAATGTAGATCTTAGTAGTTATTTACATTATTTTGCCATAAGAAAACTTCTTAAGCAATAATCAGCTCTCATGTTTAAAAAAAACACACACACATAACCCAATAGCAAAGGAGGAAAATGAGTTAAAAACACAATTGCTTTATCTTGTAAATGTTGCTGAAAAACCATCTCACTAAAAAAAAAAAAAAAATTCCAGAAAAATGATTTTATCTTGGATCCATTTAGAAATACCTAGTGCAGCTTATCAGGGAAAGTAGTAAGATTAATATCATACAATTTTTATAACTCTGATATCTTATTATGGAATTTTCTGCATGTCTTATGAATTGAGTTTCCTTTGCAGTGCATCAAACAATTGGCTCTAAAAACAAAACAATAACCAGCGTACCAACACATGCAGTCTGCTAATGAAAAAAGGCTCTGACATGCCCGAACAATTTTCTCTGTATCTTGATACATAGTACATTCCACAAAATACTACAGCACTTAATTGAGATTTACACAACTAAATATAAATGGGTAGCTTTTGGGTAATACTTAGCAGAAGCAGTAAGCAAACATGGATAAATTAATAAACAAATGCTGAAAGAAGTAGGCTGTTCTTAGAATACTTGACCTTAAAACACTCGGTCCTTAGTGAGAGAACGTCCTTTATTCAGTAGAGCTTAATGCACTGTACAGGGTCCTAAAACCTTCTATAGCTTTCGACAGTTGAATCCAGTAGTGCTCCTTGATTCAAGGAAGAATGAAGTTTGTATTTCTTGCCTGATCTATTCACGAAGGGATGTGTTAAAATCTCCTTAATTTTTTTTTTTTTTTACATAGTTCCTAGGTGTCTTGTTACTTCAGTAATAAAGTCTTCATACTGAGAAACTGAAGGACACTTTTCTCTCTGTATTTTGTTAAAAGACAGAAAGAAGAAAGAAAATGTAAGAACAGCTTGAAGAGAAGAGGAATGTAAGCTATGGGGAAGCTACTGTAAGGATGGCATGCACAAGTTGTTTACACGGAGAGGAGAGTGACAGGAGGGCAGAGGCAGCCTCTGAGCTTTTCTTAGTGCATTCTCACCAATTACTTTGAAGTTGTAACTGCATAAAAATTTTCAGATTGTTCACTGCTAAAATTAAATTTAAATGGAGAGAAAATACTTTTCAAAGGTTTGCTATCCAAATAGACAGGCAAAACCCCATGGCAGCCAACTAATCTTTACTAAATAAGCAGGAGAGCAAGTCAGGGGATCCAGCAAGCACAGTTTAATCTGTTAGTCTGTAGAGACAGGACGGACTCATGTAGGGTTCAAGCAGGACACTCACCACTTGGCCCACATGTGGGTCACTCAGGAGCTTTGCTGCTCCCCACACCTGCTTTTGGAGCTCCTGCTTTCTTGCACTTTGTCCACATCTGTGGGGGAAAGCAGTCTGTGTTACTTGGTCAAAAGTCCAACAAGACAGTTTATGAAGATAAACTAAAAAGCTCACTGGGGAGGACAGAGAGGAATCTGAAACTGGGGAGATTATTAATCTCACAGATATTATGTGAAGTCTATTTTTATATTTTAAAGTCACAGATCTAAGAGTCACCCTTACCCATCTTAGTGTCAGAGCCTGGTACACCTACTATACTCTTATAATGACACGTTGATGGTCATCACATAATTTTAAGCTAAAAAGTTACAAAAAAACAGTAGAATATCTACATCGTGGTGTTCTTTACTATGAACACAAGCACTGGGGCATATTTTATACCTATTTACATTCGGTTATAACTAAAGCTGCTCAAGTATCACACTAATCATATGGATGTAATTTATAGAAGACTAGGCCAGAGTTTTAAAAAGCTATCAGTCTTATTATTTATAAAATCAGGATATTGAATCTTCTAATCTTTGTGAATTACAGATCATAGAGGTATCTTGGGGCAATTAAGTGCAGCTACTTGACTCACAAGTGCTTTATTTTTAATGTTGACATAAAAAGTCTTTTGGGAAACACTGGTTCTATGTTCTAAGGCTTCATTTTCTCCACCACTGAAACTGTGACTCCACAGTATGTGATGTTTTCTGGAAGAAGTCTACACGGCAAACTTAAGACAGCCTTCAGGAAACATGGAGATGGTATTTGCCTGTCTTACCTGCACTGTCCACACATTTTTAAACACACTGGATATACCCTTACATCCATTAGAGACATAAACCATAAACATACAGTTTTTGTAAAATACGTAACTTAAAGTGAGTGTGTGTGTGTGTGTGTGTGTGTGTGTGTGTGTGTGTGTGTGTGTGTTTTTCTAAGACAGGGCTTCTCTGTGTAACCTTGGCTGTCCTGGACTTACTTTTGTAGACCAGGCTGGCCTCAAAGTCACAGAGATCTGCTTGCCTATGCCTCCCTGAGTACTGGGATTATAGGCGTGCTCCACTGCTCCTGCCTTTAACACGTATTTTGAATTAACAAAATTAATAATGTTATTAATTTTGTTAATTAGTGTAAAAAAAGTATAAACGCTAGTTTTATGATGCCCAAAACTAAGTAAAACATTTCTTCCATATAGCCCCCATCAATCTCAGCTATGTTTACCATTTAACTTTATTAGTAGGCTATGAATGAAAGGAAAACCAACAGCATAAAACTACCTGAAGTATTAAGATTGACTAGTCAAAAACGAATAGTACAAGGTAATGATGCATTCACATGAAAAGTATATTAGGTGGTACTAAATATATAAAATACCTGATTACCTGTACCAGAACAATTTTTAAGAATAGATGTAAGGAAAGAAAAGTATAGCCACCAATATAAACAGAAGGGGTCTACCCATAAAAGTAATCCTGTGTATGTTCAAGAGGAGAACCTTTTACAAAGGATACGAATTTAATTAAGCAGAGACTCCTTGAGGATTCCCCCTTTCATCAAGTACAAACAACGACAGCTCTAGGCAGTAAGTATACAACAATTTCCTATTTGTTAATACAGTCACCTCTGGTGCCTAAGTGGGCTGAGTTATTATTATTGATATTTAGGAAGAATCAAAATTACAAAAACATTCTTGAGACAAAATATCCTGTAGAAATAAGTCAGAATATCGATTTTGTTATTACCCTGAGAGATTAAAGCTGGTTTGCTTTAGAGTGACATGAACAAAATAATAATAATAATAATAATTATTATTATTATTATTATTATTTAAAGTCGTGTGAAACCTGAGTCCATGTTTATGGATATTATCTCTATCCTGCATGGATTTCCTTTTGGGGAGTGGAGAGCTAAAGACTTGGTTTTTTCTTTGTTGTTTTGGATTTTCTTGAGGCAGGGTCACACTGCATAGCCCTGGTTGGCCTGTGACACCCACCTCTGCCTCCCAGGAGTAGTGCATGCTGGGGCTAGCTAAAGGCATACACCACTACTCCAGGCAAGACTATGTTTTTAATACAACAAATTTCAGAATGAAGACTATAAACTTTTTATTTTTATGCTTGTAAGTCCTAATTTTATACTCTAGCACAATGTATTAGCTTTTAAAGAGTCTGGATTCAGGATGTACACATTCAATTTAGTAGTAAATTAATGACAGAAATTAAAATTTTCATCATTTAAAAAACTTGCCATCCTTCTGAACTAAAGTAAAAATACAAACCCCCAAGATAATGAGTACCTTGGTTTATGTCTCTTTGACTCAAATTAAAAAACTGGAAAAAAATTTTTGTTAAAGGATTTAAAAAATAATAGTCATGTTGAAGGGAAGTACTTAAGCTATTGTATTTATCAGAAAAAGAACAGCACCAAGAAAAGAATTATAATACAAATGCTCCTAGTCAGTGTGTAAGCACATTTAAATTTGATGGAAAACTCTAGGAGTAACACATTTATGAATAAACAATATTTTGAATCTGAACAATATTTTATAAATATGAGCGTTAGTTCAAATTAAGTTGAACTATTAACTTTTTTGACAAGAGAACAGGACAGATAACATGATTAAGTGACGACAACATTTCAAAAATATTTTCCTTATTAATATTATACATGTGCGACATGAAGTGCACATTCCAGAAATGAAGAAGAGGGAGAGAGAGGAGGCAGGAAGGGAACATGAACTCTTTTTAGAAGCAGCCAAACAATGACGTGGAGATGTTTTCTTGGTAACAGAACATGCAACTATTTTAACATGCTTCATGATTTATCAAAGTATCTTTATCATCTTTATCAAGTGACAAAAGATGCGAAAGAAAAACATGTACGGTTGGGGTTCTTAAAGGCATGCAAAAATGTACAATGTAATTACTCACTCATGCAGACTTTGGTGTGGTTATACATTCATGTTTATACACATGCCTTTTTATACAGTGCTGAATGCTATGTAACAACCTTAAAAATACAAGCCTAGAAAATCGTATCAACATATTATGCAGTTTTGATCAAATACAACCATATTCATACCAAACAGTCTGACTGTCTTCTGAAACCGATAATGCGATTTCTGTGTCCTCAGGGTAGAGGCATGCAGGAATGGTAAGACTGCTGCTATCTAGAGAAGACTGTGGGTTACTGTGACTGGGGCTCTGACTATCAGCAAACTGTCTGTTACCCTTCTGTGCAGCTTTACCCAAAGAGGCAGAGGTCTGGTCGGTTATTCTAGTGAGTGACTTGGGAGGTAACCCACTTATGTTACTAACCAGTTCTGTGTTCAGGGACAGAAAGGGCTGAGATGAATGAGCCACAGTAAATGACCCACGGCTATCGTTTGCGGATATTCCAAACGCATCGTTAGACATCTTAACAGTGGCAGAAGTCTGACTTAGAAGACATGGCCATCTTGGTTTTGAATTTCTAGCCTGGGCATAAGGAGACTCCCAAGTGTGCGCAGCTACATCACGGGGGGCCTGGCGGCCTCCAGCGTGCGCTGGCCCATCAGAGGACCACTGCTGTAAATGGTACTCACTAGATGCGGCAGTGGTGCTGCTGTCAGCAGGAGGTGCTGGATCGGCTGGCACAGGTACTCTACTGTCCTTGCTCAAAAAGTCGTGGATGCTTGTCCTTCGTGTCGTCCCTTCAGCAGTAGAGATCACACTGCTTGCGCGAGGTAAAGTGGCATAAGGGTTGCTGTCTTTTGATTGTCTTGACGCAGACGTTTCTTTTACCAGCTTCAGTTTTCCTTGAGTGCTTGGTGTAGGTTTCCCTGCAGAGCTAATGGAGTAGGCATCTTCAGTCTTTCGAGGACCAGTTCTCAAAAAGTCAGGTTTAGTTGTCCATTTATCATAGAAGTCCCCTGGAGTTTTTCCACTTACTGACCTGGCTAGGGCACAGCTAACTGGCTTGTCTTTCCCCAGAAAGTCAGAAGAGACAGACAAACTTTTCATTACTTCATCTAGAAGATTCTCTTGACTCGAGGACTTCAACTGTTAAGAGTAAAAAGAGTGCAGATGACTGAGCATGGCAATGTTTAGAGTCTCCTGATGAGCTCAACTACACCCTCAGAGCTGCTGTTACCTCTCAGTACGCCATGCTTTAAAACAAATTCTAAGGTTCACTCACAAGCATTTAGCTAGTGTTACTCATTTAAATCAAGGTCACCATATACAGAACTAACCTGTACTGAGGTAAGCTTGTTGCTTTCTTCCAAGAACTGTTGTAGAGTAACAACTTCACTTCCAGGGGAGCCAGCTTTAATCCTGTGATGTGCTCGACTCTCTGCTGTTTCAGACATTTTGTGCTGGAGCACAGGGCTTGACCTGGTCTGTCTTTTCAAATACTGGATTGGACTGCTACCACTGCTGGACCAAGTCTCATGATCATGAAGCAGACTGAATTCTCCACTGCTGTGGCTTTGTGGCCTGCTTTGGTTATTAACTGCACCTGCTTTTGGAGTAAATGCTGTGTTGAAACTTCAATTACAGAAACGAGACAGCACTATGCAATATTTGTTAGCAGAGTTCTAATTCCATTAGTAGCCACACCGACTTTAAGCTTCATTTAGACATGCTTAGGTAAGCTATGTTACTTGTTCCTCAGTCTGACAACTGTATACCAGATCTGCTTTTATGGTTTTATTAAACTGACAAATACTCCAAGTTCTATAAGGGCAAAATATACTTTTGTCATCAGAGTCAAATCCTAAAGAGAACTGCACAATAAACAATAATTCAGTATACCACAAGCTAAATGAATGAATAATACACATTAACAATTCAGGTTCAAATAACTGTAAAATAACTCACAATTTAGATAAAAAACAAAACAACAACAACAACAACCAAAAAAAAAGCAACCAAACAGCTTTTTTTTTTTTCTTTTTGGTTTTTTGGGAGAGGGTTTCTCTGTGTGTATCCTTATCAGTCCTGGGCTCAGTTTGTAGGCCAGGCTGGTCTCAAACTCACAGAGATCTGCCTGCCTGTCTCCCAGAGTGCGAGGATTACAAGCATGCGCTACTTCACCAAGCTCTCAATTCAGTTACTTATTCAGATTTCTAAATAGAAAGATTACTAAAACAAAACAAAACAAAACAGAACAAAAAACCAAAACAACAACAACAACAAAAACCCTAAAACTGTTTTTAAAAACTTAGCATACACAAAAGGAAAAGTTGAAAGGAGACATGAAATAGACAAGTCCCATAAAAAAAATGAAACATTATTTCAGACAGGATTTCACTGTCTAGCCTAGGCTAGTTTGGATCTTGGTATATAGGCTGGGCTGTCCTAGAACTTGCAATTATCCCACTTTACCATCACAAATGCTGGGATTACAGGCCTATGTCACCATGCTTGGTTTATTTTTTCCTCAGTATCTGAATTATCTGATTGGCTCTAATGTTCACTGTTGGTATTGCTGCCACATAACCTTAAAAGATTTGCTTGAGTTTTAACAGAATGGGTTCTAGAACCCAGGTCCTAAGAATGTTCACTATTCTTTTATATGGCTGGTTATCAATAATAAACTGTACTGTACATCAAGATTCATCTTAGAGCAAGGCAGTCATGTACTTTGTCTAGGGTTATGTTATTTTTCAGAACTGAGATGTTGTTATATTTTCAATCAGAAAGTTTTTTTATAGTTTGACTATTTTTTATCAGATATAATTTATAAAAAGAAAAATTAATTCTCCTCAAAACCATGTATTTCAGATCACTGTAACAGAAGTCATAAAAATGAGACAAATAATGTTCTAATCCAAAGGCAATAGAACAAATGCATTCATTATAGTTGTACAGTTCCAGAGTATAGAGAATAGCTATGGTAGTGTTCAACATGCCCAGGGTCTGGAAAGGCAGTAACATATTTTAAGGAAATATATTACAGCTATAACTTAAAAACCTCACCTCGGAATACATACTGAAACACAAAGAAAACAATCTTGAAATTATTCTTTATATGAGCCATATGTGTACCCATATACTTCTTATGAGACATACATGTATACAGACACAAATTGCTTCTTATATTAAAAAAATGAAAGTACGTGTTTTGTTGACAATGTAAGCTAATAGTACTTCTAAAATACAAGTAATGTACATGCATCATGAGAAACCTAAGGACATATGGATAATTACGTTTTATTATTTGTGAAAATGAAGAATTAAAGCCAAAATAACTGCTCCTGATTTTACATTTGTATACATTGAAAGACATATGTATCACAATGTAAAAGTGCAAAGCATTCCAGAGAACTATGTTTCACACATAGATAATCTGGGTTTTGCACTTTATCACCAGAAACCTCATCCCACTTCCCACTCTTTCCCCTCTGGTTCTGGGGCTAAAGTCAGGCCTGGCCTCGCGCGTGCTAAGTACAAAGTGCTCTGCAGTGAGTTGCACTCTCTATCCTATTTGCCAACAATACTGGAAACCAGATGGGGTGAGCTAATGAATCCACCACAGCATACCTTTGACTTCATGGACTGAAGCGTTATTATTGCTATTGCTAGTGGATGTTCTGCCACTATCAAGGCTGGCTGGTCTTGAAGCTAAATGAAAAAAATCAGGAGACAGTGTAATGAAACTTCCATCTGATAGCATTGAATTTTACATTCTTGCCACAGAATGCTTTGAGGAAACAATCATGCAGACTTTCTCAGCCTGGGCATGCTCACAGATGGTGAGTCATTTAGATTAGAAAACACAGACATTTTTAGATAGTTCAGTAAGATACTTTGGAATATGATACTTCTGGAAAAACAGTTGAAATTAAAATAGAGGGACAGGGAAAGAAAGGGGAAGGAGATCATATTTATATTTGAAAATGCTTCAGAGACACCATGAAGTGGAGGAAAGTGACCTCTGCACTGATAATGTCAAACACACATTAATTTTTAATTAATATTTAAAGATTTAATTTTATGTATATAAGTGTTTGCTTGTATATGTATGTATATGTACCATATCCGTGCCTGATGCCCTCAAAACTCAGAAAAGGACATCAGATGCCCTGGAACTGGAGTTGTGGATGGTTGTGGGCCACCATGTGGTACTGGGAACTGAGTCCAGTTCCTCTGTCAGAGCAGCTGAGCCATCTAACATCCTATCTATTAAAAGATTTTTCACTTATAATTATCATCGTGTACCATGCTGCCTGTACTGGCACACGGCCAGAGGTTTGTGTTGTTTTCTCTTCATCCACCTTTACACGGATTCTGTCTGCTGAACTCAGGTTGCTGAGCTTGTATGACAAGTGGCTTTCACTGCTGAGCCATCCTGTTGGCTTCTTCTTTTTATATGCATGATTATGTGCATATGAATGCAATGACTATAGAGGCCAGAAGAGTGTGTAAGTTCCTCTGAGGTTAGAGTTACAGGCAGTTTACTCCATGATACTTCTTAAAAATCTGCCTATTAATGAAGTTTATTTTAGCATGTTATTTATTACTAGTAATAGAATTCCATTTTGTAAAACATGATTTATCAAATAGGAAAATTTTAAAAATATAAAATACTCTATACTATAGAAAATTTTGGTTTTTAGAATTCATCCTTTATCAAAATAAGTATTTAAAACCAATGGTGAAATGCAACTCTCATAATTAATCTTGTATGATAGTGGTAACAAAATTACCTTTGAAGATTATATAGGCATATTTTGTAAATGACCTTGATTAAAAGAGAATACTGAAATGAAACAATAATCTTAAAAGGAAAAACTGCAGTATTGGAAGAAATGAAAGAAGCAATGCTACATTCACCTACTCAAAGCAAGCATCTCAGCATTCCCATTCAGTACTTAATAGATAACCATCTAAGTCAAGTTCATCGCTTACCATGAACTCTTGATCCCGTACTAGAATCATCACTAATACCTTGTGGACTTACGTCTTCAAAGGATGTAGTATCTACATGAAATAGCAAAACGGATATAAACATATTTCATACTAAAATAGTTTCAATATAAATATTTACACAGAATATGGAAACACTTTTTCGGCTACACACAACACAGCTTGATTTAATGAATTCATAGCTTCAGGCACAAGCTGGAACTAGAAGAAAAAAGTAGCTCTGATGAGAACTGACTTGTTTAAGAAGTCACTAGAAGCAGTGAAACAATCTTCCCAAAGACCCTGCAAAGCAAAGCAAAAGCCACTGTTGTTCCGTGTAGCTCTCTTCGGTTGTTGAGAGTTTTGGAGGCATTGGAGTTTTAAGAAAAAACATACCACTCCCTCTTTTCCACTATGTTTATTTATTTTATTCTATTGAAGTTTTGAGTCAGAACTTCTCTTTGTGTAGCTCTGGCTGTCAATCTATAGACCAGGTGGGTCTTGAACTCACAGAGATCTGCCTGCCTCTGCCTCCCAAGTGCTAGGATTAATAGGCGTGCGCCACCACCGCCCAGCCTCTTTTCCACTCTTTACCTGATTTTCTTCTCCATTTCATGTAAGTTCATTAGCTAGTTATGAGAAGAGGCCTAGAAAAGATTCTGATTATTTACATAGTATCTTAAAAGTTTGAAATTTCCCCCAAAATTAAATCTAGATCATGGCTTGGTAATTATTTCAGGTTTGAAAAAAAAAAAGTATACAAGGAAGTCAAATTAAAATTCCCACTGCCAACAGTTACACACCACAGTGCAAATAGCAGACAACCTATACCTTTATTATTAACCAACTGCTTGGATCGGAAGGCTGCAGAAGAGTTGACAGTTGAAAAGTTGATGGCTGTAGTAGAGAAGGCCATAGCTCCCAATTCTTTTCTCCTTTTACCCGTTGAAATATCATCAGGGACCTCCAAATTTTCAGTACTACCTGTCCACTGTCCTCCTGCTAGGACCATGGACTGCACCAGGTCATTCATGGCTGGGATGTAAATGAGAGCAAATGAATCAGCATGATTAATGGGTTGGCTCTTATTTCTATTTTGTACTATAAATGGTCTGGTTTTATCTATGAATTAATGCAAATGGGCCCAAAACTATAACTACAAGGCCATTTGAGTAATGACATGCATTCAGCTGAATGGAATGAGGCCAAAAGCTGATAAATTTCAGTACTCTTACCCTCCCCCCCAACTGCCTTTAAAAGGCAGAAAGGAATTTTACTGTGTACAATGCCATGCTTTTGTGCTATGGTGTGAAATATAATTAGAAGCCTTCATAATGTAGTTTTGTGGTGACAAAAATGGAATGAGATAAGATGGAGCAATTTTACACAGTGTCATTACTGAAAATGAAAGAGTCCTTGGTCAGAGCAGGTTACTGAATAAATTCATTTTTATAAATAAAGTAAATTTACCAATCAATAAAAACCTGAAAGAGATACTCAGAGTAACATGATGTCATTACCCGTTTCACTTAAAAAGAGAAAGCCAAGATTATTACATAAAGAATGACAAACATTTTTAATGGTGATAGGCCACTTTATTCACTTATTTATTAGGTTCATTAAAGAAATAAATTCCTAATGCTAAAGGGTTTGTTATATTTTTCCTTAAATAAACTTCTTTGGGGAAAAATCTGTATGGCATATAAAATTAAGTTTGTTTTTGCCAGTTTTAAGAATGCACTGGCCATTTACAATTATACTGCATGTATTACTAAACATATGCATATATATGTATGAGGTAGCATACATATAATGCAAATTCATCCCTTCTTTGAAAAAATATTCTTCCAGCTCTTTGTATTAAAGGAAGACTGCACTTTGCAAAATAAGAAATTAGTACAGTCCAGAGAAAGGTTAGTGAAAAATTAGTGATGGAAGCCAGGGTAGTCATTTGAAAGAAGCTGAACTGTCATAAAGTCTTACACATGGAACGACGGTAGCAGGCCTTCATTTTGTCTTTATCCTTCGGTCTGTTCCTCAAAAAGGGCAGTCTTTTCAGTGCAACCACTTTAATGTCAGAGCATGAGGAAAAACAGAAACAGGGAAATGAAAGAAAAAAGGGAGAAGAACAGATGGGAGTTAAATGTTGAAATCAAGGACAGGATGAATGTTGGTCTCAGCTATGTAGGCTACATTACAGCTAACACCCTCATGCTGCTGAGGACAGTGAAATAGGAAGCATGCACTCTGGTACTGTAAATACTTGGAAAGCACTGAAGACAACGATGAGGAACATATATTTTGAAAGCACTGGCTACAGTCCTATAAAAACAGGAACTGACTAGAATTACTTAGGGAGAAACCAAATTTTCTAGTTAAACTATAAAAGTAAACTTTTAAAATTACGCTATTGGCAGCTTACACTATAAAGGATGAAGCAAGCATCTATTTTTTAAAATTAGGTTGAAAGCTTTCTTTAAAAAAAAGTTAGGAAAATGCATATCCCACCGGAGAATCTTAGTTATATATGTATATCTGCACCTATATGCAGAAGCAGATAATACATACTTATCAACCAAAATTATGGTGGTTTGATATTTAAAGCAAACTAAACTAAAAAAAAAACACTTTAATTTTTTTTGTTAGTTTCCTAACATTTAATAAAGGAAACATTGATTTAAACTAAAATCTAGTGCACTGTTTAGCAGCACTGTGGAAATATATATTCTTTCAACAAGCAGCAGGTATATTATTAGGCTCAGTTTACAAAAAGTTGACTGAGAGAAGGAGGAAAAAAGAATAGTTTGACATCAGCAATAAATGTTAGCACTAAGTTCTAAAATAAAGCTAACAAAAAAGGAACCCCAAAGCAAGCAAAATGGGAGGGAAATATAACATTTAAAGGTATTTGGGGGTTGGCGAGATGGCTCAGCAGTTAAGAACACTGACTACCCTTCCAGAGGACCCAAGTTCAATTCCAAGCACCCACTTGGCAGCTCACAACTGTCTGTAATTCCAGTTGCAGGGTATCCAATGCCCTCTTCTGGCTTTTGAAGGCACCAAGCATGCATGTTGTACCAGACATATCAGGGCAGGCAAAACATTTTTGTATATAAAATAACATACTAATAAATAACAAATTTAAATGAGCCCATATTTTGAAGGGCCCAAAGGATAGGTTTATGTTAAAAAAAAAAAAAAAGGGAGTGCTGCACAAAAACAATTTTGTGAATTAAAAGGATTACTGCTCAAATATAAGAATCATTAGAAAAATTAATCTATCTCTTAGTATGACTTAATATAAAAATTTATACATTTAGAAAAACAAATTATGCACAACCTTAATAACTATGTTCTTAGAAGGTTGTCATCAGCATGTAAATAATCAAAGCTTTTGGATAAATTGTTAAGTATTCATTGAAAGATGTGCAAGCTAAAATAGCTCTTTCACTTGTTTGACTGCTATAAGTGTCATGATTCGTTTAAGTTTTTAAATCTGACATATATCTCTTCATGCTTGGTAAACACAGCTATTCTCAATGACCAAGAAGGAATGAGCTGAAAGCAACGTAAAAATGGACACTTAAGCTAAAACAAAGCTGAATGGTTGCAGCATGCATATGTCATGTGTAGATACTTTTCTTTTTTTTCCTTTTTCTGTTTTCAGCTGTTTTTTTTTTTTTTTTTTTTTTTCCAAAAGACTGCTTTACTGACATGACAGACAGACATTCTTCCAAAATGGGCAGGATAAAAAGAATTGGAAATTTGCCAGGGGTATGATTCTTTTTATGGCAATTATATTTAGAGACATAAAATGTTCTTTTCCTGAAGCATACTTATAAGAAAGCATTAGTATTATTGAGTTTTGTTTATTTAAACAAAATCTATAGTTGAACAACTGTAGGAAAGAAGAATATTGTTTCCTTCTGATTTTTATCCTGAATATTCTAGGACGGAGTATGAAAGAATGACTTAAACTTTAGACAGAATGACATAAAAAAAAGGACTATGTGGTTTGTTTGTTTTTTTTTTTTGCGTGTGTGTGTATGCTTATGTCTAAATAATATTCCTGTAACTTAAAATAATTAGGGACCACAGTACACTTTCTTAATAGGATGCCAGATATTTCTGTGTTTAAAGGAAGCAGATAAAAATGACTTATTAGCCACCTGTAAAGGAAAACTTGAAGATCTCTCCACACCAGCATTTAACAATTAGGTGGGCAAGGCTAGATGGCAAACTATCCCAGATAATAATAAACTTATGTGAGGCTATAGAATGCATTGCTTTCTAGAGACTATTAGATGTATATTATATATACATTTGTACTTTTGATTGCTTTTACTTATTAACTATCTAGGCAGCTAAAACTACTGTGAAATACATGCTACCATCCAAATACCATCTCCTTTCATAGAGGATTCACTTGAGGATATCATGTTGTTACCATTTTTTTGAGTATTTTGAGGTCCACCCACATAGACAGCCTACCTCTGAGGGAGGCAATAGCTGCCTTTGCTTATTTTTCATTTCATTTGTTAGAAGGAGGATTTCATGTTGCCAGCTGGCCTTGAACATTCCCCACACTGACATTACAGATATGCATCACCACACCAGGCTACATGTATGTGTTCATAATTTGGTGACACTGGTAATGATGTGATCAAAGTATACACCTTTTCAAGTATTTTACAAGAACACAAATAGTCAACTTTGTAGACATCTTCAGACAGCTTAGTGTTGAATTCTTTTCTCTATTTCTTAAAATATATACTTTTTCAGGCTTTTACTTTGGTCTTGCTTTTTAGCTAAAACAAAACACACTAGCAGTGAATTGAAAAGTCTATAAATGTTATCAGGCACATCATGTGGGACTTCTAAGTCTAATAAAAACTAAATCATAAATTTATACATTTACATTTCCCCATCTTTATTTCATTTTAACTAAAAAGCTTCAACAAGTATCCCTCAATAATTTTTGGAGAGTTCTCTTATCTTGAATTAATTCTGTAATACCTCTTCAAATTAGTATTTATTTTTCTTTACTTCCCCAATATAACTGTTTCAATTTTATACTATGAAAGCATATGAGCAAAAATCTCATTATAAAATATCTTATTTTGAGTAAGTTATAGATATTAATGAAATTAAATCTTATTCTTATTTCTTATCCTTATAAATTATGATGTGAAGTATAAACAGAGGGAAAGCCTTGCCTATTTTAACAGCACATTTTTAGGAGCTGACATAGCCAAGCTCTTGTTTCAATGTTCTTTTTATAATATTTTACCTTACTAGCATAATGATGGTTCTATCTATGCACATGTCAGAAAACCAGGCAGTTGTACACTAATAGACTCTGCAATTAATTTTATAAACAAAGTTAAAATGAAATATCATTCATCAAACTAAATTGGAAGCTATTTTTTTAAAAGAGAGATCTTTAGACGGATTCTAACTCCACATTCTGTTTAAAACACTTAAACACTCACTGCTGCTCTTCTTGGTCCCCAGCATCTGGCCATCTTCTAAAGAGTTTGACCCTACTGAAGAGCTGTCTTGACTGTCCTGATGGGGCAGCTGAAGAAACCCTTCACTGGAGTCTGAGCGGGTGGGTGTTAATGTTAGACATTTCTGACGGTCCCGATTAATATCTTTCTTGGACTTTATCAATTTTCTCATTTTTAGAGTAATCCAGTTGCCTCTCCTAATAGAATTAAAAGAATTTTTAGTCAACAACAACCTTCATAGAATTACAAGCTTTAACAATACTACAAATAAGTTTTCTTCAAACAAGATCCATAAAATTTGATTAGTGTTACCTTCGAGGAGGAGAGGGATCATAAAATTTGTATTGATCCATTATTTTTTCTTCTAATTTCTCTTTCTGTCGTCTCAATTCATTTAATTTATCACTATAAAAATGGAAATTACATTTTAGAATATGCATAATATTTTACACAATGACTTTATGACTATGATCTTACTTCTTCCCAGGACATAAAAAAACACAGAAATTGTTACTGAATAAAGAAGTAACAATGAGCTTCTTCCATATTTCTCCTTTTCTTTAAATGTTCTTAAATACAGGGATGTAGGACTTCTAAGTTTCAATTCTTCAATTAGATTTACTTGAAATCTTCTTTAGTATAATCTCATTATTTTTTATTAAATAGATACTATACAAACACTATTTCCCTAACTTTTTAGTATATCAAATGTTTTATAATGAATTATGCTTTATTAAAAATAAAAACTTAGATATTTATTTTTCCAACAATTATAGTAAATAATCTTGAAACCATATCTTCAAGCGAAGAGATTTCTTTTCCTTTAGGCTGAGTTACTCAGGCTTAATGTAGTCTGGCCTCCATAAATGTATGTTTAAATACTTAGCCCACAGGAAGTGATGCTGTTAGGAGGTGTGGCCTTGTTGGAGAAAGCTGTAACTGTGGGGGTGGGTTTTGGGGTCCCCTATGCTCAAGCTGTACCCAGTGTCTGTGGATCAAGATGTGAAACTAAAAAAAAAAGTGGAACTCTCAGCTCCTTCTCCAGCACCAGGTCTACCTGCATGCCACTATGTTTCCTGCCATGATGGCAATGGACTAAACGTATGAAATGGTAAGCAGCTCCAATTAAATGTTTTCTTTTGTAAGAGTTGCCATGGTCACGGTATGTCTTCACAGCAATGAAACCTAACTGAGACCTTAACTTACTTGTAAAGATTTAGTTCTGACACCCTGCTCTCAATGAACGAGTATATTCTCCTATCCACATCCTACCTTCATTTCATGCTCTTGGTAGTATTTATTACATATAGATACATCAAACAACACAGAACAAGGTCTTTTAAAAAGCTTTCAATGCCCCTATTTATGGGGCAGCAGAGATGGCTCAGAGATTAGGAGCATTGGCTGTTCTTTCAAAGGTCCTGAGTTCAATTCCCAGAACCAAATGGTAGCTCACAACTATTTACAATGCGATCTGCCATGTAGGCACACATGCAGGCAGAATACTGTATAAATAAAAAGTAAATCTTTAAAAAATACTATTAACACAATGACTATTTAATGATCCTTTATAATGAGGAAGGCATGAAGTTTATATAATGATGAATGGTTAAGATGCTTTGCTTGTAACACAGTAGGAAATAGAACATCTACATATAAGTAACTACTATATATCAAAGCAATAACAATAACCAAATAATGTACTGTGGAAATATAGCAGGCACCTATAAAAGGGAAAATATTTCTATCTTAAACTATCAAAAAAAGAAAAGAAAAAAATCCTTATGAAGACAAAGGCTATATTCAACTGGGTATGACAATTCATGCCTATGATCCTAGCTCTCAGGAAGTAGAGACAAATGGATTACCTGAATTTTGAAGCCAGGCTGTGATGTACTTAAGGAGTTCTAGATCAGCTAGGGTTACCCAATACCCTGTCTTAAAAACAAACAATGTGGGCAAGCAGGGGAGAAAGAAAAGTGCTGCATTACAGGGTTGATGAAATAGTTCATTGGGTAAAGGTAAAAGTTCTTTCCGCCAAGCCTTCTGTCTGAATCAAACTCAGGTTTTATTGGCAGACAAACCGTCATGGTGGGTTGTTCTCTGACTTACACATACAACCACATACATGGTGATGACAATGGACTAAACCTCTGAAATTGTTAAGCCAGCCCCAATTAAATGTTTTCTTTTTAAAGAGTTTGTTGTGGTCATGGTGTCTCTTCACAGCAATAAAACCCTGGGCATGTGAGTGCATGCCCACACATTGGACACAAAATGCAAAATTAAAAAACATTAGAGGCAGGCAGATCTCTATGTTTAAGGACAGCCAGGCCCACACAGTGAGACCCTGTCTCAAACCAAACCAAACACCCAAACACCAAAACCCAAAACAGAACAAAGTCAACCAAACAAAATCATATAATAATATGAAATCTTCAGCCAATGGAATAGGATATATCCTAAAGGTTAGGAATAAAGAGAACATTTATGAGGCCAGTGGAGTTGGCAGGTGAGTCTACAGTAGATGTTCTATGAACAGATGCTGTTTAAAAGTTACAGGGTTAATGTCTGGACTTGAAACTTATGCAAGTCTGACAGTTGAGAAGCTAATGGCTAGATCACAGGAGACCATAGCTCCCAGTTACTGTTTTCCTTTTATCTGATGAAATGTTACTACAAGCCACCAAGTTTAGGAATACTTCTTTGGTGTCAGTCCTGCCAGAACCACAGGATGGAGGAAGTTGGCTAGAAATGCCTTGACATTTAAGGTGGCTATTTTGTAGCTTAATTTCAATAAGTCAAAATAGAGACTATCTGAACGCCAATCATATAAACAAAAATCACTGAAATCTGGAAATTGATGGTGAAAGTTAAGACAAAGATAAGAAAGCTTTGAATGATGCCTCTGGCCAAGGCACATGTAATTCAAGCACCAAGAATGTTATATATGCTTGGGGTTTCTTAAAATATCTTTTCATGGCAGAGTCAAGAAATACATATCCCTTAAAAGACTGAAGATGTAGTTCAAAGAGGCCAGATACAAGTAAGATCTCTTTGTGATTTTGCATTTATCTTAAAAGTTCATGCAAACTCTCATCTTTGTTCTATGAAAGACCTGTTTATTAATATAGAAGTAATGTTTCATCACCCCAAATTCTGCAATAATTTGATGCTTCATAAAAACATTGTATGTACCCTACTTTCTCATGCTCTAGCTTGTATCAAGCTAAAAAAAAAGTCATTTAATCCTTAAAATAGCCCTGGAAGTAGTGGACAACTCTTCTTTACAGAGGATGAAGTCAATGATAGAGAAATAGTGACTTGCCTATAGTAATACAACCTGTGAGCTGAGAACTGAGTCAGGAGGCCCAATTTCAACATCTGGGTATTTTGTATTACGTTATAGAACTTCTTACCTTAATGGGCTAAAGAAACAGAAGAATTCTGTAAAGGCGAATCATAGTATGACAGGAAGACTTCCCTCCGAGCTGCCAGGCCCAAATCTGACCCTTTTTAGATTCTCTTGTCTCTGTACTGACATTTCTTATCAATAATAAGCCAGACAATTTTTCTACTGTATCTCTCTGGTAATCTGATCTCAGTTCCATTCTATAGTATAAAGATTGTGAACAGTGTTCTGCAGATTAAGCCACTTCTCTATCGCTTCCCTTTCTTTTCCTTGGTTCCAGGAAGAATACTATTTAGGTCCTATACATAACAATAGACTTCTACTGCATCTCCATGTTTCTGCATTGGTGCTTTCCTGACCCAATAACACCGCCTCAAACCAATCTCCATGGCACTTCTGAGCCTCAGCTCAGCTCAAGCCTCATCTTTGAAAAATCCATTTTGTACCTCCCAGACACAGATAACCTAGCATCTGTTACATTTCTATAGCCCTTAAGGTATATCTCTCATTATAGAATTATTACACTTAAATATATACTGCATTTCTGGAGTTTTGTTTTATTTTAGATGGGAGTCTTTTTATTTTTGAGATAGGATCTGATGTAGCCCAGGCTGATCTTGATTCCCTATGTGGCCAAGGATGACTTAGACCTTCTGACCTTTTTGACTATCAAAAGAGCACTGGCCTGATATAAGGCAAGAAACAACTATGCCCGGTTTATTTGAGTGCTCTTGATTATCCACATTGGTCTTGAACTTGTAAATTCAAGCAGTCTTTCCTCTCAAGCCTGTTCAGTACTGAGACTATAGGCATGTGTCTTGTTCATAACAATAAATCATTTAGGGCAGGACCCACATGTTTTCTAGTCAGTTTTCTGGTTATCAGCAGAGTGTTTAGAGTGTAAGAAATTTGCTAACCCACGTCAAGGCAGCACATCCTCCCTGATGTTACTTCCTTGCTGGCGGAGTCTCACCACCATGTGTCACGTGCTCACTCTGAGCAAGGCTCTCCCAGTCAGCTCTTCCTTAGCTGCCTGAAAACTGGTATCTGGTGATGTGAACAAGCAGATTTACAAACTGACCAAGGCCTGACTGTCACAAACCGGCGTGATCCTGAGGGTCCCACATGATGTTGTACAAGTACGTTTTGTGACTGGTAATAGAATCTTGAGAATCTTTAGGTCCAAAAGACTGAGAATTTCTACCACATCTATGAGGAAGAAGTTGCTGTTTGAAAATATTTGGAGAAGAACAGAAACTACAACAATGCTAAGCTCCATGTGGTTGCGACAGAGCTGCAAACTCACTACCTGGCTTATTACTACCACACTAAGTGGGTCCTCCCTCCCAAATGGAAATACACGCTGTCCACAGTACACTACAGCACCATAAATTTGTCCTGTGAACTCAAGCAGTGAGATAATTTAATAAAAGAGTACATGCTGATGTAAAAACACCGAGAAAAATGAGCATGGATTTTCTCTGCCACTAGGTATAGCAGAATCATCAATTAATACTTCAAACAACCAAAATGCATCAAAAAAATTAAAGAATACAAAAGTATTTGGTACCTACATGTACTGTCTCTGCTCAACATGAAAGAGATCCTTGCTTTCCATATTTTGCTCCAGCAGTGTTCTGTTCTGTAGCATTAGTGTCTGAATCTGATCGAGTAGATGGCGATTTTCTTCCTCTAAATTTCCTTTAAGTTGGCTGAGCAACTGTTTAGACACAAACATTTATTTTTTAAGACAAATTTCTATTTTACACAAATCACCTGAAACATGTAAAATGTATTATTTATATTTATAGAGTACAGTATACACAGTGTTTAATGAAGACTTGCTTGATCAGAACACTACATGATTATTTTAGTGAGAATGACACTATGCGAAGTTACCTGGTTATATAAATATATCTTAATTCTTAAAAATAGTGGGTCGAATATACCTGTCAGTGTTTTCAATCGTCAGATATGTTCAAAAGCTACATTCAATTCTCTTTTATTTAAGTGGCTAAGAAACACATGTTTAATAGGTTAGTTAAAGCCCGAATTTATACAACCAAGATAGCTCCTATCCTGCCAATCTTGCTGCAAGGATTAAATAGCTTAGGTAGAGTACCTGGTTGTAACACAGCAGTTAACACAGCTCATCCTTTTTCCACGCAGTGTTTTCAAGTAAGCTTAAAAGTTGCTAATACTTTGGGTTGGTTTGACTAATGAGAGTAATTTAATCAAAGATTGATACTGTGGTGGTTTGAATGAAAATGGCCCTTTTAGACTCACAGGGAGGGCACTGTTAGGAGGTGTGGCCTCGCTGGAGTAGGTGTGGTTTTGTCGGGGAGGTGTGTCACTAAGAGGTGGGCTTTGAGGTAAGTGTGTCACTGTCACTCCTTGCCGCCTGTGGACCCAGACGTAGAACTCTCAGCTACCTCTTCAAGTACCCTGTTTCCTGCGCGCCGCCAGGCTTCCACCATGATGACAATGGACTAAACCTCTGAACTGTAGGCCGGCCCCAATCAAATGCTGCCCTTTGTAAGAGTTGCTGTGGTCTCTAGCAACTACTATGCCCCTTACCTTCTAAAGGGAAAAAGTAAATAATTCTCAAGTCAGACACTGGTGGCATAGGCTTTTAATCCCAGCACTCAGGAGGCAGAGGCAGGTAGAACTCTGTGAGTTCAAGGCCAGCCTGGTCTACAGAGAAAATTCCAGGACAGCCAAGGCCACTTGTCTCAAAAAAAAAAAAAAATCTCAAAAGGTACCAGGAAAAACGGTACTTATGAATATACATAATCATGTAGATACAGGAACTGTCAACATTGTATCATGTTTTGTCAATCCACATACTGCAAAATTAAAACATGGTAGACTTGTCAAAAACTGAATGCATTCATTCTTTCTTTCCAGTTTTGTTTTGTTTTTGAGATAGGGACTCATGCAGCTCCAGCCATATAACTTGTTATGTAGCTGAGGATGATCCTGAACTTGTGATTCTTCTGCCTCTACCTCACTATGTCTAGTTTTTGTGATGCAAGGAACTAAACCCAAGGCTCCATGCATATTAGGAAAGCACTCCATCAACTGAGCTATGTCTTTAGTCCTGCTATCTACACTTTCTTGTAGTATGAATTCTTACTCTTCCTATCAAACAGTGACATCTACACCCTGTTGTGGTGGTTTAAATGAGAATATCCCCCATAGGCTCAGATGTTTGACCACTTGGTCTCCAGTTGGTGGCACTGTTTGGAGAGGTTTAGGAAATTTAGCCTAGATGGGGATGTATTATCACTCTTTATCACTTCGGTAGACTCTGAGGTTTAAAAGTCTTGTAGATTCCCAGTTCTCCCCCTTCTCTCCCTTCTCAACATCCTGCTCCAGATATTGTGCCTGATGCTTACTGTCATGCATTCTTACCAGGATATACTCTTGTTACCAGGATATACTCTTGTCCCTTTGGACAAGCACAAGTAAACTCTCTTCTATAACTTACCTTGGTCACAATGTTTTACTACAGCAATAGAAAAATAACTTAATACATGTATTTTTTTGGACTTGGAATGGGTCTGGCTAAGAAAAAGTAGAAATAATACATGAGGTTAATTTTGGTTGAAAGTCTATTTTTTTTAGATATTAGGATGGCTACTCCAGCTTGCTTTCTTGCATCCATTTGCTTAGAAAACCTTTTTCCAGTCCTTTACTCTGAGTATCTCTCCCTGGGGGGAGGGGTGCAGCCTTGCCAGGCCACAGAGGAAGACGATGCAGCCAGCCCTGAAGAGACCTGATAGGCTAGGATCAGATAAAAGGGGAGGTGGTCCTCCACTATCAGTGGACTGGGGGAGGAGCATAGGGGAATAGGGAGAGTGGTTGGAACTAGGAGGAGATGAGGGGGCTATATCCGGGATACAAAGTGAATAAACTGTAATAAACAATAATAAATAGATAAAAGATATTAAAAATATAATACATAAAAATTTCAATTTAGGTCAGTTTAGGTCTCTGGCACTGTGTATATGTGTCTCACTCAGTGTATTTGGACCTTCTAGAAGATGGGAAATTATAAAGAACAGAGAAGAGATAGTGCAGAAGAACACCACAGACCAACCTGCCCTAAAGTGTCTCTTCCAACCCCAGATGCAGAAGTGAACCCTTGGGCTTAAATATCAGTGGGTATATCAGCAGCATCTTGACCTAACCACATACTCTTGAGCCAGAAGAAACATTTATTGCTCATTATCACTGAGGATCCACTGTTGTTTATTTATCATTATTGTTGCAAAAGACACATAGTCAAAAAAGAGAAAAAAATTAAGGATACACATAGTTCAATGAACTGTCACAGGTAATGCACTCAGGTAACTAGTGCTCATGTCAAGAAACAGTATTAACTATACTTCAGAAACACTTTGTCCTGCCTCTAGTTCTCATTCTTCCCTGCCAAGCTTACCTGTCATCCTATCCTCTTACAACAGATTAATGTCTCTACCCTCTCCAAATTCTATTATATGATTTCCCACCCAGTCAAGGGCTAATACTTAATTTAAACTGTGACAATCAACTGGCATCCTTATTAATCTTTATGGAATAGCCTTCCAGATCATCAGTGACATGTGTTACCTTACCAAACTCACTTTAGATGTCTCATTTCTTGGAACTCTTACTTCAATTTCTCACCAGTCCATTGGATTATTTGCCTAAACAAGTGTTTCAGCCTCAGGCTATCTGAAGGTTCACTTTTGATGACTCTCAGACATGGGTTTTCTCTGCAATTTCCAAAGCAAGTCTTCCCAACAGACATGCTACTGCTTTGCAGTATGTTCTGTGCTCTCTCAGAACTGTTAGTGAACAATACCTCATAACCACTGCCCACCCCTGCCCATAAAGAAAAAAAAAATAAGCATTTGAAACTTCTTAGATGGTACAGAAAATCAGGAAGAATGACCATTTCTTCTCTCTCTATATATATATCTATATATAAAAGCCACTGTTCTCCATGCAGCAAATATCAACACTGTACCTCACATGGTTTTGCTTACATGTTTGCTAAATTAACATTACATGGTAGATTTGTAGAAATATGGGGGATAAAAAGATAGCTCAACAGTTAAGAGCACTGGCTGCTCTTCCAGAGGGTCCAGGCTTGATTCACAACTGTCTCTAACTCCAGTTCCAGTCAATTTGATGTCTTCTGGCCTCTGCAGGTACCATACATATATAAGGCAACAACTCCCACCCATATAAAATAATAACCACACACACACACACACACACAGAGAGAGAGAGAGAGAGAGAGAGAGAGAGAGAGAGAAAGAGAGAGAGAAAACTTCCATACACATAAGATAATTAAAAAAAACTACAAGAAAAACTGTACTGAATTCTCTTTTCTTTCTCTATCCTTTTGCAATGACCATTCTGCTCCAAATCAAGTCAGTGTGAATGAGGGGAGGAGAACAGCAGAGAAGAGAAACCACAAAGTACAAATGTCTCTTGCAACAAGCTGCTAAACAAAAGTCATTTTTTCCTTTAGTAAATGCACCTTGGTTTTCTGTCTGCAACTCTGAGTTCTAGAGTCCTAAAATGTAGCTTTTTTTCTTGTTAACCGATTGTTTTTCTGTTTATTACGACTTGATTTAGTTCCAGGTTTCTCAGTATCATTCTAGAAGAGTCCTAACTATATAAATATTTTTAGACTTTTACAAATCACAGCTAGAATGGATGCTTTGAACCTCTGAGCTCTGTTGGGTATTTAAGTGTATGTGCTTACAAACTAATTTTCCATCCTACTTGTTTATAATTTCATGCTACATATATCAAAATATTTTTCAATAAACAAGCACATGGTGTGACAAACAACTGGTGAAAGGGATGACATAATTACAGCTTTTCCTGATTACTTGTGAACTTCAATTGTGTCTGACAAATTCTTGTGCATACACCAGTAACTCTCCAGCGAGACTGTCAGTGTAAGAGGACTCATCACTTCTCCGGCATGTCCTGACACCTTAAAGAAGAAGCAATGATGTCTACTGACACTCACCTCGCATTGGTTATTGAGCTTGGTAGATGTGATGTCCAGCTGCTGATACTGCTCCTTCAGTTTTGAAAATTCAGCTTCTAATCTTGTTTGTTCCAATTTAGAATTATTCAGAAGACTTTTCAAATTTTTATGGTCGGTTTGTAAAATTTCAGTCTCTTTTAGAAGTTGACTGTACGAATGATTTAGCCTACAATTAGAAATCATAAGAAATATTCAATAGTTTCCACAATGTAAAAATGTTAATGTCATTGAGACATATTTAGAGAACATAAAATTATTTTGCCAGTTACTAAATGATCAGTTTTTCTCAAAAAATTAAGTTTGATTAAAAGGAAAAGTAAAAACAACCTATTCAGTTATGATTTCATGGAATTCTAAATTAAATATAAACAAAGATCAGATTAAGTAAATCAATCAATCCAGTATTAAGTACTACACCAATATACTGGCTAAAAATTGAGAAATACAGGTGTCAACCAAATTATAGATATATAGTATTTTGCACATGTCACAATTTACCTTCAAAACAAAGTTTAACTGGTCTCTAAGGACAGAGATTGACACATTTTTGCAAACCAGAGAGTAAATAGGACATTAGAGGCCACGTGCATTCCCTGTAACAAGCTACTTCTCCTCCTCCACTTTGACTCTTTTTAGTTTAGAGGCTACCATGACATAGATAGATGGATGGATGGATGGATGGATGGATGGATGGATGGATGGATGGGGCTAAGTTTATCTTACATCATTAAGATCAGGAGCCCACAAAAGGGACACAGTGAACAAAGCAAAATCTGGCTTAGGTAGTCTTTATTCAGAATACCTAATATAGTTCCTCAAAGAATTCAAGTTAGCTTACAAAAATTGTAGGCAATGAAGTATTCTCTTAAAAATCAAGACACAGTGAAAAAACTGGTAAACTCCCTCACACATCTGCCAAATGTACTATACATATGGTTGAAATCCATGAACAAAAGCATAATCACTCTTATAGTTACCTAGTATATACCAACACCTATGACAATAAAACAATCCCTTGTTTAGTTCATCTGAAACAGGTAGGGGAGAGACAGTGTATGAAGTCTTCTTCCTAATCTACCACAATGCTAAAGTGAGTTAGTAAAATGGCTGACAGTAAAGTGGGCCAATCAATGAACTCTAGGCTCAGCGAGAACCTGTCTCAGAAACTAAGGTGGCGTTCTGGGGAGACATCTCAGCAGTTAATAGGACCATTGTTCTTGCATAAGACCTGATTCAATCTTCAGCACACTATGGCTGCTTACAATCCCATTTCTAGGAGACCCAATATCACCTTCTGACCTTAAGGGCACCAAGCATGCACATGATGCATGTGAGTAAAATACTCATACATAAAAATAAATAAAGTAGATGGACTTGGAAGATGCCTCAGTGGCTAAATGGGATCTCAAGAATGCATGTAAGTACAATGTGGCCCAGGTGGCCCAGTGTAATTTTGATCTTGGAAACTAGACACAGGAAATCTCCAAGGCAAACTGACTAGTGAGACTAGCCAAATCTCTGCGTTCTGGGCTTCACTTGACATATCCTGCCTCCATAAATTAGATGGAAGAGTATTAAAGGGTGATTTCTAACATCAACCTTGGGCCTTCACATGCACTCCCACACGTGTCCCACTCATGAAAACATGCACATACAATTATGCACAACTCACATATATACATGAAAATGGAAAAAATGATGAAGTGCAAGTAAGAAAGACACTTGACAACCTCTTACTTCCATGCTCATACATATTTAAACACAAACATATCAACAACATACATCACCACACACACACCAAAACCAAGAAACTCTGAAAAACACAACTGTTAAAATAAGTTCTGAAATGTTTACAATATTGTCCTTTAAAACAACAGTGCCAAATGAATCCAGTGAACAAGACAACATAGTCTCAGAAAGAAACTTTGGCATTATCTGTGATTAAAGAGGCATCAGTCTTCAAATAAGATTGTATGTGCATGGGTGCACAGGTGTGTAAATAGCTCTTTCATGTTTGACTCATTAAAGCCTTTTCTTTCCATAGAACACAAACATTAACAAGTGAGTGCTGAGCAAGAACAGACCTGAGGCACCGAAAACACTACTTGAGGTCACTCAGTCCAAGCCTGAGACATTATTTTGGTCAAACTCATCATACTGGATTTCTCATTTTGGCCAAGTTGTTTTTGTGGAGGCTCCACAGAAATGTGCCACTGATGCCTGGAAAGCCCAACTAAAGCACATGAACTATTCCAGCAATGGTCAGCTACGAGATGAGGCCTTACAGCAAAAGGTCTTCTCCAAAGTTTGGTACGTAGTAAAAGAACCCTTCCTGTTCTTGTCACAGCATGGTCTTCACATGCCTGTATATCCACACAGCATCCTCTTTATAAACTGCGGTTACTCAAGTTCAACATCTTCACAATATAATATCTAGCTATAGTAACTTTAGAAAACTCAATCAAAACTATGGCGTATCATAATGAAGACTTAGGGCCTTTTAGGAAGGAAAAGGGCAAGGTAATCACAAAGTTGAATTGTGTACACACGCCATCTTCCCACACACAAACATGTACACATCCATGTACACTGGGCTGGGAAGATGGCCCAGGCAATAAAGGGTCTGCTGCTCAAACATCGTAACACCATAAATATAATTCCTTGCTAAGTCCAAATTGTGGATGCTATTATAAACACATGCGCACGCGCACACACACACACACACACACACACACACCTACCTCTCTCTCTCTTCAAAAATAAGGCATAAAAAGTAAAATACATGGATAAGTGTCATTACCTATCATTTTCACCACAAAGTTTCTTGTACTCTGCAGCTACCATCTCATGGTTTTTGCTTTCAACCAGCATTTTTTCTTGTTCCATTTTGATCATTTTTTCTAAATCTTCCAATTGTCCTTTCTGTTTTAATAATTGATTGTAACTGGGAGGGGGAAGAAAAGTTAGGTATTTGTTTTAAAATAGTTCTAACAAAGAAAATATTTTAGAAAAGAAGAAAATTAGTAATTTCTTAACAAACATCACATGTAAAATTATATAAATTCCTTTCATAAATTATCTCTTAGGTGGTTATAATGTATAAACTTTATTGTACCAAATTTGTTTAAAATTAACACAATAAAATATAAATTACCGGTCTTCAAGGTCTTTATGCTCCACCTCAAGATTCTTGTGGGCAGACTTGAGGGTTCCATGTTTAGAGATCAGAGATTCATACTCTGAAGCCTGTCTTTCATGAAGAAGCTCCAGTTTTTCATGATCTTTTATCAGAGAATCATAAAGAGATTTCAAGTCTTCTCGTTCTTTGATTATAGATTCATTTTCATTTTCTAAGGAAGACTGCTGGATTAGAAGCTGTGCATTCTGGTTCATAAGTGAAGTACTTTGTGAATTAAGAGTGGAATTTTCAACCTGTAAGAATTTGTATATTATTAACAGGCTTAAGCACACACCTGTAATCCCAGGACTTGGGGAGGCAGAGGCAGGTGGATCTCTGTGAGTTTGAGGCCAGCCTGGTCTACAAGGTGAGTCCAGGACAGCTAAGGCTACATAAAGAAACCCTGTCTCAAACAAAAAATATATAAATATGTAACAACCAAAAAAGAGAGAGAGAAAGAGAAAGAAAGTTACCAGACATGCCTTTAATCCCAGCATTTAGAAAGAAGAGGCAGGCATTCAAATTACTCAGCGAGCCAGTAAGAGCAAGAACAAAAGGGAGTTATGCATGTGATAGCACATGTGTGGAAGTGAGAGGACAACTTGGAATGTTCCCTGCTTCTACTAAACAGAGCACAAGTACTGAACTCCAATATGAGGCTTAGCAGCAAGCATCCTTGTCTGCTGAGCCATCTTGCTAGCACTATTTCTCCCTCCCTGACCCTCTCTCTCTGCCTTGACCATTAGGCAGGGCTGGTTAGTAAGTGAGCTGCAGGGCTCCACCTGTCTGTGCTCCTCTGATGCTGGAATCACAGCATTTAACCACCATGACTGGCTTTTTTTGTGACCCGACTCCACTCTGGTTCTCCTGCTTGGAAGTCCTTTGCTGACGCAACTAGCCATTTCCCCAACCCACTTGTTCTTTTTAACACAGTTATAATGTTAACTTAAATAAGCTCTAATTAAATCACTGAAAATATAATAAAATAATTGGATTTTAGCTTCCCAAAGATTTAAGGTTACCTTTTAAACTATTTTTGGAGCTGAAAGTTATTTTTGGAAAATCTCTATGAAGTCTAAATTAGCATTGACTTTAGCACTTGGAAAAGAGTAACAGGAAACTTTAGATGCAAAGGAAGAACTATGTCTTCTCTCCCGTCTGCGTGGACTATCCCGTGTAGACCGGCACTGGTGTCAGTAAATCACGGATGGAGCCTTTGGACTACACCAAATGATATCTCCCTTAAACAAACCTGAAGGCAGGATTCCTGTGTCCTGTGTGCATTCCAACACACTTCTAAGAATGGAATAAGAAATACTGTGTTGCAGTCAGACTCTACAACAAGATGTTTGCACCAACTAATTACAATCAACTTGTTGGAAGGATAGAAAGATTCAAAGTTAAATATAAGATCATCTTCACTTATACTGGGGTGAATTTAATAATTTATATAGGCTTTGACATTTAAAACATGTCATGTTAAGAGTTTGGCATAGAAGCCAAAAATATTTCAATCTCTCTTCAATCATTATATTCTATGGCACTAAGGAATAATGTTCGCATGTTTAGCCCTCTTATTACAGTAGTATATAATTAATGTTTTGGTACAACCTGAAGTTTGGCATTCTGCGTTTGAAGAGTGGTATTCTGTTCCTGCAATGACACTGTCTGCCTCTGAAGTGCAAGAATCTGAGCCTGCAAATTATTGTTCTGTGTTTCAAGTTGCTTCAGTTGAGTTTTCAGTGCTTGCTTCTCTGCTTGCAGTGTAGCATTCTTAAAACAAGAAAAAGACAGCACACTTATTAAAAATAAACAAGACATTTTTTAACACATAATTTAATAAAATGAGCTTGAGAAATCTTAAAAAAGAAAAAACTCTTTCAATCACAAATTGTAAATATTTAATCCATAAAAAGACTTTAATACTGCTATAACCTTAAAATACTATTGTGCCTATATTCCGTCTGCTTTATAATGCCCTGAAATAAGGTGCTATCGTATTGTACGGAAGGTATAGGTTAGTGGTAGAGTGCTTCCCTAGGCTGTATCAATTAAAAGGTTGTACCTTTTCAGCGTACACATGGGTGTGTGGTGATCCTGGGTATAGGAGGAAAAAGAATGTTATTTTCAAAATTGATGGCATGTGCAAGAGAAGAAGAATTACACAGATAATTTTTGCCATCTATTAGAAAATGTAGGGTAGGCCTTAATAGATCTAAGAAATACTACACTGGTTTTGTTTGGTTTTTATGCTTTTGTTTTTCATGGTATGAAACTCTAATTAAAACTCTATTTCAACTATAAGGCCTTTTGAAGTTTATCTACAAAAATTATTGTTTTCAATTTTTCCTGCAAATACAGCCATATTTTCATCTTATAGTTAAAAAGGTAAATTATTACAGAAGTTACGGACATTAAAATGTGAGGCATTTAAGATTACACATTTAAGATTAAATACTTAAAAATACAATTTTATAAAAGCTAAAATTACATAACCAAACAACAGAAATAAAAATTTAATATACAGAATAACTCTAAGTAGGCTGACTATTTACTATGTAGTACTGACTAGAAAAATGATACAGATGAATCACAATAGTTCTGTTGTATCTTTAGTAGGAGACAAAGATAACTTCACTTTTGTATTATGTTAAATAACACGTCGATGTACAAAGATTATGATTTGACCCATAAGAAAAAAATCAAAGCTAAAGAATCTGTAACAGCATCCTGAAACATCACAATTGGGAGACACAGGAGGAGGGAAGAGTATGAGTTTCAAGTCTGTCTGAGTTACATGTGGAGAGCCTATCTAAAACAACAACAGAAAAAGCAACTAGGAAACACACACAGAAGCTAAGATGGCTAACTATACTGTACTATTTTTAAAAATTGTATGTTGAAAGGGTGAAAAAACATGAAATACTGTCTTGCTTAAACACACACACACACATGCTGCTTTGATATAGTCCAGGCTAATTTTAACTCATCATGTAGACAATCCACTCAGATACGATGTGATGGTTAAAACTGAATGTCAACTTGACAGGATCTAGAATGTCTAGGAGATAAAACGCTGTGAGGGATTTCTAGACTGGGTTAACTGATGAGAGCAGCACCATGGCATGGCCTGGAGCACAGGACTGAGAAGGATGAGAGATGCTGAGCAGCAGGTCTCAGTGCTTCTTGACTGTAGAGGCAACATGAGGCAATGCCTAAGGCTCCTGCTGCTGTCATTTCCCTGCCTTGATGGACTCTATCCTTCAGCTATGAGCCTCTCGTTCCCTCATAACTTGCTTTGACAGGTATCTCTGTAACTAATAGAGACTACTACCATGAAGAAGTGGGGCTGTTGTGATAACTTAGCCGTACCAGTCCTCAGGCCTTTGGAACTAGAATCCTGGAACAACGTGGCAGAGTTTGGAACTTTGAAAAGCCTTAGAATGATATAAGCAAGGGCCAGTCTGGTGAGATTTTGGAAGAGTACAAGAAGAATGAAGACAATGGAAAAAATAACTCAATGGGTCCTTTGAAATGCACTGTGGTACACAATCTGCCTATATTCCTCCCATGCACTGGAACATGGAATTTAAAAGCACAGACCAATTGCTTTGGTGGAGGAAATGTCAAAACAAGAGAGCATTTACACTGTGTCATGGTTACTGCTCACTGTTCTTCCTCTGTCTACAGTGAGAAAGAAAATAAGCAGAGCAAGAAGAGAAAAATGGGCTGACAACAGGAGAATGTGTAAAGTCACAGATACAATAGTTCTGAGACAGCAGGTTTACCTATTGAGATCAGCACCATTAAAGATAAGCCTTGTGTACTCTTCACTGGGATGTCAAAGGCGACCTGAGTACAAGATCCCACCCATCAGACTCCATATGATGAACATCGGTTGATTTTCAAAGAGAGCTTAAGCTGTGAAGACCCTGATGGACTACCCTGGTGTAAACAACCAAGGGAGAAGGTCTCTTCCCAGGTGAGCCGGGAAACACACAGAGCCCAAGTGTGATCTTGGGGTGACACCTTAAACTGCAGGCAGCACGTCCACAGGTGGGAGTGTGCTAAGCTCTACAAGAAGGGAAGGAGCAACACACACGAAATCTACATCTGTTTATGTATATGATAAACTAGACAAGAAACTGTAAAATTTGCCAAAGCTAAATAAATCCACAATTCTTTATTTCTGAAGAATTTTGTTCCTACTAAAAGTTTTAAATACTTACATTTCTTTCTACTTCAATCAGCCTGTCTTTAACCTTCAGGAGTTCTCTAGTAGTTTCTTGACTCTCCCGCTCCCACCTGTTGTCTTCCCCAGAGCCTGGAAGGGAGCTCTGTACCATCCTTTCCTCATCTTGTCTCTGTTTGAGAGCTTCATAATTTTTTTTCACCTAAATTTATTTAAATGGAAAGAAAAAAATCACCAAGATTTCTATATTTTTCAGTTACTTTGGGTCTGTATTAGCCCAGTGAATATGATAGATACGTTACTTAAAAATGTGATGAATGTATGAGTGCCATTACTGTGACCAAAAGCTTTTTGAAATGCAAATTTGGGGGCTGGTGGTTAAGAGCACTTTCTGCTCTTCCATAGAACCAATGTTTGGGCAGTTCACAACCACCTGTGACTCCAGCTCCAGTAAAAGTAAATTAAAAAAAAAAAGACCCTGTGTTAAAAAGCTACCATAATGTTCATTACTTTAGAAGAATTAAGGTATTTGGCTCCCGTGCATGCTCCTGTTTTATACTTTGCTATTGTTTGCAATGAACGAAAATGGACCTTAGGCGTCTTTTTAAGGAACTTGAACAGATTCTTGGGTTATATGCACATATAGAAATGTATCATCAAATCCCATTCATATGAACAATTAATGCCTATTAGTGAAGGACGAGCAAGGATAAACTACAAAAGGTAATAAACAACAACAAAAAGAGGAAAATCGCCCTTAATAATAGATTAACCAGACAGTTATATGCTATTATATTAATAACTACTCTTAGAGAAACCTTAAATGAATTTAAAAATCCTTATATAAAGAGCAAATACATATTTGACATGTTTTAACTTTAATTAGCTTTAAAAGATTCCTAAAGTCAAGTATCTTTAGGAATCTTATTTTCTAAGAATAATGTATTACCTAGAATTAACTATATTAATAAAACATGACTTATTCACTTAGTTCCTGATTCACCCACATCATTGGTATAATTTATCTTGTGATAAGTAATTCAAGGCTATATCTTCTACAGGAAGATTATAGTTCTGAGTTGACTGTTTTGCTTACTGTTTTGAGACAGGATGTCATGTAGCCTTAGGCCGGCCCTTAAGTCCTTAGTCAAGGAAAACCTTCAACTCCTGATCCTCTTTACCATCAACTGTTAAGTGCTAAAACTACAAATGTCAGTCACCACTCTGGGCTTCAAACTGACTTGAAGCATGTTACAGCAACACCAGAAAAGACTGAGTAATACACAGGCTTGAAGTGCTACTAACATGAAAAGCTTGATCATCTTCTAGATCAAAATTGTCAAATTTAACAACGTTCAGTAATTAAATTTTTCACTTATTTTTAAGATTAAAAAACTTCTGTGTATGAATGTTTTGTCTCATGAAAGTATATGAAAAAGAGATGAGGGTATAGGGTTTCCTGGAACTGGAATTACAGACAGTTGTAAGTCACCCTCTGTATGCTAGGAATTGAATCTAGGTCTCTGGAAGAGCAGCCAGAGCTCTTATTACTACTGAGCCATTTCCCTAGCCCCTAAATATGTCATTTTTAATGTGTATGTGTGGTGTGTGTGTCCCTCTGTTTTTTGTATAGGTGCCTGGAAGGGACAGAGGCGTCAGATCGCCTGGTGGTTGAGATCCATCTAATGTGGGTGCTGGGAACCCAGATCCTCTGGAAGAACAGTATAAACTCTATAAACTGTTGAGCTACCTCTCTTGCCCTTTTAAATTCAAATTTATTATAGGAATTAATTTGTATAAGACTTATCTTGACTTTCTAATTTAGTTTTGACATTTATAATACATTTTAAAAATTAACAATAAAGGACAAAAATGATTAAAATAATTCATGTACAAAACTTAAGAAGGCCTTCAATTCAGCAGCAAACTAGCATTACTACTAGTGAGTTACAAAATAGTAAGAAAAAAAAAAAAAGAAAAACGAAAAAAGCCAAGATGGTTTGGCCAGTGATGTATTGGTGTTCTGGGATACTCCTATTTTTTTTAATACAGCCTTTTTTCTTAGGCTTACAAAGGCTGTATTCAAATGAAATATTCTTATGTTAGGAGAGCTAACATAAGAAAAATGTTATGTTTGATATGTATTATTTTGGTTTTGTTTTTACAAGAAGAGTTTAACTTTGATTAATAAGAGTGGAAAATCACGATAACCAAAAAATAGGAGAGCTGGAAATAAAAGTCAAGGCTTCTCATTTATAGTCTGTTCAAGTGTACTTTTAGCTCACACATTGTTAATCACACCCTTATACTCACAGGAAATGAATAAAACTTGTCAGAATAAACATTCAGTACAACAAAGCAATGTAGAGTCAATTTAAAATCTGAAGTCTATTAAGTTAGTTTAATGCAATAAAACAGTACTATAAATTACATCGTTAATTCAAATTTTCAGTGATTATCAAAGACAATTAACTTTTTAAAACTGAAGTATAGTCTATATAGAGTTACTAATATACTGATCATAAAATATATTTGATCTATTTTTATAATAACATATACACATATAACTTATCAATATGATAAGAATATTTCTATTATTCTGGAAGGATCATTGCTTACCAGACAACCACTGTTTTGCTTTTCTTTTCAACATAATTTAGTTTTGTATGCTCTAAAACTTTAATAAATGAACTTACACAGTATCATTTTTTATTATCTGAGCATATTTTAAAGCTTTACTACTATGTTAAAAGAACCAATAATTTTTTTTCCTCTTTTCTACTGTTATACTATCATTTATAATATGGATATACCAAAATTTCCTTATTCAAATACCAGCTGAGGATCACTGGCTATTTCCAGTTTTTAATTAAATTTTGTATGTGTGTGTATATGTGTAGGAATATATATGTGTATACACACACACACACACAAACACACACACGGATGTTTGTGTGCATAGATGTGCATATGTCTTTGGAGATCAGAAGTGTACTCCTCAAATGCATTAAAAGCACTAGACAAGGACCTAGAGAGATGGCTCAGCAATTAAGAGTAGCTTGCTGCTCTTTGAGAGGACACAAGTTCATTTGCCCATCACCCACAATGGGTCACTAACAAGCAAAAGCCTGTAACTCCATTCCCAGGGGTTTCAACACACCCTTCTGGTCTCCACTGGCACCTGTACTGCCATGGGTTACATATGTGCAGGGATTCTAGGTTATCTCCATGCATGGTCCTTAGTTGGAGTATCAGTCTCAGAAAAGACCCCTGTGTCCAGATTTTTTTGGTTCTGTTGCTCTCCTTGTGGAGCTCCTGTCCTCTCCGGGACTTATTATTTCCCACTTCTTTCATATGATTCCCTGCACTCTGCCCAAAGTTTGGTTATGAGTCTCAGTATTTGCTTTGATACCCTGCTGGGTAGAGTCTTTCAGGACCATGCATGGAGATAACCTAGAACCCCTGTACAGGTGTAGCCCAAGGCAGCTCAGTATCCAAGTGGGTTCCCTAGTAATGGGAACAGGAACTGTCTCTGATATGAACTCAGTGGCTGATTCTTTGATCACTTCCCCTTGAGGGGGGAGCAGCCTTACCAGAGGAAAACAATGCAGCCAGTCCTGATGAGACCTGATAGCCTAGGGTCAGATGGAAGGGGAGGAGGACCTCCCCTATCAGTGGACTTGGAAAGGGGCATGGGAGGAGATAAAGGAAGGAGGGTGAGTTTGGGAGGGGATGAGGATGGGGGCTACAACAGAGATGTAAAGTGAATAAACTGTAATTTATAAAGATATAAATTTTTAAAAAGTGGAAAAAAAAAGAAATGTTCAATGTCCTTAGTCATCAGGGAAATACAAATCATAACAATCCTGAGATTTCAGCTAACACACATCAGAATGGCTAAGATCAAAAACTCAAGTGACTATATGTGCTGAAGAGGATGTGGAGAAAGGGAAACCCTCCTCCATTGATGGTGGGAATGTAAACTTGTACAACAACTTTGAAAATCAATCCGGAGCTTTCTCAGAAAATTAGGAAAGTGCTACCTCAAGATCCAGCTATACCACTCCTAGGCATATACAAGGACATTTGCTCAACCATGCTTGTAGCAGCTTTATTTGTAATAAACAGAATCTGGAAACAACCCAGATGTTTCTCAACTGAGGAATGGATACAGAAATTGTGGTACATTTACACAATGGAATACTACTCAGCTCTTAAAAACAAGGAAATCATGAAATTTGCAGGCAAAAGGTGGGAACTAGAAAAGATCATCCTGAGTGAGTTATCCCAGAAACAGAAATACACACATGATATACACTCACTTATAAGTGGACATGAAACATATCTGCACACCTAAAGAAGCTAAGCAAGGAGGCGGACCCTGGGTAAGATGATCAATCCTCACTCAGAAAGGCAAATGGGATGGATATGGAAGAGGGAGAAAACAGGAAACAGGACAGGAGCTTACCACACAGGGTCTCTGAAAGACTCTACCCAGCAGGGTATTCAAAGCAAATACTGAGACTCATAGCTAAACTTTGGGCAGAGTGCAGGGAATCATATGAATGAAGGTGGTGATAGGAAGATCTGGAGGGGACAGGAGCTCCACAAGGAGACCAGCAGAACCAAAATAATCTGGGCACAGGGGTCTTTTCTAGGACTGATTCTCCAACCAAGGAACATTCATGGAGATAACCTAGAACCCCTGCACAGATGTAGCCCATGGCAGTTTAGTCTCCAAGTGAGTTCCCTAATAATAGGAACAGGGACTGTCTCTGAAGTGAACTCAGTGGCCTGCTCTTTGTCCACCTCCCCCCTGAGGGGGGAGCAGCCTTACTAGGCCACAGAGGAAGACAGTGCAGCCGCTCCTGATGAGACCTGATAGGCTAGGGTCAGCGGGAAGGGGAGGAGGACCTCCCCTATCAGTGGACTTGGGGAGGGGTATGGGAGCAGATGAGGGAGCAGGATTGGGATTTGGAGGGTATGAGGGAGGGGCTACAGCTGGGATACAAAGTGAACAAACTGTAATTAATTTAAAAAATAAAATGAAAAAGAAAACATGTATTTCATATTTTCATATCTGTATTTCTGTGCCTGAAGAAATGGCTCAAAGGTTAAAAGCATTTACTGCTCTTCCAGAACACTCAAGTTTGGCTTCCAGTCACGTTTGCCATTCACGGCCATCTATAACTATAGCTCTAGGGGATGTAATACCCTCTTCTGGCCTCTACAGAACCCCGAACATAGGTGGCATACACCCACACATATAGACACAAAAACAAAATCTTAAGAAACCCTAGCGTTTCTTTTCCTTACCCTTCTATGTTAAAATAAAAAATAATGTAATAGAAACAGGAAAGAATATATCTTTGCTTTTCTTCTGAAAGTAAATAATCTTTTACCATTAAGGACGATGTTCATTGTGCATCATTTAGAAACTTTATTTAATAAAGTTCTTTTTATAGGTAATATTGGTATTAAATCCTTTAACTATAATTGTGAACAGGTCATTCTCCATATAGTTCTATCAATGTCATAGTTTGAAGTTGTTAGACATGAGAGCATTTAATCTTGACATAACATGAAGCTAAACTGATCATTTTACAATTTTCAGCTGAGATAAGTCACTGCTGTAAAACTAATCTTAATAACTACGTAATAGCAACCTTTCGATTAGAATTACAATAATACATTACTTTTCGTCAAAATTTCTTGTAGGAGGCATTTCCAAAAGTTTTGCTTTTCCATCGACTACAGTCATCTCTGCTTCAGAAGAGGAATATTTAGACCTTTTTTTACTGAACATAATTATCCACATGATTTGGTTTAAAACCTTTTACTATTTATTTTCTATTTGTCTAATCTGTACCTTCTTTTTTCCTGCCTTCCATTGGATGGTTTAAATTCTCTTTTATACATCTATGTCATGGTGTGGCCTTTACATTGTTCACCTTTTACTTTCAGAATCTATTTTCAAGTTACATGCCTCATCAGTGAAAAGGTTAAAAAAGTACATTTCCGTTTGCATTCATATATACAGGAATACACATGTGAGCCAGTTTACAGCAGTTATACTAAAATGGCTGAAGTTAAAAACAATGATGAAATTTAGTATTTCCAATATTTAGACTGAAACCAGTCAAACAAACTCATGCTCAAGCCTGCTTATTTTCTGGCTGAGTAGCTTCATGAAGTTATTATTTGTAACCTGCTAATATTGTTTAACAGAGCACAAAATTTAACATACAGCTGATTAATAACTGTTTATGCTAACTAAGCAGAACTCTGAGTCAGTGTATGTTCTATGGCAAAATCTATGACAAATATTAGTAAAGATGCTATGGGTAAATGGTGAACAAAACCTCTTCTCTTTCTGCAGAAGAAACTCAAACTTGATTAACCTGTTTTTCTCTAGTCTAAAAGCATAATAAAACTAGCATATCCTATTATTAGGCAATAATGCTTATGGGGGGAAAAGACACAGGACTGGTAGAGTACATCTGGAATAGGAAAAGTAAATACTGAATAGAAAGCAGAACCGTGCACTGGCTTCTCTATAGGAGCAAGCAACTCTTATAGTCAGTGCGCACACTTCGCAGGCTTCAAATCCGTCCCTTTGGAGCTGTGCTATTTAAGGACTGCTACACCAGGTCTCCAACCAGGGCAGCATTCTCCTACTGCACTGTGCACCCTAGGTTTTGCTTTAACCATAATCTGGTAAGAAGAGACATCTCACGGGCCAGCATGATAGGTCAGCAGGTCAAGGTGTTTGCTGCCAAGCACGATGACTTTAGTTTGATTCCCTGGATCAATATGTAGAAAAGAGAGTCCTCTCATAAATTGTTCTTTGCCCTCCACAGGAATGCTGTGGTGCGTCCCCAGTGTGTGTGTGTCTCTGTGTGTGTATAAATCAAATAAAAGTAAATGAAACAAATTTAAAAGACTCAATCTCACATAACTATACGAAGATACCTAACACTGCCTAGCCACCAACTTGTATTTCCTTCTTAGGTTTATTTTGGATAGAGTAGTTCTAAATGTGGCCTACAGCAATCTCCTCGCTCTACCTGTCTGGCATGGTAGTGCACTTCTACAATTCTTGTGCTCAGGAAAGATGTAGGATGGTCAGTTCAAGGCCAACCTTTTCTACATAATAAGGTAAAAACAACCTGTGCTACAAGACAGCCTGTCTAGAAAAAATGAAAAATAAAGAAAAGGACAACTACTGGGACCATGAGGAGACTGAAAAGGGAAAGAGTAAACAGAATGAGACTCTGCCATTTATTATTACCCGTGAACCTTAAAAACAGTGTAAACCCTTTCTATTTCAATTTACTCACTTAGTGAAATCAGTGCCTAACTTCAGAGACTAATTCAAAATCTCACAAGAAAACAGATCTAGAGAACATCTTATTATTGATGAGCAGTTTAGCTGCTTTATTATACCATGCCTGATTGTCCTCTGTAAAACTATCCTCACAGTCACATCTTCACAGATTTACCTGGTAGCTTAACAGGAAAAAAAAAAAAAAAAAAAAAGAACCAATGTAAAGATATTAGTATCTCAAAAACAGAGTTTTTGAAACAAAATAAGCCTGCTTCTTGTCCCACTTCCACAATACTTCATATATCCCTATCTGTAAGACGGACTATTAATACTTGAGAACAACTGAGAAAATTGTAGCACTTCTCTGCGACGAAGATCTGTTGAAGGATATGCCCAAAAATACATGAAACAGAATGAAATACTAATATACTAATATACACAACTTTTAATCTTCTCTTTATGTTTTTCTGTCCAAGTACTAATAAAGCTAGTTCAAAGAAAAAAACTTACTGTTTTAAGTTCTTGGCGCAATTGCTGATTGTAATTTGTAGACTCTTCCAACCGAGCTTCTAAAGCAGCAATTTTTTCTTCTTTTATTTCAAGGGACTTCTTAAGAGTAGATTCTAATTTTGATTCCAAAAGTTTATACCTACTATCCAAGTACAAGAGTAATATAGTTTGTCACTAGATGTTAAAATGTTTTTAGAGACAATTTATGACTACAACATTGATGTATTTAAATAAGATCTATAAGCCTTCATATTTAAGATGTCAATATCTTCCTCTTAGCGGTGGTCACAGAAAAGAAAAAGCTAGTAAGTAAAAAGAACTGCCAAAGAAACAATTAATACTAAAACAGGAAAGCTGAATAGCTAAATCTCCAAATACTCTAGTTTTATAAGACTAAAACAAAACAAGACAAAAAAAGAAGTTGATGAATCTACTGTATCATACATGTGTCTGTGATATTAATATGCATTTATTTTTATGTAATGGCCTATATGAGCAGTTAAGACTTTAAATTTAGCATAAGCTGGGCACAGAGACGCACACCTTTTATTCCAACACTTAGATGGCACAGGCATTCCTGACCTACAGAGTTCCAGGCCAGTCAGGGATACATAATGTGTCCTTGTCTAAAACAAAACAAAATGAAACGAAACAAAACAAAACAAACCAACAACACCTCAATGCTGGCTACCTTTAAATAGTTAGAATAAGGGCTGGAGAGATGGCTCAGAGAGGTTAAGAGTACTGGTTGTTTTTCCAAAGGTTCTGAGTTCAATTCCCAGCAACCACATGGTAGCTCACAACCATCTAGAATGAGATCTGGTGCCCTCTTCTGGTGTGCAGGCATACATGCAATCATAACATTGTACACATAATAAAAAAATCTTTTAAAAATTAGTTAAAATAAAAAGAGAATGGTATACTCATGATACAGCTGGAAGAGTAAGAATGTATTCTAATACTGTATAGTATTTTAGAATGCCTGAGTCAGTACTATGTTTTAAAAATTGTGTACACATAGGCACATATGTATGAATATGTACACACACTTGTGTGCGATGGCAGAGGAGGTATTTTTTTTCCTCTGTCTTAGTCCTTCTGTCAAGGTCAGGAAGGCTGGCCATCACACCCCAGAGGTCTTCCTGGTTCTCCTGTTACACTATCCCCATCCCCTGATCTGACCCAGGCTTGCAGCACACAAAGCTATACTGTGTAGAGCTTTCTATGTGGATACTATGAATGCAAACTCAGGTCTTCACACTTGCACAGCAATTTCAGGCTGCAGAGTAAAATAAAGGTTTCTGTTAATGCAATTTTTACACATTGAGAGCTCAAAGGGAGAACTGGGCTTGGCAGTGCATGTTTGTAATCTCAGCACCTGAGAGGTGGAAGCAGGAGCATCAAGAGCATATCATAGTTCAAGGCACAATCAGCAACAAAGTGAGTTAGAAACCAATCTGAGCTACAAGGGATCCTTATCTCAGTATCCCCAAATGAATCTAAAGACAAAACCAAATAGAAACCTAAATGTTACATGAAAAATTTATCCCATCCTGTTACTGTAATTAAAACTTTAAGATTTATTTTTATTTATGTGCATGAGTATGTATATGCTACATGTGCAGGTAAGTGCAGAGGCCTCGAGGGTAATTAGATACCCTGGAACTGGAGTTAAAAGTAGTTGTAAGTAATATAAACATGGGTGCTGAGAAACAAACTTGGGTCCTCTGTAAATACAGCAAGTGCTCTTAGCCACACAGCCATCTTTTCAGACCCTGACATTAGTTTTTATACTTCCTGCCTGATCAGATTTTAAATTTCATAAATACAAGGAACACAACTCGTTTGTTTTGGCGTTAGCTTGTTCTGTAACAGTTTTTAATATATCTACTAAGTGATTTTGGCTGTGTTTAATTTTTTTGTTTTGTTTTTGTTTTTTGAGAGAGGGTGTCTCTGGGTAGCTCTGGCTGTCCTGAACACACTTTGTAGACCAGGCTGGCCTCAGAGATCTGCCTGCCTCTGCCTCCCAAGTATCGGGATTAAAGGCATGTACCATGCCTGGCTACTGTGTTTAATTTTTGGTGTCTAATTGCTTTAGACCTTTCTGGTAGTATTATACAATAAGGAGAGAAAAACAAAAATCTCAGGGGAGCAGATAAAATTCCTGAAACTCTAAGTCCCAAGAAACAAATATATCGAAAAAGAAAACAGGATAAAGAGGTGTAAGTAATCCCATCTGTTCACAATGCTGACAATAAACTTACTGTGTTATGTATTTATACACTGATCCCATCAGTAACCTATATGAGCTTTAATGGCAGTATCTTCCAAGTGCTAGAAACGTTAATTAGAAAGGAGAGTAGCAATGGAATATGGAACATCACCTGAAACTGATAGACATAAATGCTACCATACAGAAGATGGATGACTAAAAGCACATGTACTGTGAGCCTTTATTGTATTTGTAACGTCAAAGCTTACTTACTAGTTAAAAGAAAGATGACTTAGTGGCTTAAAAGGGAACACTCTTGTGTTTTCCCCAAATTTAGTCATCAAATGTTTTTAATCCCATTTCCTGAACATTTAGTTGAAAATATATTTTTATCCCCAAACCTTTTATTATATAAACAAATGTTCTTGTCTGCAAGTGTTAAACTGCTCTAAGAATCAATTAATATTGGCTACCTGTATGAATTAAGGCTTGAGAAGAAGTGATATAGGGCTCATCTAAACTGGTCTCATAATATTTTAAATGAAACTGTGACTTAGTACATGCTTTGCCAGTAACACAAAATAGTGTTTTATAAACAGTAGATAATCTGAATAGAGAAATAATACATATTTAGCACCTTTATTAAGATACTCAATAAAATTTGCATTAATTGCAGAAATTAACTTTTCTGATTAAATCAAATACAAAATTTCTTCAGGAAATTATATAGGTTGCCTGACTTATTTTAAATGTTAAGTATTTTTAAAGATGTATTTATTTTATGGTATGCATAAATATGTTTGCCTGAATGTGTGTCTATGCATTTACATCCATGCCTAGTACCACCGAGGTCAGAAAAGCTGCCAGATCCCTGGTACTAGAGTAACAGATGATTGTGAACCACCAAGTGGGTCCTGGAATAGAACCCTCCCATCTTCTGCAACAGCAACAAGTAGTTTTATTGTTATTTTGAGATAGGGTTTTTCTGCATATTACTAACTGTTCTGGAACACGGAATATGTAGATAAGGCTGGTCTTGACCTAAGAGATTTCCCTGCCTCTGTCTCCTGAGCACTGGGATTAAAGGTGTGCGTCACCTTTAATCATTTATGCCATCTGTAGGCCCCTGGTTGCCTGACTACTGAAAAGCCTAAAATTATCTCTCTGTATTACAGAGCTGACCATTTAAACTACCAGCTAGCCTTGAAACCACATTATCAAATGCCAACTAATAAGCATTAATTCTTCCTAATTTACTCTATGTTAATGTATATGTATACAATATAAAAGCTAGAATGGTAAAGTTGTATCAATATAAAAATATCACTGAATTAAAACCTATTCTACATAAACAGTATTCTTTTTATTTTCCTCCTTATATATCTGTGTGTGAAGGGGTTATGTGTTTTTGGTGTGTTAGTATACATGTTTACATGCATGCTAGTGGAAGCTGAAGTTGACATCTGGTGTCTTCGTGAATTGTTCTTATGTACTGAGGCTGAGTCTCCTAATAAACTAGAAACAGACAATTTCAATTAGTCTAGCTAGTAAATTAGGCTCAGAGACATGGTGGCTGAGCCTAACTGTATGAAAATCACTTGGTTTTCACACAAGTTCTGAAGATGCTAATCCTGGTGTCTATGCTTGTAAAATGAGGGCATTATCTGAGCCATCTCCCCAGCTTCAAAAAAAATTTTTTTTCTTGAGATAGAGTTTCTTTGTGTAGCGCTGGCTGTCCTGGAACTCTCTCTGTAGACCAGGATGGTCTTGTTCCCAGAGATCCAGCTGCCGCTGTCTCTGCCTCTCAAGTGCTGGGATTGAAAGCATGTGCCACCACCACCCAGCTATGGTTTATTTTTCAAATAATACTATTTTTATAATGATTATTATTTTTATTAATTGCAGTTTATTCACTTTGTAGCCCACCTGTAGCTCCTTCCCTTCTCCCCCACCCCACCCTCTCTGTCTTCTTCAAATAATATTCTTATACAAAAGTTTAATTCCATGTTTTATACATGTGTGTGTGTGTGCACACCACATGTGCCCACGTGTGTGTCATAGCGTATGTGTGGAGGTCAGAAGAAAACTTGCAGAATTTGATTTTCTCCTACCATGTGAGTCCTGAGACTCAAGCTTAGGTTATCAGGCTTGGCCCCAGGACCCTTTACCTACTGATCCATCCTATTGGCCCACAGAACAGCATTCTTAAGAGTAGACCACTCGTCTATCTGAAACAAGTGGCCCTTTGGATACTAAACAGGAGACTACTTAAAAACCAGATTAATCCTATGTAAAGGACCATGATTAACAGAGAACAGAAAAAGAAATTTAAAAATCTGCACCAACCATTCTTAAAGTTGGAGTCATTTTTGTCCTGTCTGTCAAATCTTTATTTTCACACATTAGCTGCATTTCAGTACAGCTGCGGCTCTTGGCTGAGCACACAGCACTCACCTGTCATCGGTGCTCTGGGCGTCGTGCAGCAGTCGCTCTTTATTTAAACCTATCTTCTCAAGCTCATGAGTTAACTTTTCCAAATCATTGTTCATTTGCTGCGTCTTCAATTTTTCACTCACTAAATCCTTATTTTAAAAAGAATGTACAACTCACTCACGTGTCAAGAATGTCAGTCAAGATTCTATTTACTATAACCCAAGAAGACATAATTTGAACCAGATAAGGGTTATTGACTCTTTCTGTTATTACCAAAAAGCTGAAACCATTTCTTAAAAATCTTCTTGTTGAAAATAGTTTCTGAAAAAACTTTCTAATAGAACTGTTTTGTGTTGCTACTTCTTCATAATGCAAATGTTACAAAGCTAGATGACACAGGGAACCATAAGGGAACCTCCAATATATTCATGGACTTCAATGAAGCACAAAAACTTCTGTGTAATCTTTTGTATCACCACAAATCTTTCTCATGGTAGAAGAGGCCTCACCTCAGACATTGATCTGAAGAATTACTTCAAGATTCATACTGGCAAGTTCCTTCTTAATGCCTCTTACTAAAAATGCAGACCACAGAATTGTAAGATGTCCCTGTTCATGCCAACCCTGTCCCCATATTGGAGACTAAATGTAGACTTCACGTGTGGTAGGCAACATTCTCCGTTGGGCTGTATCTCCAGCCCCGAGAGACTTTCTATTTGAATAAGGGACTATGACATATGTGGCAAAAACAAAACAAAACAAAAAACAAACTATTTTCTGATGTAGGCACCCATACAAGTTTATTTGAGTACAACTTACGTGTGAATCCTTAGTCAACTATCTGGTAAGAAACACCTGCTCTAATTATTTATACTTTATTACTAAAAATTTTATCTAAGTAGGAAAGGTAGAAGTGGATTCTAGTTCTAGTTTAAAAATTCTAGTGACCTACAGAAAAGATGGCACAAGTTACAGATGAGCTCAACAGAATGTGGGATACAAACAAAAAATGTCTGCCTTAAGTTTAGGTAAATATATTTACCTCACGTAATGTAACCAAAGTTTTAATATCAATAGTTGCTCTTTTCACAAGCTCCTTATTTTCTTTTTCTAATTCTTTCAGTCGAACACAAGACTCTTTATATATACTAATTTCTTTGGATAAAGTTTTGTTTTCTTTTTCCAAATTTCCAATTTTTACATTATTTTCTTCTAATGTGGTATCTTTTATTTCTGCTTGTTGTCGGAGTCGCTTGTTTTCTTTTTCCAATTGTTTCTTGTCCTTTTCAAGTTGGGATGTCTCTTGCTCTAATGATTTGTTTTCTTTTTCTAGCTGTTCAAGTCTTTTGCTAGATATTTTGAGTTCTTCTAGGTTTTTTTGTAATGTTTGATTTTCCATCTCTAAGTCTTGTAGCTCACTCTCTAATTGTTGGATTTTTTTATTGCTATTTTCTAAAGCTTTCTGTAGCCTTTGATTTTCTGTGTCTAGTCCCTGGTAGCTAACTTCTAAGCGTTCTGTCTTCTTAAAGGAGGCTTTCATGAGCTCCAAGCCCTTCTTAAGCTGCTCTTTCTCACTCTCCAGTTCCTTGTTCTCCAGCTGGAGCTGGGCCATTTTCATGCTTGCACACTTCAGAGATTCCACACTCCTTCGCAGCTCTAAGTTTTCCTCATCAAGTTGGGAATTCTCTTTTTCTAGGGATTCTAACTGAAAAGTAAGGTTTTTAAAGCTATCCAAAGTTTTCTTAAATTTTCTATTTTCTCTTTCTAGCTCTGAATTTTCTTGTTCTAATGCCTCAATTTTTTCACAAGTAATCTTTAAATTAGTTATCTTCTTCTGTAGCAATTCATTTTCTTTTCCAAGGTGATGCAACTCATTTTCAAGCTCCTCTGTGCGCTCTCCCTTTTCTTTGTAATGCTCTAATTCTTTCTTCATTTGCCGTTTTTCAAATTCAATCTTGCTTAGTTTTCCACTTGTTTCTTTGATGGATTCGTGGAGAATTTTGTTCTCTTTTTCAATGTCTTTCACTCTTGCCTCAGCACTGATCTGGGAACGCTGCCGTAAGGAAGACACTGTTTGGTTCAGATGTTCATTTTCTTGCTCCAATATTTTAATCTAATAGAAAAAAAGTGAAGAAAATGTAAACTTAAAGTTGAAGACAGTCTTTAGACTTTCAAAAGCTAACAAAAAACATGGATAGTAGAATGTATGCCTTAGTGCTTTAATCTGACAAATATTTACTGAAAGACCATTTTGTATAGGATTATTAGGAAACTAATATTCATTTTTTTAAGGGATTTTACAATCTAAAGGAATGGCAAAGAGAATGCTCTTCAGATTGTTTAGAGTTAACATACTTCAAGTGTCCTTAAAGGTATAAGGTTTTAATTTTCATTAAATAATTTTTATGCTGCCTACACAGGTGGATCCTTGGTAAGTATATGTACCTTATTTGTGTGAATGTGTAAGTATTCCTAAGAAGAATTTTAATTGGGTAACATGTAAACAACAAAATGACCTAGTACAACTAAAAACAAATTTATTCAATTCATAGCATAACCTGATATAAATTTCAAGCTTTTAAGTGTTTAGGATGTTTGCAGCCATCACATTCCTTCCTTGTTATTGGGGTGAGAGGACCGTGCATTTTCTCCAGCTCCTCCTTAATCTGCAGGGCTATTCTACGGACACCTGAGAAGTACAGGAACTAAACAACACTCATAATCAATTGTTATTGAGCAAACTGATAATTTACTGCTTCCAAGTTTCTCATCAAAATTTTCTAAATATATGGTATAGAAAATATAAATATATAGTACAGAAAATGTAAAATAGCATTTCCTCCCTATCCAGATAGAATATAATTCAAGATCTCCGCACAGATACCTGCAAACAGTTCTGAATCTGTATGTGTTGTTTTGTTTCTACAAACACTGCTGATGATAACTTAGTATTAGGCACAGTAAGAGATTAACAATAAGTGTATCATACACCTCAGTGTATTTCTTCTCTCACTTTGTAGATAACTTTTAACTTCTCATCTTAAGGAAGCATTTAATAGTTTCTCTGACATATATGAATTGCAACTTAGTGACATTATTAAGTAAAATAAGGATGACTTGAATGAAAACACCATGACACAAGGGTAGTAAGTGGTAGTAATGGGCAGGGAGTGAATAAAGCAGAGCTGTGTGGACAAAGTAACCACTCATTTATGGCCCGGAATGGACATGATTTCGTGAAACTGCGCAGAATGACAGACAACTTAGAATTTACAGATTGCTGACTTCTGGAAACAGATGGATACATTAAATGACTTAATTTTTTGGACTGTGATGGACTGTAGTTAACAAGGAAGCAAAACCATACAAAATGGGGAGCTCTCATAGTTTGAAATCTAAAAAGTCCCAATGGATGTCCTTGCAGTGGTATATGAACAACCGCTTTAAAACACCTGCTCAAGTGAAAAAGCACACGAACCTGCCTCTCTGAATTTTCTCTGAGTGTTTCAATTGTTTTTTCAAGCTGAGCTTTCTCTTTCATTAGATCTTTGCTTAAATTTTGACAATTCTGAAGACTTTGCTTTTCTTGAATAATTTCATTTTCAAGAATTTCAACCTAGAAAAAATTAAATTACAAAGTAACGGGCAAAACATGTCAAATCAAAATATTACTTGATAAGAATAAAATCATTTTCATAGAATGAAAAAAATTAAAAATCTCATGTAGAGTTTCAAGTAGTATTCCATATTGATTTTATCAGCCACATTAAAATTTACATACATTATTCTCATCTACGTTAAGACAAATTTCTATATTGAAATACAATGGCAAACCTAGCAGAATAAGTGATTATGATATACTAATGAGCAGTGTAAAAATCTCATCGAAAAATCCTTGGATACAGTGGATTTATAGTATACAAATTTTATTATCTAGAAAATTTATTGGGAAGGCAAAAGCGGGATGTGGTGATAAAAGTTTAATAAAACAGCAAAGAGGAGACTTGGTGAAAATGAAAGGGGGGAAAGAAGAATAAAGAATGAAACGGAAGAAGTAAACTGCAGCAAAAACACATTTAGGCCAGTCACGGTGACATAGGCCTATAACCCTGGGACTTTGGAGAGCAGGCACGGGTGTTGTCACAATTTGAGGCAAAAGACAGTAGTGAGTACTGTCTCGCCTCCTGACCAAAGGGTTTAACTTTACCTACTGACTTATTTATGCAGGGGTGACAATTAAACCCATGGTGTTGTGGCACGGAACAGACTAAGCAAGCACGTCAACCACTGAGGTACAGCCTTGCCAGTCTGTGGTGATACAACAGGAGGAACAAGCTAAATCACCGCCCTTGAGGGGAAGCTGGAACTCGGCACCTTCCGCTTTTTTTTCCTTTGCTTCCCAGCTGCCTACGGTGAACAGCTGTGCCTGCACATGCTGCTGGACACAGTGTTCTGCTTCATCACATGCCAAGAAGCAATGGAGGAGCCAAAGAAACAGCCCAGGGATTAAGAGCCACTTGTTTTTAGACACCTGGCTTTAGTTCCCAGCACCCATATGGAGGTTCACAACCAGTGTGAACTCCAGTTCTAAGGGATCTGATGCCCTCTTCTGGCTTCCTTGAGAACCAGGCATACATGTAGAAAAAAAATAGCCATAGACATAAAAAAAAAAAGTAATATTTAAAAAAGCAACAAAGCAAGCTCATAAAATTTTCCTACTTATAAATTGTTCATATCAAGTATTTTGTCACAGTGACAAAGTTAATACCAAAGACTATAAAATATTATACTTTAGCTTTAAATGTTAAAGTTTTATGTTAATAGTGAAGGACTCTATGGCAAATTGGAATTTTCTGTTTTAATAGAAGATACTTATAGGAATCAAAAAAAAAATTTTTTTTTTTTGAGACAGGGTTTCTCTGTGTAGCCTTGGCTTTTCTGGGCTTGCTTTGTAGACCTCACAGCAATCCGCCTATGTCTGCCTCCCTGAGTGCTGGGATTAAAGGCGTTTTCCACCATGCCTGGCTGGAAAAAAAAATCATACAGTAATATCTCAAAAGTATGAAATTACAAATCTTATCCAGTAAGGATTTTTACCCTATGAATAACTAAATAATTGGCTTGTATCTATTCTATTTGAAAATATAAATGGTAGCTTAGTGTTGCTTCTGTGAAGAGACAGGCTTAAGAAAAAAACAAAACAAAAGCTTTCAAAAAGAAGTTTCCTTTGTAACAAAGAAAGTATGATTATATAATTATATCTAATTATATTATTACTTCATAATAATAATATTACTTCAAAATAATATAACTAGAATATCAGGAATTCCTCAACCCTCTAATTAATCACAGGAACAAAGTTACATACTTCCTGTAACATCACATAAGGCAGATGAGCAGACATACCTCCTAAATAAGAAATACCTGTACTCTATAAGTATACTTGGTAAAAAAAATTTTAAAGGACATTAAGCTTATAAAGAAAGAAATACTGAAAACCAAAGAACAAGCTAAGTAACATAACAATTGAAGCAATCAAAAAAATCTAGATTGTGGACAATTACTATATAACCTAATTCTGTCAACAGAAAATGTGCTAGGAAAAGAAAGAGGGGGACTTCTATACTAAATTAAATACTTTAGTAATATAGCAGTTGATGGTGGAGCTCCTACTGAGCGTTGACATTAGCACCGTCAGACTTGTTTCCGACAACAGAAAGTTAATCTGTGTGAGTGAGGGGCCTGGAGACATGGTTAGGCTACTGAGAGCACGACTGCTCCTGTAGAAGACAAGAATTGAGGTTTAGCACCCATGTGGAGGCTCACAACTGTCTCTAACTCCAGTTCCAGAGGATCTGATGTCCTCTTCCAGCCTCTCCAGACACTACACACATGTCCTACACAGATATACATGCAGGCAAAACACCACTTACATAAAATAAAAATAATAAAATCTTTAAAAAGTTAATTTTTGGTATGATGTCACTGTTTTTGTTTTCTACAAACTCCTTACTTTTTGGTGATTTATATTCTAATGTTTGGTTGTTGAAATCCCAAGGCCATAAGGAGAAAACAGGAATAATGAAATAAGGTCAGCAACAAGTCTGTCTTTCTTATTTAGTTGTTTGCTTGTTTGTTTACTCCCACCTCCCAAAATAAGCTTTTTCTCTGTGTAGCCACGACAGTTCTCCAACTCCTAGAGAGCTGTCTGCCTCTGCCTCCCAAGGGATGAGATTAAAGGCATGTACTATCATGCCCATCAAGTTTGTACTCATGTTTTTACTTATTACAACTTAATGACTTAATCCCCACTGTAGCCTCCTCTCTCTTCTCTCAGTCCCATCTTACCTCCCTCTCCCTTATGTCCCTCCCCTAGTCCACTGATAGGGGAGGTCCTCCTCCCCTTCTATTTGACCCTAGCCTATCCAGGTCTCATCGGGACTGGCTTTATCATCTTCCTCCGTGGTCTGGCAAGGCTGTACACCCCAGGGGGAGGTGATCAAAGAGCTGGCCACTGAGTTCATGTCAGAGACAGCCCCTGCTCCTCTTGCTAGGAGACTCACTCGGAGACTGAGCTGCCTATGGTCTACATCTGAACAGGAGGCCTAATTGAACCAAGAAACCCTCCACATACCAGCCAACTGCTCTATCACTGAGTAGCCCAAAATTATGTTCAGTATTACTGAACCGAATGACAGTCAGGGGGTTTGGTTCCATCATTCACTTAAGAATATTTACGGGTCTGGAGAGACAGCTCAGTAGTTAAGAACACTGACTCCTGGGCATATGCCCAAAAGATGCCCCACCATTCAATAAGGACATTTGCTCACCTATGTTCATAGCAGCTTTATTTGTAATAGCCAGAATCTGGAAACAACCTAGATGTTCCTCAGCGAAGGAATGGATACAGAAATTGTGGTACATCTATACAATGAAATACTACTCAGCTTTTAAAAACAAGGAAATCATAAAACTTGCAGGCTAATGGATGGAACTAGAAGAGATCATCCCAAGTGAGGTATCCCAGAAGCAGAAAGACAGGCATGGTGCATACTCACTTATAAGCAGATATTAGACGTATAAAATAGGACAGCCATCTACAGACCTAAAGAAGCTAAACAACAAGGAGGACCCTAGGGAGGATGCTTAAATCTTATTCAGAATGGCAAACAGGATAGATATTAGAAGCGGTGGAAGAGAGGAAACCAGATGAGAGCCTACAATAGAGGGTCCTCTGAAAGGATTCACCCAACAGGGGATCAAACCAGATACTTAGACTCATGGGCAAACTTTGGGCAGAGTGCAGCGAGTCTTACGGAGGAAGAAATGGGTGAAATAGAAGGACATGAAAGGGACGAGATCTGAGCCCAGGAGGTCCTGCAGAGACTGATATATCAAAGAAGGACTATGTATGGAGAGGACCTAGACTCTCTGCTTACATGTGGCCAACTGGTAGCTGTCTCCATGTGAATCTCTGAGTGACGGGAGCAAGGGCTGCATCTATCATGAACTCACTTGACTGCTCTTTGATCACTTGCTCCTGATGATACAGCCTTACTGGGCCACCAAGAAAGAGGATCCTGATGAGACGTAACAAGCTATGGGCAGGTGGCAATAGTGGAGAATGACCCCTTCCAGTGGACTAAGGGAAGGGGATGGGAGAAGAGGGAGGGAGGGTGAGACTGGGAGTAGTTGAGAGAGGGGGCTTCAATTGGGATATATAATGAATAAATTGTGAAAAAAAAATAAAGATAAAAATAAAAAGAGAAGACTGTCTGCTCTCCCAAAGGTCCTGAGTTCAATTCCCAACAACCACATGGTAGCTGGCTCACAACCATCTGTACTGGAATCTGATGCTGTCTTCTGACATGCAGGTGTACAAGCAGATAGAGCACTCATATACAGTAAGTAAATACTTACATACATACATATATACATGTTTTAAAAAATCCAGACTATTTGAAAAAGAGCTTAAACACTATTAAGAACACATTACAAATGGAAAAAACAAATGTTATTTATTTATACTAACATTTAACATTACAGTAAAGATTAAATTTTAGTTTACCTTTTTATTCAGTCTCTGGTTTTCTTTTTCAATCTTTAGGATTCTGGAAGTGCTGCCTTCTGCAGAGTCCATAGTACTCCGAAGTTCTTCTACAGTTTTTGTTAAACTCTGGTTTTCCATCTCCAACTTTAATAACTTACTTGATGTTAACTCATTTACCTCATGCCCCAAAGATTTCTGTGGTGCTGAAATATTGAAAACTTTCACTAGAAAAACTATTGTTACTTGTTTTTGTTTTTTCAAGACAGGGTTTCTCTGTATAGCCTTGGCTGTCCTAGACTCGCTTTGTAGACCAGGCTGGCCTTAAACTTACAGAGATCCGCCTGCCTCAGCCTCCCTGAGTGCTGGGATTACAGGCTTGCGCCACCTCGAAAGGCTCTATTATTACTTTTTAATATTAGAAATATTGACTTCTAATGTACCAAGATACCTGATCTTTAACTTTATAAAAAATTAAGTTATCTGAGATAGATACAATTAAAAAACTAAGTGAAACAAAGTTAAGTCTTGAGCTTCTAACATACACAATTTAGACTCAATAGACTAGAGTTCTAGTTCCATGAGCAATTACTTGGTAACTGCCATGTTGATGAATGTTAGGTTATTTGATAAATTACAACTATTGTCCTGCATTTTACAAGATCATTCTAACTCAAAATAAAAGGCATATCTTCAATTTCTGAAATAACTTCAAATATTAAAAGGAAGCTGAAGAACCCTTATAAACGGTCTGAAGATCATAATACACTGCTCATATTCTTCTAAAAAAAGAAGTCACTACTTAGCTTAGGAACAGAAATCAAGGTCTGGTCTTTTTTGTCATGATAAAGCACCTTTAACGTAACACTTATTTTTAGTTTCCCACTATTTTTATTGATCCTTTGTGGATTTCACATCATACACTCCTATCACATTTACTTCCCAGTCCTTCCCTGTCCTCCCCTCAACCTGTTACCTGCCCTGCAACAAACAAACAAAAAAACAAAACAAAAGTTCAGTTAGTGTATATATCACTAGGTGTGGTTAAACTCTTAGTGGCCTGTCCCCAAGATGGAGCTGAGTCCCTCCCCTCCCACATCCCTGCTGGCTTCCCTCTACTGTGGAAAGCAGCAAACCAACATCCTATCACAGTTCTTAACAGTTCTCTCTGACGGCTTCTTGTCCAGGCTGTTACTATTTTTTTGAGGTGGGAGTTGGGGTGGAGGCAGAAGTTGTCACTAAAGTCTTCCATGCCCCTCTTTCTCAGCTGTGCATCGTCATCGATATCACTGCAAAAGTATATGCCCCTATCACATTTAAATATTGATCAAAATTGGGTATAGTAAATAATCGCATTATTCAAAGAAGGAAAGAAAGAATAGTATTTGTTTTAGATTAACACATTGGTACTTTTTATTGCAAATTTACTAGATCCAGATTTTAAAGTCCTACTAGATCCTCAAATTGATGGGTTAGTCTACAATACTTTTATTTTCTCAAAAATATTATTTACTGTGGTCATGGTGACACACATTGTTAATTCCAGCAGTTGATAGGTAAAGGCAATATGGTCAAGAATTTCAAGGATATACTCACTGAACTTGGCGAGCCTAACTAGCCTGGGCTTTATGAGGCCCTGACTCAAAGAAACAATATGACTTGAATTTAACTGTAAACTTACAGGATACATTGTTCAAAATGATAACTGTGAAAGGTTAAAAAATATTTCTGGAAATATATCACCTTTTACATTTTGGGTGAAAAAAAATTTTAAGTGAATAATCTGAGGGTACTGAAATATTTAAGAGATCTATTATATCATCATTTTGCAAATCCCGCTTTGTCTTATAAATTATTATGTTATTCCTTTCCCCCAACTTGCACTTGTTGAGTGAATATTCTATCAAAAGCTGTAACTCTAGTCCTACAGCATTGTTGAGTCAAAAACCTAGTAACAAGATTCTAAAGGATAATATGTGGTCAGAGTAAAGAACATATAGACCAAATAACTCTTTTACTTAATGGATGACTATAGTTCTCAGAAACCAATAAATTAGTGTTCCAGCTCTTGTAATAGTAATTTGAAATATTTTTTAACCTAGCAGCTAAACCTATCAACAAATTCACAAAACTGAAGTTTTGCTGTAGACTAAGCAAGACTGCTCACTATATACTTCTAAAAAGCCAGACGTTGTCTTTTGTGTAATAATTTAAATTACATACTAAATAAAGCTATAATTGAATATGTGATACAATGTTAAACAGAAAAGAGTGGGGAATCCAGGTTTTTAAAAAGCTCCTTTTCCTAGAACAAGTTAAAATAGAGTTTTAAGATATAGTGAGAAAAAGAAGAAAAAAAAAAGATACAGAATAGTACTGGCTATGGTGGCACACGCCTCTAGTTCCAGCACTCAGGAGGCAGAGGCAGGAGGACCTCTGTGAGTTCAAGGCCAGCCTGGTCCACAAAGCAAGTCCAGGACAGCCAAGGCTACCCAGAGAAACCCTGTCTCAAAAAAAAAATTACACACACACACACACACACACACACACACACACACACACACACACACGTATGCATATACACAAAAGTAAAAACCAGAATCAAAAAAGGAAACACAAGATATTACTCTGTGAGATAATAATTTTGGAGATCACTGGTTGCCTTGTGGGAACGTATATATGGAAATAATATATGGAAAAATATAAACATAACTTCATTTATTAACCTACTTAAATGAAACAAAATTGAGACTACCTTCAGCAAGTTCACTAGTTCTGGATATCTGTTCCAGCTCCCAGCCAAGGTGTAATGATTCATCCATACTTTGTTTCTGTGCCATTTCCAAAGTCATATTTTCTTCCATTAATTCTTCAATCTTCTTTCTATCCATATCTCGCTCCTTTTCAATTATACAGAGTGGGGAAAGAAAGCTAAGATTAAATAGTGTAATTTCCACCCATTACCCATTTATTTTTACGTGTTTTAAACCAAAGTTTTTAGTTCCTTAACATTTTCACATTGAAGGCAATACTTAGTTATTGTAATCACCCCTGATGATTACTGATCAGGTATTAATATCCTTTTAAAATGATCTTATAAAATATTTAGGTCATTGTGAATTCTGCACAACATGGTTTTAGATTGTTTTCACTCCTCCCAAGTCTCCTCTTCATTACCCACACATCCAAATCTATGTCCTGCTTTTTGTTTTTTGGCCAATCACGTTCAATTTGTGCTGCCTATATATTCTTGAATATGTGGTCTTTTAAAATAATCTTTAAGAACAAAATGAGAATGTTCCTTCACACTCACTGTATTATTTTAGTCATCTAACAAAATAATTATGGCCACTGCTAAATTTTACCAGATCACTGTAGTATTTTTGCATTAAAAAAATGCTTATAACACAGATTTACTGTTTTTAAAGGCAAAAATTAATATTAATATCCATCTATAACTAAAAAAATATTTAGCTTTCTCATCTATATTAAAGCCTTATTAAAGATTCTAGCCATCCTTGTCATTATAGGGAATTTAGCTGAATCATGGAATTCTTCCTTAGAAACTAGGAAAATTGATTCCATAAAACTTACCATTTCCATATCATGCAATTTAGCTTTGAGTTGTAAGTTCTCTTTTTCTAATTCATGCAATTTGTCAGAACGAGCTCGAGTTCCTTCTAGTTGATCTTCCAACATGGTTTTTGTTTCTAATAAAACTTGATTATCTTCTTTTAATTCCTATAAACATTTCAAATAGGCTTTTAAAAACAAATTAGAAATGTGCTAATGTATTTTTTAAAGCTTACAAGATAAATTTCATTATCACAAATAAACACATTATGGCGCTCCTATCAATAGTCTCATGCAAGAGTACAGCTACTCAGTACTATACAATTGATTTTTTTTGGGGGGGTACCTCTCTCACCTTCTACTCCTTGTTCCAGAGTGAAATATATTATGCATTTAAAGTATGTAAGCCTCTGTTACTTCACAGGGAACTGATAAAACACATTTAAATGGGTCACAGGGTTAAAAGATTAAAAAAAAAAAAAAAAAAACTCCATAGAATTAATACTTACGTCGACTGAAATAGACCTAAAATTTACCTCTAAAAAGCAATAACTTGAAAGTGACTTGTTTTAGGTTTTCATAATAAAAAGCCAAGACAAAACTCTCATAAACGATGAGACAGGACTCTGCCAATTTAATTTATACTTAGTCTGAGGCAGAGTCTTCTTAAATAGCCAATAAGCCCAGGCTGTCTAGAAACTTGTGATCCTTCTTGTCTCTACCTCTCATTGTGCTGGGAGCCTAAATGATCTGCTGCAATCTTTCAGATTCTTTTCTTTGTTTTTTCTTCTTTTCTTGCGAGTGTCTTTCTATGTAGCCTGGCTGGTCTAGAATTCACTATGTACACCAGGCTGGCCTTAAACTCACAGAATTCACCTGCTTCTGCTTCTACAGTGCAGAAGGCATTAAAGGCATGCACCTCTGCACTTTTTCAAATTTTCTTGTCTAGGAACTAGAACACAGGTCCTTATGCATGTGTAGCAAGATATCCAACTGAGCTTTATCCTGAGTCCGCATGGTAAATGTCAAATAAATAATTTAAGAAAATCCTTTTATATAATTTGGAAGCAATCACAACTGTCATCTTGCTAAATAATGTCTGTTGTTTATAAAGTCTAGAGAAAATATATTGTTCTGTTGAGTTTTGAGACAGAATTTCACTACAGATTTGAGAATGCTCTCAAAACAGTGACCTTAACACAGAGCCCCCTGAGCTGGGGTTACAGGTTACCATGCTTTAAAACAATTGTATTCATGACAGATATAATAGGAATATTATATATGACTACATCTCTGTATATTTTATCTTAGAAACTTGCAGTTTCATTTACTAGTAAAGTTGAGGCTAAATGTTCTATTTTCTCATGTTCAAGTTATTTATTTATGTGTTTCTTTGTGTATGTATATGGGCACATTCTATAGCACCAACAAGGAGCTCAGAGGACAATCTGAAGTGGCTGGTTCTTGCTTTTCATCATGTAGATCCTAGGAATCAAATTCTAGGCATGAGGCTTGGTAGCAGGTGTCTTTAACCCACCAAGGCATCTGACCTACTCTTTCCTGGATTTTTTTTCCACACCACATACTCTTCTCACTCTTATACTGAAACGGAACAAAAATTTCTTATGCTTACTGGAAATAAGGAAGTTAACAGAAATGAGGAAAAGATGTCAGGACTGTCAAACTGAAACACAAAAGTTTTTTTTTTTTTCCTGCTTAATTTATATATATGTACCCTTTCATGATCTCAACATCCTAATGTCAATAAAATAAAAATCAGAAAAAATAATCTCCATTCTTTCTGGGGGCAAGTTTGAAATGACTTTTAGATATAAGAACATTGGCTGTAAGATGCACTCTTCAAAAGTCTTCCACGGCTATAATCCTAAATGGATACAAGGTTGAAGTGCTCTGAAGGACTCATTAAGCCTCATAATGTGTGAAGATATTTAAAATAAATAACTCAAAGAATTTAATGTTACCTCTAGATTCAATTCCTCTTCTTTATAAAATGCATTTTGAAAATTTTGACACTTTAAGAAAAACTATGAATAACTATGCAACATACCTCAACTCTTGCCTTATAAAATTCAATATCATGTAGTCTCTCTTTGTATCTGCTGAGTTCACTTTCCAGCTTATCAACCCTAATTGCCTTCTCTCGAAGCGCATCCAATTCATCTCGGTACATTCTAGCAGATCGAGCATCCGAAAGCAAATTCATGTTCTAAATATAAATAAAAATAATGCCTTGAATATAAACGTTCCCGTTTAACCACTGTTTGTTCAGACAACTTCATTAACTTAACAAAAAGTAATAAATCATGTATTTTAACGGAGATTGTATTGTATATAAATAATAACTGTTTCTTGAAAGCTGAGGACATACTAAACCTTTTTCTTGAATCAAAAATAAAAGGGTTTTAAATATGTTTATATACAATTTTTACATAATGTTCTCCATTAGCAATTTTTAAAAACATTGCAAATTAAGTTAACTACAATATTTATTCACAATTAAATTTACGTTTAAAAGTTAACTTTAGAAATGGCTAAGAGCTGTTAAGAGTACTACCTGCTCTTCCAGAGAACCTGTTTTGATTCCTACCACCAACATGGTGGCTAAAAATCATGTATAACTCCAGTTCCAGGGGATCTGTCACCTTCTTCTGGCCTCTGGAGGCACTGCACTCATGCGGTACGTGGACATACATGCAGGCAAAATACCCAGGCACACAAAATAGTAATTTTTTAAAAAGTTTAGCTTTAAAATACAAGATAATAAATATACAGAAGAGCTAAGTGATATAATTAAAGTAAATCACTATTTGAGAGAAATGTTTTTATTTATATGTGACCTACCACACACACCAGACACAAAGACGTACAGACACACACACTCACAAACACACATGCATACACTCCACACACACACATACACACAGACACCTCTGTTAATAAAAAGTGGAATAAGAGCCAGAGCACATTAAAATAAAAATTATCATTTCCTGGCTCATTCATCCGAATGGTCTGAATTTATGATCTTGCATATAGTTTCTGACATTCAACATGGCAGGCTAAGATAGTTAAGGGAAAGACAGAAATGTCCAGCCTTACTCCAGTCCTTGGCATTTATGGCTTGGATACCCAAATGAAAAACAAGCCAGTGAGTAAAAGAAGTGAATTCTTTAAAAAAAAAAAAAAAGATTTATTTTCACGTTATTTGCATTGGTGTTTTGCCTGTATGTATGTCAAATACCCTGAAAATGGAGTTACAGACAGTTGTTAGTGGCCATGTGGATACTGGCCATTGAACCTGGTCCTTCAAAAGAGCAGCCAGTGCTCTTAACCACTGAGTCATCTCTCCAGCCCCAAAAGAAGTGAATTTTTAAAAAGAGAAGGGAAGGAAGGAAGGAAGGAAGGAGGGAGGGAGGGAGGGAGGGAGGGAGGGAGGGAGGGAGGAGAAAGGAAGGGAGAAAGACAGTAAAAACTGCTGTTACTAGTCTGTAACATTAACATACATTAATTATAAATTAATTATGTATTATAAATGTATTATATTATTGTATTATATTGTATTATTACATAATAATACAATGTAATAATTATATATTATATAATACAATATTATATTGTATTATATTGTATTGTATATTGTATTATATTATAAATGTATTATGAATTAATTATAAAATAATAGACTTTACTATGATATTTTAGTTTTTTTATTTGTTTGTATTTTTGAGACAGAATTTTTCTCTGTGTAGCTCTGGTCATCCTGGAAATCACAGAAATCAGCCTGCCTCTGCCTCCCCAGGTACTGGGATTAAAGGCTTGTACCACCACTGCTGGGCATGCTATGACATTTTAATACATGCATATTTTTGGCTCAAGATGAAAAAAAGCCCAATACATAAAAACATTTTGGTATACACAACCTAGTGTAATCAGACCCATAAACAGCTCAGTTCACAGTATACAGAGGTGCTCACATAACTCGGCAAAACAAGACCTAGAAATTGCCCCAGTTCAGAATAACTACTTTGAAACTTGGAGACGTTTGAATAGTGGGACCTTGAATTCCAGCTTTGGCTCTGCATTTTGATAAAGGCACCAAAAGTCACCTGATTTTACACAAATATATGAGGTAACTGGGTGAGGCTTAAAGTACTGAGGTCAAAGTTATAAATTACAGGCAAAAAAAATCAATTTTCAACTACTTCAGGCTCCAACAGAAAAAGTATAGGCAAAAACCTCTTGTTGCAGCCTCTTCAATTCCATTTCTATTTGCTCGAGTTCTTGTTTACAGTCCAGTAACTGTTCAGTCTTTTCTTCCCTTAAAAGCAAGAAGATATTTATTAAAGAATAACATACTACTTAGAGAATCTGTAATCACAACATATTAATACGAACAGGTGAGAGCTGCAGATGGCTCAGCATCCCATGGCATAAACAGTTTAATTCATAAAAATTAATTATCTATCTAATCAGAAATTATATTATTACTCTATAAATCAAAATAAATCATATTATTTGGGTTTACCCATAAAAAGCATATAATAGTCAATACAAAGCATATCTTAATTATTTATTTTATAGTTTCCATTAGATATAAAGCAACCTAGACTTTTTTTTTTTAATCAAGATTTTTGCAGGTAATCCACTTCAGGAAATATCTGTCCCCATCAAAACAAAAGAAAGCCTTCTTACAGACCATCTTAAGACAGACATGAAAGAAGACATTTTTAAAGATATTATGTGGAATTTAATGAAATGCTCATTACTGAAAATACTTGCTGCATGCATCTGGATTCTTCACTTACTTAAAAATTTTCCACTTAATTTTCAAATCATTACATATGAAACCAATTTTTGTCAATCTTCTCAAGGTTGTTTGAATTTTTAATATATTCCAAGGCCAAGTAAATTCTATTTGAAAATTAAATTCTAATATAATGCAAAATGTTAAATGAATTCACAGCCATCACTGTAATTCTAATTGCATGCTTCATCTAAAGACTAGAGAAGATTGGACTAAATTATATGGGAAGAACTAGTGTTCACTGTTTAGGCTATCCATTAGCTGTCAGTCAGACTAATAACAGCAATCTCTTCCCTAATTTTCCTAGTGCAGCTGTTTATAGAATATCCTGGGCGTGTTCACTTCAATAGACACATAATAATGCAGACATCCACAAATGAAAGCTGTATTTTTTGTTTTCAAAATTTCCTACAGACTATTTAATGCTTTTTCTACCTTGCATATCCAATTCACTTTTAAGTTACTTTAAATAATCAATAAACAAATGTAATTACTAAACTGTGTATTTAAATTTAAAACATACATTCTAAAGCTCAAATTCCAAGAAAACGAATTTAAAAAAGAGAAAAGCCATAAATCAAAAATACTTTGTTCTCTTTAAAGAACAAAATTCAAAATCTTCAGCAAAGATGGTCATGCTTTTACTTGTGCTTCACCCAAGACTGAATATGTGAAATTTATACTGGATTTTCTGCAATGAGCTTTGATAACTAAGTAAGTAAAATTTTATCAGTGCTAATAAACTCTGAATATTTTAATAAGCAGATGACTGGCATTTTAATGACTTAATGTAGATGATACATATAAAATTATTTTTGTAACATTTTATGCCAAGAATTCAGTCTTTGAAAACAACCTTGTCATTATTCCTATTATTATTGACACAGGGTTTCACATAGCCTAAGCTAAGCTCCGACTTACTTTGTGTCTGAGGATGCCCATGAATGATGTATTCTCCTGCTTATATTTCTTGAGTATTGGGATTATAAGCTAATTTTTCTCATTTTGACAAACACTAATAAAAAGTCTGACTTAGGTTAACAACAGAGGGCACGTGGCCTTTTGTCAAACTTAAACTACTGCTAAGGTTATCTTCGTGAACACATTATTTCAATGAATATTGAGAATCAGAGACTTACAATTCCTGCCGAAGTCTTCGGATCTTAGCCTTAGCATCAGCCAGCTCTACTGAGAGATGTTGTCTACTTTCTGTTCGCTTCATGCCTGGGGAACCACAGGGTGATTGTGCAGATGAAGAGGCATGGGGTAGAAAATGAAGCCCATCTCGCTCTTCAGAGAGTTCTACAATAGTCTGAGAATTAAAGGGGTAAACAGAATCAGTTTTAGTGTTCTCAACATCAGTAACCTACACACAGCAACCCTAATCACTGGGTATTCTATAAAATAAAACAACTCATTGATCAAAAGCATCTCAACTTTGCCAGGCGTGGTGGTGCAAGCCCTTTATCCCAGCACTTGGGAGACAGAAACAGTTTCAGGTGGATCAATTTGAGTTTGAGACTAGCCTGGTCTACCTAGTGAGTTTTGGGTCAGCCAGGGCTACATGGTAAGTCCCTATCTCCAAAATAAACAAGAGAACAACAGTAACAAAAACATCATTTTAACTTTGTCAAATTAGCTGTCATTTTAAGTTTTATTCAACAGTTCATGTGTGAGTTACTTCACAAATAACATTAAAATACGTTAATGCTTTTTTTCTCTCCCCAGATTTTTTCATATAAATCAGTTATGACAAAATAATTAGATAACTGTTGGAATGGCATAAAAGACATGTCGACACAGGAAAGAAAGCCAAAGAATGATTTGTCTAGCTATCCAATTATGACAGCCAGTAACACAAGTGGTTATTTAATAAAAATTTAAACAGCTCAAAATTCAGTTCTTTAGTCGCATGAGCTGTTTTAAGTCTTTAGTTGTTATGATACTGGACAGTCTGGGAACATGATCTTGACATCACTGCTGAATTAGACAATATTGTTTTACAACTTTGTAATCTTAGTGAAAGCAATCAGTAGACCATAAGACCTTAGAGGTTAATCTCTTTTTTTTTTCTGAAGGGCAGATGACTGAGGCACAAAGATTATATGCTTACACAACTAGGTAACAGTAATGTTGAGACTACACACTAGCTGTTCATTTTGTACCTTGTGTTCCCTGTTCTATATTACTTCTCATCTCAAAAGCTTCCCCAGTTCCTTTTTCCAGACCCTCAGTGGGGCACAGACCTTTTCATTTTCCTAAATCTCTGCTTTATGGAGTAAGTATGTAGCCAATCTATATTTTGTACAACCATGTTGCTCCATTCTTCTAATTTTTCTTTTCTTTTCTGGTAAATTATTTTATTCTAAACCATTTGTTTGTTTTACTTTAAACTTTCTCAGGCAAATGGACCTGTGTTGCAAAGCAATTTTAACTGTCCACCCAGATAGATTGGGTGGCATTACTACTTTGAGACCATTACATAGCTAACTTCCCTAATTTTTACTTAATTTTTTAAACATTTGTTCATGTCATTTTATGTGTTTTGCTTGAATGTATGTGTACCATATGCATGCCTAGTGCCCATGGAAGTCAGAACATGGCATTGGATCCTTGGAGCTTGGAATTATGGATGGTGTGAACCACCATATGGGTGATGAGATTGAAGACAGGGTCTTCCACAAGAGCAACAAGTCCTCTTGAATACTGAGCCATTTCTCTAGCTCCATTTTTTTGTTTTGTTTTAACCATGCACCAGAATTCATTTCTTTATCCTTGGGAAGTATTTCAGCATCTCTGTCTTCCGGTTTGCAGCTACCACTTTCATGAACTTGAGAGAGCACCAATCCAGTCCTCTGTCTCTCTATAGCTCCATGTCCTTGGCTTAGTCAACAGAGTGAAGTTTCTTTAGTGCAGAAACCAGCTCTTTTGTAGTATGCTTCTTTTACTATTACTGCTCTTATGTGACGATGCCTAACCTTGAATGATTCTTTTTATCACTCAACTGCCTCCTTTGGCCAATGTAAGAGATTATTTTTTAACTACTGTAGAGTTCTTACTCTATCTGAAACTACAGTCAACCTTCTTAAGTGTACTTTTACATGTTTAATTTTAAACTTTCATTTTTACTGTCTGACAATGACTTACACTTTTCTCCTTAATAATCTCATCCAACACTATGATTTTCAATAAAGGTCTACCTACTTTAGACTAAAGAAACTGAGGCCTATATAGACTAATGTAAACCAAGGTCATACAACCAATGATGGGTGCAATATCAACTAAATTTCAAGTTGATGTATGCATTTTAAATGTGTTTTGTAAAAATACTAACATAAATTTGCTTTTTATACATTTTCACAAAATATAATTCAAGTCTGACTATAGCCATTTTTTTTTTCTGGTTTTCTTCTTTGTTTGTATTCAGGCAGGGTTTTATGTAGGCCAGGTTGGTCTGAAACTTGGTCTGTAGTCAAGGCTGGCTTTGAACTCCTGAACTTCCTACTTCTAACTGTAGTTCTGAGATTACAGGTGTATACCATCATGTCTAACTTCTTGATTCCAGTTCTAAAGTGACAAAACTTGAAGACAAAAACAAAGAATTACTTGGTACTAGATCTTACGACCTGTTTTCACTGAAGCTCTCCATACTATGCAGTGATCCTTTTGCTTAATTATATTTTGGGGCAAACTGCCCCAGAAAAACTTTGTAAATTATTTCCTTTCCTCTGTTTAAGCTTCAAACAGAAAACTGCTGTTATTGCTTCTCAACAAATTACTCTTCTCTAACTAATCACCTAGTTAGCTGCTTCATTATTACACATTTTCCACTGAAAACATTCATCATTTTGGTGTTTTCAATATCGTTCTTATATTTTCCTCCTTGTTCTTCAAAGGTATGCACACAGCTTCTTCTATAAAAAAAGACAAAATTCCTTCCTTGTTACTTTTGAAGGTGAATGACACACAACTGTCCTCCCACACAGAAGCACATCTCAAGTTCCTTGTCTTTTTGGACAATGTCATTATCTTCCATAGTGGACGAATGCTCTAAGAGTGGGCAAAGGTTCTACAGAGTCAACTTTTTTTGTTCGTTTTTCTGTTGTCTTCATTATCTTTAATTTTGTTAACATTTCCTGATTTTAGTTACAATACCTAGGAGATAATATTTAACAAACATTTGATTCCTACACAAACATCTTCAACCTTAGATACATACTAACTTTCAGATCAACCTGGGGTACATAAGACCTTTTATAATAATTTTAAAGAACAAGACTAAAAGGGTTGTTTGGTACTGACTCCCTAACTGCCTGTGACTTCCCCAACCAACATGGGGTCAAATGGGCAACACAACCAAGAAATTTAGTAAATTCTTGGGTTTCATGGCAATGAGTTTTCCACTTACATCAAGTATATATCCAGTTTCACACTTCTGCACTATTGCCAAAGTCATGGCGGTGACTTGAAAAATACACAGGAATAAAATCAGAATAATAATAATGAAAAAAGAAAGAAAAAAACTAACTATAATTTGCTTTTTAGAAATCTGAGGCTGTTTTATTTCCTTTCTAATTGCTGTGTTACTCACAAATACACATACAAACACAATAATAACAACAACAAAAGAAAGGCATAGTAGTTTCACATCAGCAAACTAAACGAAGTGTGGATGGAATAAGACAGAAAAACTCCTGTGTTTATACGGCACAGATTTTTCTTGTCACTGCTCCCTAAGTAATGTACAGCAGAACAACTATTTGTGTATTCTTTACATAATTATCATTATTATAGGTAATTAAAAGATGATTTAACACATATAAGATATTTGTAGGATTATATGTGAACACCATACCTTTTGTTTGTTTGTTTTTGATTTTGGGACAGGGTTTCTTTGTGTAGCTCTGGCTTTCCTGGAACTATCCTTGTAGACCAAGCTGGCCTTGAACTCACAGAGGTCTGCCTGCCTCTGCTTCCTGCGTGCTTGCACCCTATGCCTGGGATACCTTTTCTTTCTTTTTTTTTTTTTTTTTCACGAGAGACTTTGAGGATTCATGGTTGTAGTTTCTTTTTCATTCTTTCTCTTTCCCTTTTTTCTTTCTCTCTTTCTTTCCTTCCTTCTTTCTATTTAAGCTTTTTAAGATAGGGTTTCTCCGTGTATCCCTGGCTGTCTGGAACACACTTTTTAGATCAAGCTAGCCCTGAACTCAGAGATCTGCTTGTGCTTAGACCTGAGTGCTAAGATAGATTTTAGTATCTTAAGAAGGTCCTACAGCCAACATACCTCACAGACACCAAAGGATGACTATAGTTTATTACCTAATCCTAAGAAACAGGGAATCAATTCTAGAAAGTTACTTTTATAAAGAAGGCAAACTTCCATTATAAATTGAAAGAAGCTTACTACCTCTGAATGTTCATCTCTCTCATCTATCAGTCTTCTCAGATGTGACGCCATGTTTTTTAAGAGTGGCTCTATGTCTTCTGGAGATACATCTGTCACCTCCATCCACTGCAGGTCAAACACGTTTTCCTGATTATGAGTCACCTTCAGACAGACAGCAAAATTAAAAAAGAATGGTTAGTGCTTATATATTGATTTCATTTTAGTACAACATTAACTCTACTACAAAAGCAGATAAAGTTAATGGTGACAAACTGAATATTTTAACTAAATTAAAACAAATTTTCATCTGGACTTTTAAGTTAACTAAGAAAAGATGGTATATGGAATATTTTAAACATTTCCAATAAAATAAAAATATTTTAAAAATTTTCGCAATTTTAAAATTCTCCCCCAACATGTAAAATTTAATATATAACCTAATTCTAGAAAACAATATAAGATTTATGGCTTATGAAACTGGCAGCTGTTAAAGTTGATTTTGATAAATTACATTAATATCAGTAATTTGACAGAGTAAAAAAAATCTGACACAGTGTATTTTGACTCAGATTTGTTTTTATATGAACGCTCAATAAAAATGATCGTTCATTTAAGAGAAAATAAAGACTAAGCTTTTTATCTTTACCCCCATCATTCATTCTGTGCTACCTAATAAAGACACAAACTTCATTCCTCAACATTCTCATGTCCTCACAGACAAAAGTGAGAGTAAATGTATAGTAATCACTGTGCCGTATATACAATAAATCACTTATAAAATTATCTATCTCACTTCCCAGAGACTCATACTCCAACCAAGGACTATTCATGGAGATAACCTAGAACTCCTGCACAGATGTAGCCCATGGCAGTTCAGTTTCCAAGTGGGTTACATAGTAATGGGAAGAGGGACTGCCTCTGACATAATCTGATTGGCCTGCTCTTTGATCACCTCCCCTGAGGAGGGAGCTCCCTTACCAGGCCACGGTAGAGGACAATGCAGCCAATTTTGATGAGAACTGATAGACTAAGATCAGAAAGGAGAGGAGAACCTCCCCTATCAGTGGACTTGGGGAGTGGCATGCATGCAGAAAGGGGAGGGAGGGTGGGATCGGGAAGGGAGGAGGAAGGGGCTTATGGGGGGATACAAAATGAATAAAGTGTAATTAATAAAAAATTTTAAAAAAAAGAAAAATAAATAAATAAATCAGACCTTACATCCAGAAAAAAAATTATCTATCTCTAAAAATTAATATAAAAGATTAATTTATATTTGATCTTTAATTGTTCTTATTTCTCCTGTAACTAAGTACTTAGGGAGATAATATTAAAAAACACCCTGTAAACTGCATAAAAAGTGCATTAATGTAAAAAAGGTAGTTACCTCTTGAATATGTGCGGCAACTGCTGCTTTTGTATCAAAATCTAAACCTTGAATCTTTTCAATAAATTCTTCCTTTTTCTGACACTGAAATAAATGGGGAGAAGGGAGAGAACCATTCAGACTCTGTATTGTCCTTAAAATGCTACATATGTATGTACACACACACACATACATACACACACACACACACACACACACACATATATATGCAACAAGCTTTATGATATCTGAACAGCACAGTGAGGGTTTTGTTCTACATTTAAACAGCCTCTCAGATATAGTTACCTAATAAAGATACAATGATTTTGAAACATTTAAGAGCCAGGAACAGAAATCTACACTATTTATGCTGGAAAGTTCTAAAGTAGAAACATATTACACAACGCATCTGAGGTCAGGATATTATTATGCTAACTTTACAAACAGAGAAGTAAAGAATCAAGAACTTGTTTCAGAGAGAACAAGTTACTTGCCAAAAACCACAGTGAGTCAGTGGCAGGATTCGGAATATTGCCAAAAGGCTCAGTCAGTCCCTGACTGTCACCAAACAACACTGCCTTTCTTCTCAGGGGGAAAAAAATTAGGCAAGTTTTACTTCAAGCTTACAATTTATTCTCTCATATTCATCCTATCAATATTAATAAAAGAAACTAACTTTGATGATCCAGGTCAACATTTATAATGTAATACAATAAATACTTGGTTTGTTTCTACTATAACAAAGTAACAAGGGTAAAATTTAACACTGTGTATAAATACACATGAAACCAAATAGGAATGAGGCAGCAATTCCTTACTGTCCACTGTTAAAAAGTTTATTTCAACTAAAAACATAAAATATAAACCTAATCTTTCCCCAATAAAGATTAAATAACAACAAATATCACCTCGACTTCTGTCTACATCTCTTATATTGCAATTCAACTGCTAATACAACTGTATTCTTGCAGCTACCAAATGAGAGGTGCATACAAAATAGACAGCATTGCCTTGTGCCCAGCTAAGGCTCATCTCCCAGACCAATTACAGAGCCAGAGAAGACAATAAGACCTCGAGAATAAAAACTAGTTCTTTGATCATTAAGAAACTTACAAAGCTCTGATTCAAGCTAGTTAAGTTTCTAATGCTCTATTTCTTCATTATACAATCTTTTGAACATACTCCCTACTTTCACCCGGAGTTCTACATCCCAGTAAAAATTAAACTATTGCTATGACATAAAAATGTTTAAAAATAAATTACCCAGGAAAGCACAATTCCTAGTTTTGAGTAGGAATCGAAGAGTTTTGAGGGAATAAAATAGAGATCAATAGGCTTTAAAACACTAATCTTTTTGGACTGGTAAATATTAATCAGGCCTTGTAAGAACAACTGTGAGTATATAGACCTATAAGATATGATAAACATAATGAAATCTATACACCTAAAAAAGATAATCAAGAGAGCGGACATGGGGTAAGATTATCAATCCTCGTTTTGAAAGACAGATGGGATGCGCACTGAACATTGACAGGAGTCTACTGAGCGCATTTGAAAATCTCTAACTAGCAGTGTTTTCAAAGCAAAGACTCATGACCAAACCTTTGGCAGAGTACAGGGAATCATAAGAAAGAAGGGGAGTTAGTCTGATGAGGAAAGGATAGGAGCTCCACAAGGATCAAATATATCTGGGCACAGGGTCTTTTCTGAGACTGACATTCAACCAAGGACCATGTATGAATGTAACCTAGAACCTCTGCTCAGATGTAGCCTGTGGTAGCTCAGTAACCAATTGGTTTCCCATAGTGAGGGGAACAAGGACTGTTTCTAACAGGAACTCAATGACTGGCTCTTTGGCCTCCCCACCCCCCAAGGGAGGAGCAGTCCTGTTAGGCCACAGAGGAGAGCTTTGCAGCCAGTCCTGAAGATACCTGATAAAACAGGATCAGATGAATGGGGAGGAGGTCCCCCCTATCAGTGGACTTGGCAAGGGGCACGGTGGAGATGAGGGAGGGAGGGAGGGACTGGGAGGGAATGAGGGATCGGGACACGGCTGGGATACAGAGTTAATAAAATGTAACTGATAAGAAAAAAATAAAATTAAAAAAAAAAAAGAAAGAAAAACAACATATGTTATGCTTAAAAAAAAAAAAAAAAGAACAACTGTGAGGCTCTAAGATCAACAACCAATAAATGGGACCTCATGAAACTGAAACTTCTGTAAAGCAAAAAACACTGTCATCAGAACAAAATGACAACCTACAGACGGGAAAAAGATCTTCACCAACCTTACATCTGACAGAGGGCTAATATCCAGAATATATAATGAACTCAAGAAGTTAAACACCAACAAACCAAGTAATCTAATTAAAAAATGGGATACACAGAAGCAGATAGACACACAGGGTATATACTCACTCATAAGTGGATATTAGACATATAAAATAGGATAAATATACTAAAATCTGTACACTTAAAAAAGCTAATCAGGAAGGAAGACTCTGGCTAAGATGCCCAATCCCTATTCAGAAAGGCAAGAGGATGGACATCGGAGGAAGAAAACAGGAAACAGGACAGGAGCCTACCACAGAAGGCCTCTGAAAGGCTCTACCCTGAATGGTATCGAGGCAGATGCGGAAACTCATAGCAAACTTTGGGCAGAGTGCAGGGAATCTTATGAAAGAAGTGGGAGATAGTAAGACCTGGAGAGGATAGGAGCTCCACAATGACAGCGACAGATCCTAAAAGTCTGGGTACAGGGGTCTTTTCTGAAACTGATACTCCAGCCAAGGACCACTCATGGAGATGACCTGGAACTCCTGCACGGAGGTAGCCTATGGCAGTTCAGTGTCCAAGTAGCCTCCATAGTAATCTCAACAGAGACGGTCTCTGACATGAATGGATTGGCCTGCTCTTTGATCACGTCCTCCTGAGGAGGGAGCAGCCTTACCAGGCCACTGAAGAAGACAATGCAGGCACTCCTGATGAGACCTGATAGACTAGGATCTGAGGGAAGGGGAGGAGGACCTCCCTTATCAGTGGACTGGGAGAGGGACATGGATGGGGAAGAGGGAGGATGGGATTGGGAGAGGATGAGGGAGGGAGGTACAGGGGGGATGAATAGACTGTAATTAATAAAAATAATTTTTAAAAAATGGGGTACAGAGCTAAACAGAGAATTCTGAGCAGAGGAATAATCAAATGGCAGAGAAACGCTTAAAGAAATGCTCAAAGTCTTTCGTCATCAGGGAAATGCAAATCAAAATGACCCTGAGACTCCACCTTACACCCAATCAGAATGGCTAAGATCAAATATTCAAGGGATGATGTATGCTGGAGAGGATGTGGAGAAAGGGGAACCCTCCTCCATTGCTGGTGGTAATGTAACTTTGTACAACCACTTTGGAAATCAATCTGGCGCTTTCTCAGACAATCAGGAATAGTGCTATTCAAAATCCAACTATACCACTCCTGGGTATATATCTGAAAGATGCTAAACCATACAACAAGAACATTTGCTCAACTATGTTCATAGCAGTGTTATTCATAAGAGCCAGAATCTGGAAACAACTAGATGTCCCTCAACTGAAGAATGGATACAGAAATTATAGTACATTTACACAATGGAATACTACTCAGCTATTAAAAACAAGGAAATCATGAAATCTGCAGGCAAACAGTGGGAACCAGAAAAGATCATCCTGAGTAAGGTAACTCAGAAGCAGAAAGACACACATGGTATATACTTACTTGTAAGTGGATATTAGCCATATAATATAGGATAAACATACTAATATCCATATTCCTAAACAAGCTAAACAACAAAGAAGACCCTAGGGAAGAGGCTGAAACCTCACTCAGAAGGGCAAACAGAAGTAGGCAAAGACAAGGAACAGGACAGGAGCCTTCCACAGGGGGCCTCTTAAACACTCTACCCACTAGGGTATTGAAACAGACGCTGAGACTCACAGCCAAACTTTGGGTAGAGTGCAGGAAACCTTATGGAAGAAGAGGGACATAGAAAGACCTAGAGGGGACAGGAACTGCACAAGGAGAACAACGGAGCCAAAAACCTGAGCCCAGGGGAGCCTGCAGAGACAGATACTCCAACCAAGGACCATGCATGGAAAGGACCTACACCTCCTATTCAGAGGAAGCCCATAGTCTGTTTAGTTTCCAAGTGGGTTCCCTAGTAAGGGAGGCAGGGGCTGTCCCTGTCATGAACTCATTGGCTGGCTTTTTCATCACCTCCCCATGGGGGGGGGGGGTGCAGCCTTACCAGGCACAGAGGAAGGAAGATAATGCAGCCAGCCCTGATGAGACCTGATAGGCTAGGGTCAGATAGAAGGGGAGGAGGTCCTCCCCTATCAGTGGACTAGGGAAGGGGTATAGGGAGAGAAGAGGGACTAGGAGAAGATGAGGGAGGGGGCTACAGCTGAGATACAAAGTAAATAAATTGTAATAAGTAAATAAGTAAATAAATAAATATGTATTATCTTACAAACCTATCTTTCAGAGATAATATTGTAAATATACTGTTGTAGAAAAATTTCACAGTTCATTGTTATTAAAGGTATTCACTTAAAAAATAACTGAGTATTATATAAAGAGAGCAATGATGTGTACTTCCATAAGAAAACAGAAGATTACTTTTTAAAGGAGAAATAACAGAATTTTATACAAAAAAAATTTAAAAAATGAACAACTGTGAATTAACTTTCTGTGTATGCACAGCATATGTAAACTAGCTTTTCAGGAACAATAATCCCAACTTCTTAATTTAACACTTCTATAATTACTGACTTATGAATAGTTCTTTAGCCAATCAGAACATAAAATGGTAGTTATTATGAATGGTAAAAATTAATATTCAGAGTACCCCAATTCAACAGTCTTATGGTTTTCTGGTATAGTTTAGAAAAGAAATATACATTCTCTTTTGTAAGCCCTGAAAGTCACTGTTTCTTCACTAACACTACCTTGAGAAGCTCACCATTTATACAGTTACTTTGTTATATTGATTAGTGTAACAATCAATATATAGTAGCTATAAATGAGTAAGGATAATGTTTTCATTATAACCGAATTAGATAACCGAATTAGAACAGCAGCAGCAACAACATATTTATCTTAATATTTAATTAGTTGTTAAATAAACAATCACATACAATATATTATAGAAATGCAGTGACTTAATTTATATACGAGCAGCGCACCCACAGTGGTTAGTTCCTCTTAGCTAGAAGTATGTTAAGAAGAGGAAGATGGGAAAGCAGAGCCAGGCGCATCTCAGTAAGTTCGAGGCCAGCCTGGTCTACACACAGAAACCTTGTCTCGAAGGGGGGAAGAAAAAGAGGAAGCTGGTGAGTTGGATTAGAACAGGAGACTGCTAGCTGATACAAGTACACAAATAGATGGCCAGGATGATAACTCTAATGTCATATACAGTACAGCAGGACCATGGTGGACAACAGTTAACTGAGCATTTCAAAATAGCCAGTGCGGAGGAAGAGCTAGGCTAACTGTACACTGAAATAATTCACTCTTTAAAAACGCAGTGGGCTTCAGAGATGGTACAAAGGGTAAAGCACCTGCCATGCAAGTGTGATACAGGAGCCCTGGGTGTGGTGGTGTGTACCACAAACCTAGCCTCTTACAAAGACTGGGGGCCTAGACAGAACTCCCAGAAACTGAAAATAAAATAAAGCAGATAAAAAATAAACAACTAGAGATACTGTCTCAGCAAGGCTGTTGTCTCAATTCCACAAGTGTGTCACAGCATGTTCATGTGTTCATACAAACACATTCATGTACACGTACACACAGAGTTTTTTTCTTTAATTAAATGGAAAACCTAGTATAGTAGATTTGGAAGTCAGGCCAGTATTCTTTAGCCTACTAGTAAACAGACCTAAATCTAAAGTGACTCTCAATTTGTTGTAGATGCATAGACTCCTACTGTAATTACTAAAGCAGCACACTAAACTCACAAGTATCCAATCTCTAAAATAAATCTCTACCCAAACACTAATCTTATTTGAGAAAAACACTATACGACAATCTACATAAAACATAATACCTGGCAATCATTGATACAAACATCGATAAAGGAGTGGTAAGACCAAAGAAAGTGCTTGCTGAGCATGCAGAAGGACCTGGGCTCAGATCGCCAGCACCCAGACAAAAAGCTCAGTGCATTTGCGTGGACCTATAACTCCAATGCTGGGAGGCCGAGACAGGAGGATCCCTGGGACCTGCTGGCCAGCAAGTATAGCTGAATCAGAGTTCCAGGCTCAGTGAGACACCCTACCTTAACAAATGAGGCGACTGAAAAGTCACCTGACACTGGCCTCTGGTCTTCACATGCCCACATGCATATACATGTACATACACAATCACCACTTCCCACAAATTCTCTAAGATTTACTTATTTTTATGTGAGGGAGTTTGCTTACATGTATGTCTGTGTACCATGGGTGTGCCTGCCAGAAGAGGCTGTTAGATTACACGAGAATGGAATTACAGTCAACTACGAGCTACCATGTTGGTGCCGAAAAGCAACCTGGGTACTCTTGGAAGGTAAGCCAGTGCTCTTAACCCACTGCTCCAGCCCCAAATCCTCTCTTAACTGCTGATGCCGCTTTGCTTTTCCTAAATCATAAACCTGCACAAGCAAACCAAAACAAATGTATGGGAGATGTCTCTAAAGAAGTATAAAGATATCAGTCATTATTAAAGCTTTTTAAAACATAACATTATGCTCTAATTTTTTAAATAAATGTTCAACATAATTTCTTTATGAAGTGATATACTTATGTCTTTCAGAAAGTGAGAGCCTTAAGAACAGTTTGTGAGAATGAAAATATGAAGAAATAGTTTAACTTACCTGAACTGCACAACCAAGTAAGAGTAAAAGCAACTTTTTAACTTCTTCTGTGCCTTGTTCTGAAATAAAAACACCAGTAAGTACAGCATTTAGCTTTATTCAGCTCAGTCATACACTGGCACAATCAATTCTACAGGCAATGTTCATTCACAACTTGACAAAAACATGAATTTTGTAAACAAATGGTGGAATTTAAACATGTGGCTTTTGTGTGTACAAAGTTGTGATAGCAGAAGGCGGGGCAAGAATATCCCTTTTAACAGTGCAGATAAATAAGTGTTAAGCTCAGTGTATTAACTGCATCTGCTTCTTTCCTATAGACTGTACTACACCAGCCTTCCAGATTATGCCAATATAAAGGCATTCCAGAGTGGCTGCTAATGGCTTTCTTCCTCTTTATTGTTTTCTTACTAAAATACAAATATTAGAATTCATCTACCTATATCATTTAAATATACTTCTCACTGCACAGGTTCATAAGGACATAAGAACCCTAAATTCATCATCACAGTTAATCTAATAAAATAAGCTGGTGTGGTAGTTCACACATGTACTCCCAGCATTTATGAGACTTAAGTAGGAGAACTGTACGAGCTAGCCTGGACTACACAATGAGTTCCAGGATAACCTGGAGCTATAGTGTGAGATCCTATTTCACAATAATAAATTTTAAGAAAATAAATAAATCTATGTAAAAAAACTGAATAAAAGTTATCAGTCCAGAACAAAACTGTAGAACAACTCTTGTCAGCAGCATTCAATTAAGATTGTCTTAAAATATTCAGCCAAGGAGGAAGTAGGGGATTCAGCAATAGGCAGATGCCCAGGAGGGGCCAGGACAGAAAACTCAGCAAGAAAAGCTACAAAATGGAAAGACCTCCTGAAGATCTTTGGTACAGACAACAGGAAAGAAATAAAAAAGACCACAAAAGACAGGGATCATAACTTGCTGATGCCTTCGCAGAGGAACAGCTCTGACACTGACTGGGTCATGAAAATGTCTCCAGCCAGGACTTCAGCTGTGCATGGCCATCAACCACTGGCCACAACATCCTCAGGACTTATCACGCCATTCTTTTAAATGGCATAGATGAAAATTTGTATTATTATTTGGTTCCTTACCTGCTCGAACACAGAGCAGAGAATCACCTTTAACTGCACTGTGCTCAGTGCACATATGAAAAATATATTACTACATATATTAATACAAGATGCATAATACCTTTGAAAGTTAAATATTTTGCAGAGCAAGAGGACCAGACACTAAAAAGGACAAGACAAGTAATTCAAGTGATCCATCCTCACAGATGGCCTCAATAACTGCTTCCTCAAAAATCTGCACCAGGGACAGCTTCAAAACCACTATTTAGATTGTCCAGCGTCACAGCTGTTCCAGTCAGGACTTGAGTTAAGCTCTGAGAGTGCTCTACATTCAGAGACTGGACAGCAAAAGTTATAGCTACCTTTCTTAAGACTTGAAAACATCCCAATTTCCTTGCCTCCCCCCACCCCCAAGGAAAACTATAACCCAAATCTGCAAGAAGCAACTTGCTGATTAAGAAAACCACACCCCATTCCTAAGAGGGGGTGGTTTTGGTAATTCTATAGATAATAGATGTTTGTTATTTTAAAAGAGTTACTTTCAGGAATGATAAGGAAAAGGGTAGATTACTGAATCTACTTTTAGACCAAAGAACATTAATAAGCCAAAAATCTTTCATTTTTATATGTTAATACAGATTTAAGATTCTATTTTGTTACAACATTACATAGGTATTGTACCTATGTAATTCTTAAAACTCCAATGTTTAAATTCTCATCCTTTTGAAAGCTGCTATTACCAACTGTTTAGGATAATTAAGAAATGCATATTAGCAGTCAGAATGAAACTTATGGTAATGTTGGGTACTAGTTTAGTTAATTACAAAAATGTTTCTTAGATGGATGGTTTTCAAAATCCTCAGAGAGCTACAGAATATGGCCTTTAAAGATTTTATTAAAACGTAGGCTTTTTTGAGAATGAGACAGGTCTGCTCCTGGCCACACCTCCATTCTACTTCAAAGAGCATCAAAGGCTTCATATGTGGCAAGCTAGCCACTGCCTGAGAAAATGCCCTTCCATCAGTTACAGACAGAACAATTGTCCCAATTGGACAAACTGGATGCAGAAGAACTGACTTTCCAACTTTGCAGAGGCTAGGTAGGCCAGTCCTTCAAAACTTCTGCTTCTTAGAAAAGTCTCTCAAATATTCTGAGCCAGAAGGCTAAAGATGATGCTCCAATGTTATAGAGAAATTTTGGGGGACTGTTCAGGCAGCCAAATATCTTTATAATTTCTATACTTTTGAAAGCTGCTTGTCTGTACTTTTTACATTTTTAAGTAATATTTATTCCTTCTTAAGTCTCTGATGGGGTTGAAGATTAGATAGTTACAGTTTAATAGTTAAACTTAAATTGCTTAGGATAACAGAAATTGCTAGATAGTAGAATAATTTATCCAAGGGTGCCAAAAATACAAATGTACATCTTACCTAATAATTTTCATAATTGTTATTATTACATATTGTCTACTATTCTAAAAGAAAGAGCCTTTTATTAGACTAACAGGGGAAGATGCAGGCATAAAGTTACTGTGTAATTCAAATGCTGGTTTCTGTACCCACATATCTGTATGCAATTCTTTTTCTGAGAATCTCCTATCTCAATGTTGTGTAAACACTGCTCAATTGTCCCTGATATGTCAATAAAGCAATCCCTGCACAGGGGAGAAAATAGGGCTGGACTTCCTGCTAGCTAAGGAAGGAAAAGTTAGAGAGGAAGTAAGGGACTTTGCCACAGACAGATGTCCAGAAGGGACCAGAAGAGAGAACTCAGCAAGAAAAGCTACAAAATACAGGTATTGCTGAGATGGCAGCAGGGGAGGAAGCCAAATTAGCTTAGAGGGTTAAGAATAGAGTTAGTAACTGCTCAGTTATTGTGTTGCAAAGCTTATTATTAAATAAAAAATATTCAGCAAACACAGCACAACATGTAATATTCAAAAAGATTTTCCTATTAGGTTAATGTATGATTTTTAAATCTTCACATTCAAAATTTCCTCTGACTTTTCATTAAACAATTTTTTCCAGCCATACTGTGCCATTTTTATAATTATTACACACAAGCACAAACACTCTTTTGCTTTAATTCTGGCTTCAAGTTGCTTTTCCTTCCCCTCAACTCTTTAGTGAGCCACTCCCATCACCCTAAATACATTTTACATCTGTGTGGTCCCCAACCCTAACCTGAATAATTGATAGCTCTGTATTATTACATGCCCGAGCATTTTGTACAGATCTTTGTCATATGAGTTATACGACCTCACAGTAATCTTTGGAGCTTTCACCAAACCACAAGATTCCCTAGCATACAAACCTGTCTACCCTATGACTTGGTAGTTACTTACTAAATGCATATGGAATCAGAAATAATTCCATTTTACATGCTACTCTTCCTGCTTACTTATATAACCAAATATCCTAGAGTATCTCTAAAGATTACCTAAATACGTGAATTCCTGAGTTCACTACTAATGCATGTAATTGGTAGTTTCCTCTTTAAAAACAGCTGTTTACATACTCATCTTTACTTGTAGTTTAGTTTCAACTGGGCTAGGGTTCAGGTTAAAGAAGATAATATTCAATCTGAATATGAGGTAGAAAGCAAGGATTAAGTCCTTTGCTGAAATGTTTTATATCGTCTAGTTACTCAATTGTTCAAAAATTATATTCTAGGATGTATGGGCACAGCAAATATTTGATGTATGTAAGGCCCTAGGGTCAAGTTTCAGAAACAGCAAAATACAAATAAAAATAAAATTCTAGTAAAGGAGTAAGAATTCTTTAGTTTAATAATTTAAAAGTCTAAGAAATAGTCTCTCATATTTCCACTAAGAGATAGTTGACTATAAATTAAAATGTTCATCAGTAAAACTTTTAACTTAACAGGTGGAGTACAGTTCAATGATAAAGCCTGGCCAGTAGTTAGGTCCAAAATTCAATCCAGAGGATTACAAAAATGATCTAGCAAACAAACAACAAGAAAACAACACTAACAATTTTCAAATTGTTAGAGCACTAACAATTTTCACAATAGTAAACAGGCCTATAAATATAAAATTTAACTGTCTCAACATCATTCCTTTTCTAACACCATTGCTTTAAATGAGATAATAAAAATCATAACCATCACCAAAAATTAGCAGTTGATGTAGCAGGGGAAAAAAAACATTCATTTATTGTGAGTGTGTATATCTCACCAAATATTATAAGCTTAAATACTGTAAGCTTCTTTTTCCTACAAACAGGAATATCAGCCTCAATTTTTCAGTTGAGGTTGTAGAAAAACTACTGAGAATGGAGATAAATAATCAATCCCTTGGTAAACATTACTATTATTACACATATACACCATATTATGCCGACTTAAAACTTACCAGAAAAGGGATTTTTGCCAATGGTTAAAACATTTGGCAATGACATCATAATCAACTGCTGCAGAGTCTCCTGTAAAATGATATTCAATAATTAGTAGCTCCACAGCTAATGCTAACCAGGTAACCACTCCCCAAGTTATAATTTAGGTTTTATACACTCCTCTGTGGGTATGCTATATTAAAAGTAAATGTACAAAGGATCTATTATGTCTTAAGTCTTTTGCACCTTTAATGAATTAAATAACCGAGTTATGAGAGACTTAAAAGGATCAAGTTGGGTGTGGTGGCATCTGTAATCCCAACACTCAGAGAGGCAGAAGAAGGTGAATCTCTGATTTTGAGGCCAGCCTGCTCAAAGTGAGTCCAAAACAGCTAAGGCTACACAAAGAAACCCTGTCTTGAAAAAACAAAGAAAGAAAGAAAAAGAAAATGATCAAGCATGATGGCTCACATTTGAGAAAAGTGGTGTGTGTGTGTGTGTGTGTGTGTGTGTGTGTGTGTGTGTGTGTGTTAGAAGTTTCAAGGCCAGCCTGGGTTAAATAGAGTCTGAGATAACCTCAGTGATGGAGTGAATCCCTTTCTCAAAATATAATAAATAAATAACTTTAAAAAAAGCCCTTTCAGGTCTTTTCTGAGACTGACAACCAATGACCATCTATGGATATAACCTAGAACTTCTGCTCGGATGTGGCCCGTGGTAGCTCAGTAACCAAGTAGTTTTCCAAAGTAAGGGGAACAAGGACTATTTCTAACAGGATCTCAAGGGCAGGCTCTTTGACCACCCCCCCCCCCACCCTCAGGAGAGGAGCAGTCCTGTTAGGCCACAGAGGAGGACTTTGCAGCCAGCCCTGAAGATACCTGATAAAACAGGGTCAAATGAAAGGGGAGGAGGTCCTCCCCTATCAGTGGACTTGGAAAGGGGCAGGGAGGAGACCAGGGAGGGAGTGTGGGGTTGGGGAGGGAATGAGGGAGCGGGATACAGCTGGGACACAGAGTTAACAAAATGTAACTAAAAAGAAAAATAAAATTAAAAAAAAAAGCCCTTTCAATTTATTTTGATTTTTAGATTTTTCTTACTTTGAAGCAAAATGGTTTTTTTAAAATATATTTTATTATTATTAATTACACTTTATTTATTTTGTACCCCCCCCATAAGCCCCTCCCTCTCCCCCTCCCAACTCCACCCTTCCTCCCCTTTCTGCATGCATGCCCCTCCCCAAGTCCACTGATAGGGGAGGTTCTCCTCTCCTTTCTGATTTTAGTCTATCAGTTCTCATCAGAAGTGGCTGCATTGTCATCTTCTGTGGCCTGGTAAGGTTGCTCCCCCCTCAGGGGGAGGTGATCAAAGAGCAGGCCAATCAGATTATGTCAGAGGCAGTCCCTCTCTCCCATTACTATGTAACCCACTTGGAAACTGAACTGCCATGGGCTACATCTGTGCAGGGGTTCTAGGTTATCTCCATGAATAGTCTTTGGTTGGAGTATGAGTCTCTGGGAAGTTCCCTGTGTTCAAATTTTCTTGTTCTGTTGCTCTCCTTGTGAAGCAAAGTGTTTAAAAGCATTTGTTTTTAAAGCAACCACTATTTTGTCTCTATTGTCTATATCATAACCTACCTCTGAATAAAATATTTCCAAATTCACCTTCATAAAGAAAGATTATGAAGAAAAGTTTTACCATAAAGACTTTACAGATAGAAGATAAAAACTTGCTTTGAGTAATATAAGTCAATATTGATGACTCAGAAATCCTATTCTACTGACGTGCCACGTAACATTCTCTATCAGTCAAACACTACGGCATTCTTTTCTCAGCTCTCCCAACCTACTGTTCCCCAATTCTCCCAAGTTACCCTTTCATCATGAGAAGACAAGCTCAGACCCGCTTATCACCACAGACTCACCAGTGATCTCATGTAAACACACCTTGACCTTTACCGAAGTCCAGTTATAATTCAAAATTATATAACTGATAAATAATATCATGTAAAATGTTTTTAACATAGAATGTGAATGGTTAACACAGTGTATTCTGCTACAATGGAATCTGAATTCCAAGGAGTAAGTTTATAAAAACCTTTGTTGGGGAAGATAGAAATTTTAAAAAAAGTATAAGATCATTAAAATTGTAGAACACTGTTCTTGAAATTAGTATGAAAGTTTAGTTATTACTTTATTTTAAGGTAACTCTGGTAATAACAACGTGAAGTAGTAAGGCAGCTGAAAATTACACAAAATTTTTAGAAAGAAAATTATTTCAATTTCTAGTTGGTTACCTTATGGCTACCGTAGGGTATTTTGGATTTTAGCTTTTTTTTTTAAACGTCCATCTATTTCCCTAAGGTAGTCTTACAAGTAGTATTTTTAAACATACATAACATAAGCTAGGTTGGTGGCACATGCCTACAACCCTAAACCTTGAGGTCAGAGAATTGCTACAAGTGGAAGACCAACCTGGTGTTCCAAGCTAAGCATGGTGATGTTACACCTTTAACCCAGCACTCACTAGAGGCAGGCAGAGCTCTGAGTTCAAGGATCATCTGGTCTACACACTGAGTTTCAGATATATAAGGGTGTGGGTGTGTGTATATATAAGAGAGAGGGAAAAAGATTAAAAGTTCATCATCATAATTAAAGCTTTATTGTATTATTACCAGGGCCCTAGAAATTCGCATAGCTCTAAAGATAGTCATGATCAAGATATTAAAGAAACAGAAACAAGAATATGGAAATGAACACAAAATAAACATGACTTTACTAAGAGGATCATAAAACAGGACAAGATGTACATAAACTAGTTAAGATAATTTCAACTGGATACATGTAATAAAACACATTTGTAACATTCATGAAAAGAATGGTAACATTCTTGAAAGAGAAGTTTTAGAAAATTGGGGCATTCCTTCAACAAATACTACATGCTCACTATTTGTCATATATTCTAAGCAATATATAGCAGCTAACAATACTTGCTCTGAGGAAACATGCATTTTAGAAGAATAAACAGAAAATAAATTAACAACTGCTTCAGGTCATGCATGCTAAAGATAAAAATACAGTAGGAGGGTCTGGAGAGATGGCACAGAGGCTGTTCATTCACAGGACCTGAGTTTGGATCCTAGAACCCACATCATAACTACCTCCTACGATGGCTCCTAGGGTCATCCTATTCTGGCCACAAAGACATCAGCACTTAAGTGGCACACATATACACATAAATGAAATTTTAAATATAAAACAAACAAACAAAAAGCAGGTATAAAGAGTATTAGTAAATGTGAGAAGGTTGAAATTTTATGAAGACATGCAATTACTCAAATACAGAAAATTTGAGCACTTCCAAGGATATTTTAAAAAGCAAAGTTTCATTAGGGGAAAAAAAATCAGTTCTGCCATGAAGACAGTCCAGAAGATTTAGAGAACTACAAAAATTTAGAAAAGAACTGGAAAGCATTATAGTAATTAAAAATACTATATGTGTCTTGAAGGACATTGAAAGTGACTTCATCCCTAATACCTTAGTTGCCATCACATCACATAAAATGTTTTGAGTCGTAGACTCATTTTACTTTCAGTTATACACAAACATGCCTCTACTACAGTTAGTGCCCCTAAAGACAGTGAGAAAGACGTCGCAGCTGTTCAGCAGCTGTGACCATCACTTGGTTATTGCCGGAGGAGCACATGAAGCCCCGGAGCTGGGGCAAGAGCACAATAGCCGGCTAACACTGAATAAAACCCATTGCTCCACTCTCAAATCCCAAGTCCTTGAGAAGTGACCCAGTAAGAAAATGCTTTTCTGGGGAAGCAAGAACCGTAATTGAGGAAATGCCTCTATCAGACTGACCTAATTAAAAAAGAAACCAAGAAAGAAATGAATGAAAATGAAACATAACATGCTCAACCTACAGGATGCAATAAAAGCATCTCTAAAACGAATGTGGTTAACTCTTACAGAAGACCTGAGTTTGGTTACCACCACCCAAAGCTCCGGAAGATCTAATGTCCATAAATGCCAGTCTGTTGCACATTGTTGAGATTAATGATTGATATGTGAGGGCTCGTCCCACTGTGGGTAGTGCCACCTCAGGGCAAGTAGTCTAGGATTGTTGTATAAAAGAACAAGCCACTGAGCAGAACTCTCCACGGGCCCTGCATGAGTTCCTGCCTCCAGATTCCTGCTTGAGTTCCTGCCCTAACTTCCCTCAATGATAGACTGTAATGTGGAAGTATAAGCCAAACAAACCCTTTCTTCCACAAGATTTTGGTCAAGGGTTTTATCGTTTTATCATAGCAATAGAAAACAAGTTAGAACAATATCCCTGTAGAATAAAACTGCAAAAACTCTCAACAAAACATTTGAAAAACAACTTTTTAAAAAACATCATTCATTAGGATCATAATTCAAGAAATGGCACTAAACGTAATCATCACATAGACTTAAGGACAGAAATCACTGGTCATTTTTTTTAATTGATTAACTATTTCATATATACATATGAGAATTCTCATATATATGTGAGAATTTGCCTGCATGTATGTATATGCACCATGTGGGTGCCAGAGGAGGGCATCAGATCTCCTGAAGCTGGCATTACAGGTAGTTGGAAACACCCAAGTCCTTTGAAAAAGCAACAAGTGCTCTTAATCACTGAGCCATCTCTACAACTCAAAATTCATCTTGGTAGATGGCTTTTGACAAAATAATAGTTTTTAAAAAGCTAGAAGAAACTCAGACTAGAAAATAAATTTCAATATAATAAAGGCTATATTTAACATTAATATTATATCAAGTGGAAGGGAAGAGAATCAAGGTATTTCTATCAAAAGAAAAAAGAAAAAGAGTGTCCATGTCCACTTGCTTCACTCTTACTCAAAATTGTGCTGAAAATTTATAAATAACAACAAGATGTGATGAAGGTCACAAAGTCTTCTTATTTGCAGGCGATATAACTGTACACATGGCAGACTACAAAAGAAAACTCTCAGAACGTGTAAAATCTTTCAGAAAGGACCAGAAAAAGGTCAGAAGCTCGTGTTGCTCTTGGAGAGCGCCTGAGATTGGTTCCCATC